GAGCATCCGTTTGATCCCTGACCAGATTCAAGGGGCATTTCGCCTTGTAGTTCCCGCAGACTCCAAAGGGCATCATGAGCAGCAGAAGCAGCAACAGAAGGAGCAGGGATCTCATTCTGGCTCTGCCTCCTCCTCCTCCTCTGACCCGCCAAGAAGACAAAGGAGAAGAACCCAAAGACTCTTGCAAGATCAAACTGCCTGGGCTTTCCCCAATCTGGGTGGTTTTCATCTATATCTTCAGAGCTAGGAAGCACAAGGCAGGCACACCCCTCTTTCACCAGCTCTGCATCTTGTCTCAGTCTGTCTCCAACACAGGAAATATTCTCTGCACCGACTTTTTCATTCCCAGACACAGTGCAATTAATATTGTCATGCTACTTTCTGAGGCTGATGTAACCTCCAGAAATATCTCCTGAGCATTTAGAAGAGGAGATGACTATAATTTTGATTATTCCAAGTGGAATAAGTTTCATCACACTAACTTTCCGAAGTCTTGAATGGCTCAGGCAGCAGGTGCAGAGCTGGAGAAAAACATGATGGAGAAAAGTCAAAAGGTGTTTTTGGGAATTGGAAGTTTGGCCTGAACTTTGCTCCCAAGTTTGGCCTGAACTTTGCTCCCTGCATTGCAGAGGGTTGGACTAGAGGACCTTGGGGTCCCTTTCCAAGTCTCCCATTCTATGATTCATTGGAGGTTTTTAAGAAGAGGTGGGACAGTCAGGGATGGACAACAGCCAGATGAAGGAGTCCCAGCCTTGAATCCCAGGCATCCTAAGCCCTTTTAAAATTTGGGGGGAGGGCAGAGGCTGTTATTGGGTTGTTGTTTTTATTTTGATTATATATATTGTGGTTTTATATTTTGATTTTGTTCTGTGAACCGCCCTGAGACCTCCAGGGAGAGAGCGGTATATAGATTCAGTACATAAATAAATAAAGGAATAAATATGAATAAATAAAAATGAATAAATGAAGAATGCTGAGAAATACCATCCTCATTAATACCTGGTGGTGGGATCTTGTTTCCTGGAGGCTGCTAGAGACAGAGACTGGTGGAGCCTGCGATGGGGAGGGTTTTCCCAAGCCCACCCTCTGGCCACCTTGGGTGGGTCTGGGCTGCTTGATTCCTGCCACTCTCTTCTGGTTCTCCCCCCGAAGGGAAGTAGCACCTTGGTGGCTTCAAAGCCACTTCAAGTGAATTTCCACCCCATCTTTGAAAGGCTTCTCCAACAGAGGGGAGCTCTCTGGGGTTGGTTGAGGAGAGAAAGGTTGTCCTGAGACTTAGGCTCTCCCTTCCCCTTCTACATGTTCTGCGGAAGGAGAGCTTCTGTTGCACATGGAGCCAACTTGCTCCTCGTCTTTGAGCGGAAACTTCTCTACTTGTAAACAATTGCGTGTGCAGAAGCCAGAAGTGACGGAAAAGTTGGTTCCATAAGTATTTCTTTTTTACTTTTTTCTCCTGCCAGGAAATGATGAAAGAACGGCAGCCTCTGATTGGCTGTGGTTCCAGGAGGGAGAGTTTAAAAAGAGAGGCGTTGGAGGGAGACAGGGAGTTGGGCTGTTGCGGGTGGTGTGGTTGGTTGAGTTGAGCTGGTTGAGGAAGGAGGTTGGGAGTTAGGTAGGGAGATAGGATAGGAGTCAGGTTGATACACAAAGAGCGTTGAGGAGGCAGAGCTGGTTCTGGAGAAAACGTCCACTCCACTGTACAGTGAAGGACTGAGTGTAGTGTCTGAGGGTAGTGTCCTGTGGGAGTAATAGGACCAGATCTTGCTGGGAGACTGAGGCTGAGACAGAAGTAGGAGCTGAAGTCTACTTAGGTCTCAAACTAGTCTGGAGGGGAGAGACTCTTCTGAGGAAAGCAGAGACTTCCAAAACCCAGTGAAGGACGGGTGTGTATGGTGAACCCTTAAGACTGTTACTGAAAGTCCCTCAGGAGCTGGATTTGTTAAAGGGGTGGGTAACTGAAGGAAAAGAGGGACGCGGGTGGTGCTGTGGTCTAAACCACAGAGCCTAGGGCTTGCCTACGTCGGCGGTTCAAATCCCCGCAATGGGGTGAGCTCCCGTTGCTCTGTCCCTGCTCCTGCCAACCTAGCAGTTTGAAAGCACGTCAAAGTGCAAGTAGATAAATAGGTACTTCTCCAGTGGGAAGGTAAACGGCATTTCTGTGCACTGCTCTGGTTCACCAGAAGCGGCTTAGTCATGCTGGCCACATGACCCAGACATGCTGGCCACATGACCTGCGGACAAACGCCTGGCTCCCTTGGCCAATAAAGCGAGATGAGCGCCGCAACCCCAGAGTCGTCCGCGACTGGACTTAACTGTTAGGGGTCCCTTTACCTTTAACTGAAGGAAAGTACCGCCTTAGAAAGGAACCAAACTATATATATATATATTTTTAAAAAATATATATATATTTATTAAGATTTTCAAAATATTACAACATAGAAAAAGAAAAAAGAAAAATATAAAAGAAAAATACAAAATGAAAGTAGTTAAAAACAATTCAGTCTTTCAATCACTTATCTTTCATTTGCTTATTTCCCGGACCTCCTCACGCCTCCCTTTTACGTATTCCAATTCAGTTTGTTAGTTCAGCAAATCCCTCCCCTCTTTGTTTATCCTAGTCTTCAATCTTAAAATATTATAACCTTAGATTTTTGCCTGATAATAGTCCATTTTTTCATATTCCCTTATAACATTACAGCTAAAAACCACTTAGTTTCTATCCAACATCATTCTAACATTCATTAATTTTACAATATTTCTGTAAATAGTCTTTGAACTTTTTCCAATCTTCTTCCACCGACTCTTCTCCCTGGTCTCGGATTCTGCCAGTCATTTCTGCCAATTCCATGTAGTCTATCACCTTCATCTGCCATTCTTCCAAGGTGGGTAGATCTTGTGTCTTCCAATACTTTGTGATTAGTATTCTTGCTGCTGTTGTGGCATACATAAAGAAAGTTCTATCCTTCTTTGGCACCAATTGGCCGACTATGCCCAGGAGAAAGGCCTCTGGTTTCTTCAAGAAGGTATATTTAAATACCTTTTTCAATTCATTATAGATCATCTCCCAGAAAGCCTTAATCCTTGGGCACGTCCACCAAAGATGAAAGAATGTACCTTCTGTTTCTTTACATTTCCAGCATTTATTATCGGGCAAATGGTAGATTTTTGCAAGCTTGACTGGGGTCATGTACCACCTGTATATCATTTTCATAATATTCTCTCTTAGGGCATTACATGCCGTAAACTTCATACCTGTGGTCCATAACTGTTCCCAGTCAGCAAACATAATATTATGTCCAACATCTTGTGCCCATTTAATCATAGCAGATTTCACCGTTTCATCCTGAGTATTCCATTTCAACAGCAAGTTATACATTCTTGACAAATTCTTAGTTTTGGGTTCTAACAGTTCTGTTTCTAGTTTTGATTTTTCCACCTGGAAGCCAATTTTCTTATCCAAATTGTATGCCTCCATTATCTGATAATAATGAAGCCAATCTCGCACTTTATTTTTTAATTTCTCGAAACTCTGCAATTTCAATTTGTCTCCTTCTTGTTCCAAAATTTCCCAATATTTCGGCCATTTGGCCTCCATATTGAGCCTTTTCTGAGCCTTTGCTTCCATCGGTGACAACCACCTTGGGGTTTTGTTTTCAAGTAAGTCCTTATATCTTATCCAGACATTTAACAATGCTTTCCTGACAATATGGTTTTCAAATGCTTTATGTGCTTTAACCTTGTCATACCACAAATATGCATGCCACCCAAAAACATTGTTGAAACCTTCTAGGTCCAAAATGTCTGTGTTCTCAAGAAGCAGCCATTCTTTCAACCAGCAGAATGCTGCTGATTCATAATAAAGTTTGAGGTCTGGCAGGGCAAATCCGCCTCTGTCCTTTGCATCAGTTAATATTTTAAATTTTATTCTGGGCTTCTTGCCCTGCCAGACAAATCTAGAGATGTCTCTCTGCCACTTCTTGAAACAGTCCATTTTGTCCAAGATTTGCAATGATTGAAACAAAAATAACATTCTTGGCAATACATTCATCTTTATAACAGCAATTCGGCCTAACAAGGAAAGCTTCAAGTTTGACCATATCTCTAAATCCTTTTTCACTTCTGACCAACATTTCTCATAATTGTCTTTAAAAAGGTTTAAATTCTTAGCAGTCATGTTAACCCCCAAGTATTTTACTTTCTTAACCAATGTTAAACCTGTCTCCTTCTGAAACCTCTCTTTCTCAATCGGTGTTAGATTTTTCTCAAGCACCTTAGTTTTTAACTTGTTCAACTTAAATCCTGCCACATGACCAAATTCCTGAATCAGTTCTAATACTCTTTTAGTACTAGATTCTGGCTCCTGTAATGTCAATACCAAATCGTCTGCAAAAGCTTTCAATTTGTACTGTTTAGCTCCGACCTGTATACCTTTAATCAAACGGTCCCTTCTAATCATATTTAGCAAAACCTCCAGGACCGAAATGAACAGCAATGGGGAAATTGGGCAGCCTTTCTCTATCTTAAATTCCTCTGTCACCACATTGTTAACTATTAGTTTGGCCTTTTGTTCTGAGTAAATTGCACTTATACCATTTTCAAACCCTTGACCAACCCCAATCCCCGAAAGGAACCAAACTATAAAGCTGAAACCTGTGAAAATGAATTGAACTAGCGTATTATTATTGGAGTAACCTAAGTTTCTCCACTTGTATTATACTACCTGGTTTTAAAATAAATCTTTATTGTTATTTTAAAAACATCTGCTTGAGACTCCAGCTCACTGGTTATCCCCCACACCTAGGTCCCCCACAGAATACTCTGGGATAGTTAGCATTGGTTTTAAGGGTGGTTCAGTGAGGTGGGGGCAATATATGTAAGAAAGAGCAGGCACATGTAAGAAAGAGCAGTTTTATTATTCTTTATCAATTTATTTATTAATATTTACTTCTTACTTACTTATTCATTTCATCTGTTTCAAAAAATCCACGTACCACATGGTTAGGCCAATAACTCCCAAAGCGCTTTATGTAAAGATAAGGCAGGACAATCATTAAAAAGTTTACAAACTTACTTCAGAACATACAAAAGTATGTTCCTCATATTTCCTCAACTTCCTAAGAATCTGGGTGGATCCTTAATAAAAATATATTTTTTTAAAACAATTTTTTAAATAAACTCTCCATAGATATTCCAAAACACCTTTCTTCTTATACAATTTGTAAAAATAAATACATAATTTCTTCTTGACTCCCCACCTCTCCTTTCTTGATGTTTGTTTTTATTACTCCATTTTATCAGATGTTTTAAAATATATATGCTTTTATTATGTAAGCCCCGATGTCGTATTTCAATAATCCTCTGCCTTTGACTTCATGTATGGATGATGGTTTGACAGATAATATATCCATGATCTCCATTCTTCCTTAAACAATCCATCATTTAGGATGGTAACTTTGGATGGTAATTTTAGCAGGTAATTTCACCATTTCAGCATATTCCCCCAGTTTCATAAGCCATTCCTCCTTGGTGGGGAACTCTTTCCATTTCTGTGCATATAAAGTTCTAGCTGCTGTGGTTGCATACATACATAAGCTTTCTTAGGACCTTTATTTATTAATTTTATATTGCACCCTTCATTGGAATTCTACAGGTTGAATTGCTATAAGACTGAGAGCTTAGTAAGCTTTCCACCAATTTGAAGTGTTGAAAGATTAAGTAGGGTGCAATCTTGGCTAATTAACTTATTCTAAATGCTTCATCGGTGGCTGTTCTGTCAGTTATTTTTACTTGCCCATCTGATCTTGGTTTTGCTCTATAAATGGCGGCCTGAATGGGAGGAACCTGAGTAGGAGGAGGAGGCCTCTCGGTCTTCCTTCCTGACTGAGCGTAATATGCCTCCTCTGAAAAGGTTTGGCAGGCAGGGGATACAACTATCTGGCATCATCTCATTGCTTCCCTCCAATGCTGAACTTGTTGCCGGCTCACTGGTAATCTGGTGATCCACTCAACATCAGTGCACAAGGTGTCATATCCTGGACAACGCAATAAAATCCATTGGACTCCAGTCAAGGCTTGGCTAAGGTCAGTTGCTACTCTTTAAAAAAAAAAAAAAAATTTATTAAAGTTTCAAAGGGGGGAAAAATCACATTAATAAAAAAAATTAGCAATAAAAAAGAAAAATAGAAAATAGAAAAAAGAAAAGAAAAAGCAGTTAAAAACAATTCCATCTTTTCCTCACTTCTTTTACGTTTACTTGTTTCCCCGGACCTCCTCATACCTCCCTCTTTTGTATTCTAATTCAATTGTTAATTCAACAATTCCTTTCCCTCCTTTTTACTCCTATTCCTTAGTCTTGATATATTGTGACGTTAGATTTTTACATATTAAAAACCAATTTTTCCATATTCTTTTGTACCCATACAGCTAGAAACCCCTTAACTTCAATCCAACATCATTCTAACATTCATTAATTTTACAGTATTTCTGTAAATAGTCTTTAAATTTCTTCCAATCTTCTTCCACCGACTCTTCTCCCTGGTCACGGATTCTGCCAGTCATTTCTGCCAGGTCAGTTGCTACTCTTTGGGACAGGGAGCAGAGCTTACACAATACAGAAATTAAACCAGCAGACTACGGAAGATCATTTAGATGATTTTCTCTATTTATTAATATACAAAGTTTAGGAGAATGAAATGATGTGAACTTCTGAATGATACATCCAACCTGTAGAAAATGAAGCCCAGGTATTTCAATATCCAGAAATGACATAACTAGAAAGTATTGTTGAATATCAGAATTGATATGGTTAATACCAAAGCAAACAGACTAAAAAACCTAACTCCTATCTCCCTCTAGACTATCTTGTTGTGAGATAAATATAAGTTCATGAAAGCTGGCTTTTACAATATCGCTGCTGAAGCAGACATACATTAAAATGGACCGGATATGAGTGCCTGCGGAATATTAAGGGAGCAGCTTATATTCGGGTATTGTCTCCCCACACACACACACACCTTGAATTTTTTTTTTTTTTTTTTAATAATATTTTTTATTGCATTTTTCCAAATAGAAATACAAGGTCAGATATACAAAGAAATAACAGAAAAGAGAAAGAAAAAGAAGAAAATCATCTTTTCAAAGCATTTTTCCATAACCAACCGGAGTGCCCCACGGCCCCCCTCACCTTGCGTTCTTTACAATAAAATTTTTCAGCAAATTATAACCTTATTTCGTGCATTCTTTTGTTCTTTCAAATACTTGTGATTTACGTTTAAAATGCTTATTGTCAATTTACACTAATAATATATATAATGTTCTTTTAAACGTTAGTCCTTTCATTAATATAGCTTAGTTTCCCATACCTTAATCTTATTGCTGGAGCTGAATTTCCCTAATCATGCGAATTCTTAACATTCATATAACTTATAAAATTTTTGTAAATAATCTTTAAATTTTTTCCAATCCTCCTCCATTGCTTCTTCCTCCAAATCTCGGATCCTGGCAGTCATCTCGGCCAATTCCATGTAGCCCATCAATTGCGTCTGCCACTCTTCCAGTGTGGGTAAATCTTGAGTCTTCCAGTATTTTGCGATAAGAATTCTTGCTGCTGTAGTTGCATACATAAAAAGGTTCTATCCTTCTTTAACACCTTCTGACCGACAATGCCCAGTAGGAAGGCCTCTGGTTTCTTGGGAAAAGTGTACTTAATCACTTTTTTAACTCATTATAGATCATTTCCCAGAAGGCCTTCACTTTTGGGCAAGTCCACCAGAGGTGAAAGAATGTCCCTTCAGCCTCCTTACATTTCCAACATTTATTATCAGACAAATGATATATCTTAGCAAGCTTGACTGGGGTCATGTACCACCTGTATATCATTTTCATAATATTCTCTTTCAAGGCATTACATGCCGTGAATTTCATACCAGTGGTCCATAACCTTTCCCAGTCTTCAAACATAATGTTGTACCCAATGTCCTGAGCCCATTTTATCATGGCTGATTTGACTGTCTCATCCTGAGTGTTCCATTTAAGCAGCAAGATATACATTCTCGAAAGTACCTTGGTCTTTGGTTCCAACAATTCTGTCTCTAGTTTCGATTTTTCCACCTGGAAACCTGTTCTTTTGTCCAACTTAAAAACCTCTTGAATTTGAGCATAGTGAAGCCAATTTTGCACCTTATTCTTTAATTTTTCATAACTCTGCAGCCTCCAAGTTTCTCCTACTTTTTCTATAATTTCCCCATATTTCAGCCAACCAACCTCCATATTAGGTTTTTCCGGGCCTTGGCCTCTGCTGGTGAAAGCCACCTCGGAGTCTTACCCTCTAATAAGTCCTTGTATTTTGTCCAGACCATAAATATTGATTTTCTAACAATATGATTTTTGAACATTTTATGAACCTTTACCTTGTCGTACCACAAATATGCATGCCAACCAAAAGCATTATCAAACCCTTCCAGATCTAGAACATCAGTGTTCTCAAGAAGTAACCAATCTTTCATCCAGCAGAAGGCCGCAGCTTCATAATATAATCTCAAGTCCGGCAGGGCAAACCCCCCTCTTTCTTTCAAATCAGTTAGTATTTTAAACTTTATCCGGGGCTTTTTGCCCTGCCAAACAAACTTGGATATATCCTTCTGCCACTTTCCAAAACATTCCACTCTGTCCACAATCTGTAGGGTTTGAAACAAAAATAACATTTTCGGCAATACATTCATTTTTATAGCTGCAATTCGACCCAACAAGGAAAGTTTCAATCTTGACCAGATTTCCAAATCTTTTTTGATTTCCAGCCAACATTTTTCATAGTTGTCTTTAAATAGATTCAAATTTTTCGCTGACAAGTGAACCCCTAGGTATTTTACTTTTTTTACCACACTTAGTTCTGTTTCCTTCTGAAACCCATCTATTTCTGAGGGTGTCAAGTTTTTCCCCAAAACCTTAGTTTTTGCTTATTCAACTTAAATCCCGCCACCCGACCAAACTCATGAATCAATTCTAATACTCTTTTGTACTAGATTCTGGCTCCTGTAATGTTAAAACCAAATCATCTGCAAAAGCTTTCAATTTATATTGTTTCGCTCCGACCTGTATTCCTTGTATCAACCGGTCCTTCCTAATCATGTTCAGTAACACCTCCAGGACTGAAATAAATAAAAGAGGGGATAGGGGCACCCTTGTCGTGTCCCTTTTTCAATTTTGAACTCATCTGTCACCACATTGTTCACTATCAGTTTAGCTTTTTGCTCAGAATAAATTGCTTCTATTCCATTTTCAAACCCCCGTCCCACTCCCATCCCTTCCAGGTTTCTCTTCATAAATATCCAAGAAATATTATCAAAGGCCTTCTCCGCATCGATGAAAATTAACACAGCTTTCGTATTGATATTAGTTTGTAAAAGTTCCAAAATATCAATAATGTTCCTGGTATTATCAAAAAGATGTCTCCCTGGGAGAAAGCCTGCCTGGTCCTTATGAATTACTTCGTTAAGTATTTTTTAAGTCTGCTCGCCAAAATATCAGCAAAAATTTTGTAATCCACATTTAGGAGTGAGATGGGACGGTAGTTCTTAAGCTGAGTCTTTTCAGATTCCAATTTAGGAATCAATGTGATGAAAGCTTCTTTCCACGTTTCCGGTGCCCTCCTCCCCTCCATAATCTGGTTACAGACCTCCATTAGTGGTTGTATCAAATAGTCTTTTAGTGTCTTATAGTACTTGGAGGTAAGTCCATCTGGGCCTGGAGATTTGCCTAGTTGCATATTCTGAATGGCACCCTCTATTTCCTGTCGTGTTATTCTATTATTTAAGATTGTCCTCTTCTCCTGAGATAGTTTGGATAGACCGTTAACTTTTAAAAATTGATCTATCTCAGACACTTCCTGAGGCCCTTGTGTATAAAGTTTTTGAAATATTTCTGGAAACACTTTCTAATTTCTTCTGGTTTCTGAATGTTTCTCCCTTCCACCTCTAGATTAGTGACAAAGTTCAATTTTTGTCTCTTTTTCAACTGCCATGCTAGCAGTTTTCCACATTTATTTGCCGATTCAAATGATCTTTGTTTCATTTGTTTGATTTTCCATTCCACTTCTTGATTTATCAATTTCGCATATTGAGCTTGGTGGAATTTGATTTCTCTTAAAACCTCTTTTGATTTTGGTTTTAATCTCAATTTTTCTCTCCTTCTCTTATCTTCTCTAATATCCTATCTTTTTCCCATTCCAAAGTTTTTTCTTGATTGTGTTCTGTTGTATCAGAAACCCCCTCATTACAGCTTTACTTGCGTCCCAGATTGTTCTCTTTTCCACCGAAGTGTTCAAATTGATTTCAAAATAGTCCTTTAAAGATTTTTGGGCCTTCTTCACAATCTCCTGATCTCTTAGTAGGGTGTCATTCATTTTCCATCTGAAAGAACCGGTTGGAGTAAGTCTCAATTCCACTTTCAAAGCATTATGGTCGGAGCAAGTCTTTGGACAGATTTCCACTTTTCTGATCTTAGGTGCCAGTCCTCTAGTTGTCCATATTTGGTCGATTCTTGTCCATGATAGGTGGGCCTCAGAAAAGAATGTTCCTTCTTTACCTAAGGGGTTCCTTGTCCTCCAAATATCAATCAAGTCCATGTTATCAGTTAGTTCAAAGAAGGTTTTAGGTAGTCTGCCGTCTTTAGTTAAATTTTGATTTTGTGACTTATCCATGTGAGTAGAAACCACCCCATTCATATCGCCCATCATTATGATGTTGGTATAGTCCAGATAGTCCAGCATTATCTCATGCAGCTTCTTGTAAAATTCCGATTTCCCCTCATTTGGTGCATATATTCCTAAAATCAAAAACTTTTCTCCTTGTGTTTGTATCTCAATTGCCAAAATTCTTCCTTGCTCATCTTTAAACAGAAATTTCGGTGACAGGTTCTCCTTTGCATAAATCACTACGCCTCTTTTCTTCACTTTGTCTGATGAAATAAATTCTTGGCCTAGTCTTTTGTTGATTAACACTTTCCTATGGAGCCTAGTCACATGCGTTTCCTGCAAGCAAACAATATCCAATTGTTCTTTTTCAAAATATGAAAAATCCTTCGTCTTTTTCCGGGAGTTCCCGCCATTTATATTCCAACTGTACAGCTGCAGAGACATTCTGAATCAATCTGTTGTTCCTATAGTGGGGTGTCTTCCTTTTCTTCTGGCCCCGAGGGTGTAGGTATCGGTGCTTTTCCAGGCAGTGGCGGTGGCCAAGAGGCTGCTGCTCCCTTCTGAAGGTCTTCTCCGTGGTCGTGCAGGAACTTCTGGTTATCTTCTGATGTTTTAATCTTAATTTTCTTTCCTTTAAAATTAAAAGATAAACCTTGGGGAAACTCCCACCTATATGGAATCGCGTTTCCTCTCAGTAGTCTTGCTAGGTCTGTATATGTGGCTCTGAGATCCAAAAGTTGTTTAGGAATATCTCTATAAAATTCTGCTCTTTTGCCTTGGATATCAAGTGATTTCTTAAAGTGGAGGCCTAGTATTTTATCTCTCTCCTGCTTGGATCTCAAAATAATCAAACAGTCTCTGGGCTTGTCCCTCCTCACGACTCTTCCTAATCTGAACGCAGTTGTGATCTTGAAATCTTTGTCCTCTTCTATACCCCAGAACTTGGAAAATTCTGCTGTCAGATAACCAATTAAATCTTCCTGTTCAAGCTCTGGGATAGCTCTTAATCTCAGATTGTTTTCCCGGTTTCTCAATTCCACCATAGACAGGTAAGCCTGCTGATCACTAATGTGCTTGTGTAGTGGCCTTACCTCCCCTTTTATAGCCTCAACTTTTTGATTTGCTTGTTCTGCTTTTTCATTGGCTGCTTCAGCCAGTCTCCGATTTTCCACAGTTGCTTCCTTGAGATTCCCAATAACTTGTGTATGTTGTGCAACTTGGTCAGACAATTTAGTAATAGAGGATGTGGCTTGATCTATTTTTGCCGATTGGTCATCCACCTTCTTGTTCAATATTGCAAATTGTTCTAGCATTTGTTTTAAGAAGGTATCTGATCCTCCCTCTGCCATATCCTCTGATGCAGGCTGTGCAGTTTCCTTTTCTTGTACTCCCAAAACAGCTGGGACAGATGATCTACGTGACTGAGTAGTCAAAGTTGTTTGCACAAGTTGGGCTTGTCTTGCTTTCGTTTTAGCAGATCTTGTTTTCGGTTGGCCACTCATTCCACACCTGTCTATGAGTCAAGGTCAAGCTGTATATTGTCCCATGGGAAGGACAGTTCCAAAGTGTAAATAACAGAGCAGCAGATAGTCCAAATAAAATTTGTTCCCAGGCACTTGTAATTCCAGAACTCCACTAGGGGGGAGTATTACTGTAGTTCATAGAAAGGAAAGAACTTTATCCGCCATTAAAGTCCCTGCAGCCCCAAAACAGTCTAATTTACCAAAAGTCCTTCATAAACTTTTTAGCTTACAGAGCACTTCCCAAGCTGCCACAAAGTCTCAGATAAAAGGTGCCAGTAACAGTTTATTTAATTGTATCTTACCAGTATCACTCAACTGTAACAGTCTCTATTTTGGATACAGTTTCCGCAATGACAGCTCTCTTTTTTCCTGTCAGTCCGAGGTTTGGTTCTTAATTCTTTATAATCCATAAAGGGGAGGAAAGTCCCATTTAAAGTCCAAAACACTTAGAAATAAAAATCTTTTCTCCTTCTTTTTAAAAGCCAATTCTATCAACACGATAGTCCCAAATTTATAATCTTTTAAAGCTGCTTCCCGCTTGTTAAAATCTTTGCCTTTGATCTTTAAAGCACTGCCGGAAGACGGACTTCCTGTTTATCGTCTCCCGCTTTCAGCCAAATTTAACACTTTTAGTTCCAAAATGATTGATCCTTACTCACGAGTAGGTAGTTTACAGCCTGATGTTCCAAGAAGAAAGGTCGGCGCTCATCAGCAGCAGCCGCGCGGCTTCGCTCCCGCAGAAAGAGCGATGAACTCACAGCACCGCTCCCCCTTCCACGTTTCCGGAGCCCCTACGAGGTTCCTTCTTCGTTTTTGGGGTCGCTCCTGGTGCCCGCCGAGTCCCACGGCCACGGGCTCACTCTGCCCGTGGTTTTTCTTAATGGGTCACCGCTGTGCCGCAGCGGACGACCCTTTTCTGCGGAGCCCCTCTTCAGAGACCGAAGAGGACCGCCATTGCCGTTTCGCGCCGCCTCCAGGAAGTCCACACACCTTGAATTTTAAAGGTGCGGCTTATATTCAGGTGCAGCTTATATTCGGGCCAATACGGTAATGTACTAAATAAATATTTTTATAACTAAATTTACTCAATACTCTAAATTTCTTCTCCTTTATTTGATTTATATCCCACCCTTCCTCATGAAAGATCCCTGTTTAAAAACAGTTAAAAACATCTCAGGGTTATTGGGAACAATGTCTTTCAAATGTCTGGGCAAACAGAAACGTTTTAGGATTTCATAGAATCGTAGAGTTGGAAGGGACGACAAAGGTCGTTTTGTAGTCCAACCCTCTGCAATGGAAGAATCTTTTCGCCCGCCGTCGGACTCGAACCCCTGACTTTGAGATGGAAAGTCTGGCACTCTGCGAACTGAGCTGTCCCAGCTCCGACTTCCTCCTGAAAGTCCATCCTGTGTGCAGTTCAAAACTTGTTTCATTGGGGGAGAGAGGCCTGCGGCTGAGATCTGAACCCAGGGCTTTGGTTCCCTTCCAGGGAAAGGCAGCCAGGGAAGCCCTCCATGACCTCTGGGCAATCTCTGTGCAAGGAAGCTGCAGTTTTGCTTGGAGATGTGGCTGTTCCAAAAGAGAAGGCAAAAGAGGGGCAAGGCTCAGGTTAAGGGGGCAGGAAGCTGGAGGGCAGGAATAATAATAATAATAATAAAATTTATTATTATTGTTGTTGTTATTAATTTCTCCAGCCACTCTGGGCAGCTTCCAAGCCTGTTTCTGCTTGAAAGCTCAACTGCGAAAAGAAGAATGGTTGGTGTAAACCCGAAACCAAGTTAATAATTGCATTTCAGTGGGTCTGTTTTAGGTTTCATTGCAATCAAGGCGATGAGAAATAATAATAATAATAATAATAATAATAATAATAATAATAATAATGGTTTCCCCAGCCACGCTGAGCGGCTCCCAACAGAATATTAAAAGCACTATGAAAATCACAGCCGCAACATGCCTTTAAAGCATTTTTGGAGCTCTAAATTGCAGGTAAAACAACTGGCGGGTGGCCAGCGCCATTTTGGCCTCTGTTGTCCAGGGCGCAGGAGCCGCGGGACGTCGGGAAAAGGGGGAAGCCGTTCTAGGTGCCTCCAAGGGAATGAGGAAAAGGACGAGGTCTCTTCGTGACTTCCTGGGTTATGTGGGTTTATTAGTATAATTATTGATTATTATTAGTTTATTAGCAGGCCTGGAGGAAGGTTGCGCAGGGCAGCCTGGGAAGGGTGAGGGAAAGGCTGTGAGGAAAAGCCTTCTCTCTTTCTCCATCGCTCTGCCCCTCCATCAAGTTTAAATGGAAGAATCCAAATACGTTTAGAGAAAAATAAAATGATAGGAAACGGGATCCTTGTTTGTGAGAAGAAGGGGCAGCAAAGCATGCTGGGAAGAAGGACGTGAGGGAAATGAAATGAAAGCTAATAAAGGATAATTTATCGATAAAGCTAATGAGTGAAACTAAACAAAAGACACCTTGGGATTTATTCATTCAGTTATACACTGGAAAAACCAGTAATTTTCAAATTTATTCATGCTGGGATTCGACCATTGCCCTGATGGAGCTGGCAGTGCATGCTGGGAAGTCTGCCCTCCCCGAACGTGGACCAAGCTGGTGGAGGCTGGCGGGAGTTGCAGGGCCTTTGGAAGGTGGCCCCTTCCCCTCCTCGTCCGCCAGGGACACCAGTGCCTGCAGCCCGTCCAGCTGGCCAGAGTCCCGCAAGGGCCGGAGAGGCTGGCAGGGGCAGGGCCCCCGGGTGAGCCCGGGAGAGAGGGGGGCCCTGGGGGGATCTGCACTCTGCACGCCCTCAGAGGCCAGAGAGGCTGGCAGGGGCAGGGCCAGAGAGGCTGGCAGCCAACTTTTCCGTCACTTCTGGCTTCTGCACACACAATTGTTTATAAGTAGAGAAGTTTCCACTCAAAGACGAGGAGCAAGTTGGCTCCATGTGCAACAGAAGCTCACCTTCCCCAGAACATGTAGAAGGGGAAGGGAGAGCCTAAGTCTCAGGACAACCTTTCTCTCCTCAACCAACCCCAGAGAGCTCCCCTCTGTTGGAGAAGCCTTTCAAAGATGGGGTGGAAATTCACTTGAAGTGGCTTTGAAGCCACCAAGGCGCTACTTCCCTTCATGGGAGAACCAGAAGGGAGCGGCAGGAATCAAGCAGCCCAGACCCACCCAAAGTGGCCAGAGGGTGGGCTTGAGAAAAACCTCCCCATCGCAGGCTCCACCAGTCTCTGTCTCTAGCAGCCTCTAAGAAACAAGATCCCACCACCAGGTATGCCGTTCACAGTAATGAGGATGGTATTTCCCTGCATTCTCCATTGATTGATTTTTATTTCTTCATTTCTTGAATCTATATACTGCCCTATGCCTGGAGGCCTCAGGGTGGTTCAGAGAACAAAATCAAAATATAAAGCCACAATATATATAATCAAAATAAAAACAGCAACCCAATAACACGCTCCACCCCCCCCCCCAAAAAAAGATGACTGTCCGACCTCTGCTTCAAATCCTCCAAGGAAGGAAGGACAGTCCACGGTCGGATCCAACTGCAGGTCTCTTCTTTGGTCCTTGTGAGCAAAGTTCAAGCCAAACTTCCAACTTCCAAACACACCCCTTGACTTCTGTCCATCATGTTTTTCTCCCGCTCTGCACCTGCCGCTTGAGCCAGTCAAGAATCCAGAAGGTTTTTGTGGTGAAACTTATTCCACTTGGAATAGTCAAAATTATAGTGATCTCATCTTCTAAAAGCTCAGGAGATATTTCTGGGGATAGCACAAGACTCGGAAAGCAACAGCAGCATGACAATATTAATTGCGCTGTGTCTGGGGGGAAAAAGTTAGTGCAGAGAAATTTTCCTGTGTTGGAGACAGACTGAGTCAAGATGCAGAGCTGGCGAAAGAGGGGTGTGCCTGCCTTGTGCTTCCTAGCTCTGAAGGTGTAGTTGAAAACCATCCAGATTGGGAAAGCCCACCCAGTTTGGTCTTGCAAGAGTCTTTGGATTCTTCTGCTTTGCCTCCTTGGCAGGTAAGAGGAGGAGGAGGAGGCAGAGCCAGAATGAGATCCCTGCTCCTTCTGTTGCTGCTTCTGCTGCTCATGATGCCCTTTGGAGTCTGCGGGAACCACAAGGTGAAATGCCCCTTGAATCTGGTCAGGGATCAAACGGATGCTCGCAATTACTACCGGCCGGGACACTTTCTCATCAGTGGGATCATCTCTCCAAAACGCTTTTATAAGGAAATTCCATACGTCTTTTCTCAGACACCCTTGGCCAGGAATGAGGGGTATGTAAAATCATATGTGGGTGGGTTTCATGGTCCTCCAGTCCTTGTAATGGTTCCTATTTATCAAGGAAAGAGCGCCTTTCTCAGGGCTGGGGAGCCAAGGCTGTCCTCATGTTGCAGGTCTACCCTGCCCTGACCATTGGTCTTGCTGGCTGGGCTGATGGGAGCTGGGGGGTCCACTAAAAGATTCCACCCAAACCTCTCCCATTTCCTTGTTCCCTGGGTCTTCCTTAGTGAAACACTCTCCTACCTATGGATGCACTGAATTTCCCCACCTGCAGGATGCCATGAAACTCAAGCAATTCAACCTTTGAGCTCTGGAAATTGTCTGAGTTTCATGGCATCCTGCAGGTGGGGGAATTCAGTGCAAACTTTTGAACCCTGACCAGATTCATTGGCATTCTTGCATTCTTCTATTATATCCTTATAATGATATAATATTATAAATGACCATCAACAAACTGTCGTTAAAGAATGCTATAGTTTTAAAAATGGATTTTTTAAATCCTACAGATTAACGTTTGGTGGCTGAAGAGCAGGAAATATGTGCTTTAACTGAAATGATAAATAAAATAATATGAGTCAGGAGACTTCCTTGTTAGTGGAGTCTAAAATGTGAAAAGGAATTATTCCTTTTCTTCACACACACACAACTGGTCTCATTTCTAACTATTGCAATGGTTGACACAGTAGGTACCTGTTTCCTAACCCAGAGGGTAGCATGAAACTCAAGCAATTTCCAAGCAATTGAGATTAATTATTTTATGTTTATTCTATTTGGATCACAGTTCTCTTTATACAACACAACAGGACACCTACATCTCAGAATGAAAAAATCTCTCTTGAAAATGGGTGGATTTTTATGGGAGAAGAGCAGGAATGATATGCTTCAAATAAAATGATTATATAAAATAATACAGACCAGAGGGTGTCCTCATTGGTGGAGTCACTGATGAAAAACATGTGCAAAATTATAGGTTTTACCACGCACTCAAAGCTGCAAGCCACCAGGCCTCATTTCTAAGTAAAAGGGGACTGAGGTATTTGGTGCTTCCCCTCCTTCAATAAAATTTGTCTCTTATCTACCTATAGTCTAGCCCATTGGAAGAAGTCAACGACCAATGCAGGAAAAGCAGCCTTTGCAGCAACTTCCCAGTATAGCACACATTTTTGAGGGGCGCCTTCATTTCTTACTCATAGAACCACTATATAATAGAATCATAGATTGCAGAGATGGAAGGAACCCGGAAGAATCTCACCTGAAGCATCCATGGCACATGGTCACCTTCGGAGGGAGTCTCTTCCACTGCTGAACAGCTCTGTGTGCTGTTTGCATCAAAGCTCCGGTCATGGAGCAGAGATCTCCAAATTTCTTTCTATACAAGGCTGCAAATGGTTTGATATTAATGCAATAGGATTAATCAATACATACTAATCTTTTTGGATCATATAATGTCCCCACCCCCATTAATATGAATATCAGTTTCACTCTTTTTAAAGGATTCATTTATTGCAGGAAGCCATCTAGGATCTACTGGGACATGTTGTCTTTCCTGTTCACCATCCAAGAGATCAACCAGGATCTCAGTCTCTTACCCAACATTACTCTGGGCTACAACCTCTATGAGAACTATTTCGATGCAAGGACAACTTCGGACGACATGCTAGAGCTGCTTGCAGGCAGTGGATGCAATATTCCCAATTATCACTGTGGAGAACAGAATCACCTGCTGGCTGTTCTTGAAAGAGGCAATACTGTCATCTCAAGAGTGATTTCAGCCTTGTCAGGCATCTACAAAATCCCACAGGTAAGCAGTGGGAGAGCATGGAGGGACAGAGAATTTCAACTGCGTAAAATTCTATTTTCTCTTTGGAGGGGTCAAGTGCGGACATTTTTAAAAATGGGAAAATCCTGAGCTATGAATCCAACATCCCCTTTTCAAAACAGCCTTCACCAACTTGACACCTCCAGATGTTTCAGACTAAAACTCCCATCAGCCCCAGCCAGCAGAGATTTAGATATCAGTCATTTCATATGATTAAATACCCGTTATGATGAAAGTAAAATAAATTGGTGATCTTTTGCTTTCCTTGCTAGATCAGTTATGGCTTCACTGCCCAGTTTCTCGAAGGTAAAATCCTGTTCCCTTTTGTCTACCGGATGACTCCCAAAGTGGAAAGTCAGTACCAGGGGATTGTTGAATTGCTACTGCGTTTTGGATGGACGTGGATTGGCCTCTTCACTCCAGACAATGACAGTGGAGAAAGATTTGAGAGCGCTGTGAAACCTCTGATGCTCAGCAAAGGGATCTGCATTGCTTTCTCAAAAAGAGTACCAGAAAATGATATAGATCAATTTTTCAAGCCTGGGGAACCTTTTTTCCTATGGAGACAAGTTGGGGTATTTGTTTCCTATATAACCAATTCACTGAATATCATAATACTCATGGTAATACACGATATCTATGAGAAGGAAATAGGGGCGAAAGTCTGGATCACAACAGCTTTGCTAGAAATCAGAATTGGCATTTACATCCCTCCAAATTACTTCCAGCACCTCCATGGTTCTCTGTCCTTTGCAATTCAGACTGGAATAAGGAGCAGCAAAGGTGACAAATTGCAGACCAATCTTGGGGATTATTTCAATCAAGCATTTCAGTGTTCATATTCAAAGCATCTGTTGTCCATGAAAGGCAGGATAGGATGCAGAGAGGAGGAGAAACTGGAGCCATTATCCCAATGGGGGCGTGAGAGAGTCCTGTCTCTAGACAGCTATGGCACTTACATCAATGTTCAAGCTGTGGCTCAGGCCTTGCATGCTTCGCTTTCATCTAGATCCCAGAGGAGGCTGATGGGGGAGGAAGGAGAGCAATGGGGACCCCAAAGGCTACAGCCGTGGCAGGTATTTCCTTCCCCTTTTTGCAAACTGCAACCCACACAGATGCTGATCTTGACTGGGGATAGACCTGCAAAATATCATAGTTACTATTAGTATTAGTAATAGTAGCATACCTCCCAACATTTCGCTGATGAAAACAGAAACATCCCATTCCATAATGATAATCTTTCTGTTTATAGCCAGGGATTTTTTTTCAGGGGGAACTGGCTGGAACTCAGTTTTGACACTTCTCAGGTGGGTGCCATTGCCATTCTCAGAGGGAGGTGTTCATGGTGAGTTCCGGCACCTTTTTTGCTAGAAATATATCACTATTTATACCCCACACATCTTTTTGGGTTGCCTCAGCACTCTGGGCAGCTCCCAACATAAAGACATTCATACTAAAATATTAAACATATTAAAAAATCTCGATATTGGATTGGACGCCTTGTGGGTTGGATAACTCCACATCCGCCAACATTTCTCCAATGAAAATAGGGACATTCTAAGGAAAAGTGGGACATTCCGGGATCAAATGAAAAACTGTCTCTAAATCAGGGATGTCCCTGGAAAACTGGAACACTTGCAGGCTCTGTAGTAACAGAAATGGCTGTACAGTGGTGCCCCGCAAGACGAATGCCTCGCAAGACGAAAAACCCGCTAGACGAAAGGGTTTTCCGTTTTTCGATGCGCTTCGCAAGACAAATTTCCCTATGGGCTTGCTTCGCAAGACGAAAATGTCTTGCGAGTCTTGCGATTTTTTTTTGCTCCCTCCCCCTTTTTTTAAGCCGCTAAGCCGCTAATAGCCTTTTAGCCGCTAAGCCGCTAAGCCTTTAATAGCCGCTAAACCGCTAATAGCGCTAATCCGCTAAGCCACTAATAGGGTTGCTTCGCAAGACGAAAAGACCGCTAGACGAAGAGACTCGCGGAACGGATTATTTTCGTCTTGCGAGGCACCACTGTATAGGAATTCCAGTCTACATGAGATACACGTAGCCCCAAATCATAAGAGGTTGAAGTGAGTAGGCCTGATATATCCATCTTGGCTTCCCGTTTTCTTAATGCTGGTGTTTTCCCCTGCCATTCCAGCTTCACCCTTTCTTAAGAGAAATCCGGTGTCTGAATACTTCCAGAGGCAGGCTGTGCTTGGATGAGAACTGGGAGCTGCCAGCGGACTTTGATATTGTGAACTGGGTGATGTCTCCCAATAAGTCTCGTGACATTGTGAAAATTGGGAATATAAGGAGAGAGACGTCTGCTGGCATAAATTTCACCATTAACCCAGAAGCCATTGAGTGGCCCAAGAAATTCAATAAGGTAGGGTAAATCACAGAGGGAAAAGGCCAGGAGATCCTTATTATGTTTTTCCTTAAACAACCGCTGCAAAATGACCATATCAGGTTGACCAATGGTGTCTTGACCGTCTATAACAGCTGCAACCACCACTCCTTCTTTCCACAGCAGCTGAGATAGGAGGGGAATTTGGGGTGCTCAAAGAAAGGATAGAGCCCAGAGGTCCTTAGTAAAGACACCATCTATTTCCGAGCCAGACTGAGAATTTAAGAATTCTGGACAGAATCTTTAACCGAATGGACTACGTAGATAAGAAGAAAAGGGAAAGCCCCTAGTAAAAGTGAACTATTGGGCTTTCATACATGCAGAAAGATGGAAAGTAATTTATTTTAGAAATGATAATTACTGATTTATAGTGGATTTTTTAATTTGTGGAGTAAGCTCATTTGTAGATGTTGCAAATGTTAAACTATTGTATGTGCAGGAATTGAGAAGTGCACAGCTGTTGGTGAAGGATGAGAAGTTAAAAAAATACCCCTATTGTAAAGTAAGGTTAATGTTAAGAAATGGCACATGAACTAGAAATAACTAGGGAAATAGATCAGCGACAAGAGGAAACCTTGCATGCCTCAAGAACAGAGTGAGGGAAACCAATATTTGGAAAAGTCATATTAAATTTGTCTTAATTAGTGACTGAGAGTTTATCAGAATCCTGAACTTTGGGGAAATCACATTTCAGACTCCATTGCCATTTTCTTTGAAGATATATTAAGCAGGGAAGCAGGTAAACGGAGAAGAGGAAAGAGAATTCTGTGGCGCAAACCTCAGTTGTCCTGAACAAAGAACAAGATATTCTGGTCACACCAATGGTCAGTGGGGGGTTGAAAGGACCCTGATGAGGGGTCAAAGGCTGCAGTCCAGAGATCCATTTGAATTCACTCTATGAGTGAATTACATACCCACAAATACTCCTAACTGTTCCTCTTTCTTGCACCTTCTTGTCTTTCTGGTTAGGCCGTGCCTCGTTCCAGGTGTACAGAAAGATGTCGACCTGGATATGCCAAGGTGGTTCTAGAAGGAAAGCCCATTTGCTGCTATGCTTGTGCTCGGTGTGCGGAAGGGACCTTCTCCGCCCAGGAAGGTGGGTGACTCCAAGGGGGAAGGTATTTCTGGAGAGAGTAAACACAGGGCAGAAATCCAGTCTCAAACACTTTTTGTGAGATTTCTGCAGACATTGGGGAATGTGGCTCCTTCCTCAACTTCTTTACAATCACCTTCATTACATCCTGGAAGAGAGTTGAAAGGAATGACCATAAGGAAGAAATCTCTAGGATTTCTTCAAAATGTAATCGAGTTCAGATCATTAGGGATGTAAGTGATGTTGCAGCCACTCTTTTTCTCTTCCCCAGATGCAGAACATTGCACCAAATGCTCAGAAGATCACCATTCAAACAAGGACAGAGATCAATGTGTCCCCAAGATTACCACCTTCCTGACTTATGGAGAATATTTAGGAATGGTGTTAGCTTCCGTTGCCCTCTTCTTATCTATAACAGCAGGCACTGTGTTGGGAATCTTCATTAAATACAAGGAAACTCCCATAGTCAAAGCCAACAACCGGGACCTCTCCTACATCCTGCTCGTCTCCCTCCTGCTTTCCTTTTTGTCCTCCTTCCTCTTCATCGGGCGCCCAAGGAAAGAGACCTGCCTTCTCCGACAAACGGCCTTCAGCATCATCTTCTCAGTTGCTGTTTCTTCTGTCTTGGCAAAGACCATCACGGTGGTGCTGGCCTTCCTGGCCACAAAGCCCGGGAACAGGGTGAGGAGATGGCTGGGCAAGAGTCTGGCCAACTCCATGGTCATCTCCTGTTCTGGGGGGCAAGTTCTCATCTGCACCATCTGGCTGGGCTCTTCTCCCCCATTCCCAGAGCCCGACATGCGCTCCCAGGCGGAAGAGATCGTCCTGCAATGCAACGAAGGGTCTGTGGCCATGTTCTACGTTGCCCTCGGCTACCTGGGCTTCTTGGCTGCCACCTGCTTCACGGTGGCTTTCCTAGCCAGGAAGCTGCCCGGCTCCTTCAACGAAGCCAAGCTGATCACCTTCAGCATGCTGGTCTTCTGCAGTGTTTGGTTGTCGTTTGTGCCCACCTACCTGAGCACCAAGGGCAAGTACATGGTGGCCGTGCAGATCTTCTCTATGTTGGCCTCCAGCGCTGGGCTTCTGGGCTGCATCTTCCTTCCCAAGTGCTACGTTATTGTGCTGAGGCCTGATCTGAACACAAAGGAGCACCTGACAACCAGAAATTAAGGGGAAATATGATTCTTAAAATAGTCCATGTTCCTGATGTCCAGAAGTGCCTAAAGGAAACACACTTGCTCATCCATGTTGCTCATTCTTCATCTGTGAAAGAGATTATGTTCCTTCTTAGCCCTGGTTTTATGTAGTCCTGTTCACATGAACCGTAAGATGGGAGGAAAGTCCTTGGTTCCTTACTTTGCCAAGGATTACAATGAGTCCTGGTCTACTGCCCTTAGTTTGTAAACTATTATCTTTTAATAATTTTAAAAAGATTTAAAAGGTTTTTGAGTCTGTTTGCTTTGTCATGACTACCTATTAACCATATCAATTCTAATATTCCACAATACTGTTTGGTTATGCCAGTTCTATGTATTCACTTTTCTATGCTCCCTTTCCCACATTTATGCGCTATCATTCATAAGCTCACTTCACATCATTTCATTCTCCTAAACTTTGTAAATCAATAAACTGAGAAATTCATTTAAGACATCTTCCATAGTCTGTTGGTTTAATTTCTGTATTGTGTAAGCTCTGCTCCCTGATCCAACGAGTAGCAACTGATCTTAGCCAAGCCTTGACTGGGATCCAATGAATTTTATTGCACTGGCCAGGGTTAGGGGCGGGCGAGGCAGCCGGGAAGAGAGGGGAGAGGGAACTCCGGCGCTCACGAGAGTGGCAGGCCGCCTACGCCAATCTGGGCGAGTCATTGTGAAAGGAGGCGGGGCGAGTAGAGCTGGGGAAGGCAATTGGTCGCGAAAGGCAGCAGTGGAAAGCGGGGAGAGGTGGGGCGGGGTTTAGTGGAGAGTGGTCACGCCCACTAGGCAGGGCAAGGCAAAGCTGGGAGGAGCCTCTGGCTTGACTTATTTCATTATTATTACTAATATTAATTATAATGAAATACTAATTTGGGGGGATGTATATTATATTATATTATATTATATCATATTATATTATATTATTATATTATATTATTATATTATATTATATTACATTATATTACATTGGGACGCAGGTGGCGCTGTGGGTTAAACCACAGAGCCTAGGGCTTGCTGATCAGAAGGTCGGCGGTTTGAATCCCCAAGACGGGGTGAGCTCCCGTTGCTCGGTCCCTGCTCCTACCAACCTAGCAGTTCAAAAGCAAGTCAAAGTGCAAGTAGATACATAGGTACCGCTCCAGCGGGAAGGTAAACGGCGTTTCCGTGCGCTGCTCTGGTTCACCAGAAGCGGCTTAGTCCTGCTGGCCACATGACCCAGAAGCTGTTCGCCGGCTCCCTCGGCCAATAAAGCGAGATGAGCGCCGCAACCCCAGAGTCGGCCACGACTGGACCTAATCGTCAGGGGTCCCTTTACCTTTAGCTATCATATTATATTACATTACATATTACTGTATTTTCCCATGTAGAACATGCCCCCGTGTATAAGACACCCCCTATTTTGGGGGACTCAATATTAAGAAAATGGGGGATCCCATTTCCCCCGTCTTACACACGGAAAAGTACGATGTATGTATGTTTATATTATATTATATTATATTATATTATATTATACAGCGTGACTCATAATGAAGTATACAGTTTCAACACACTATATATATTTTTTTAATGATATTTATTAAAGTTTCAAATAAAAAGAAACACATCAATAAAAGAGAATTTAATAGTAAAAAGAGAAATACACAATACAAAATACAAAATTAAAAAGAAAAGAAAAAGAAAACAGTTAAAAACAATTCTATCTTTTCATTACTACTTTTGAATTTACTTATTTTCTGGACCTCCTCATACCTCCCTCTTTTGTATTCCAATTTAGTTTATTTGTCCAGCAATTCCTTTCCCTCTTTTTTAATCCCAATCCTTAATCTTAATATAATATAACATTAAATTTTTATCTATTAATAGCCAATTTTCCATTCTTTTAACCTTTTTATTCCTAATCCTTAATCTTAATCTATATATAACTTTAAAGCCTGTATAGCTAGAAACCATTTAATTTCAATCCAACATCACTCTAACATTCATTAATTTTGCAGTATTTCTGTAAATAATCTTTGAATTTCTTCCAATCTTCTTCCACCGACTCTTCTCCCTGGTCACGGATTCTGCCAGTCATTTCCGCCAGTTCCATATAGTCCATCAGTTTCATCTGCCATTCCTCCAGTGTGGGGAGCTCTTGTGTCTTCCAATATTTTGCGATGAGTATTCTTGCTGCTGTTGTTGCATACATAAAGAAAGTTCTATCCTTTTTTAACACCGTTTGGCCGACTATGCCCAGGAGAAAGGCCTCTGCTTTCTTCAGGAAGGTATATTTAAATACCTTTTTTAATTCATTATATATCATTTCCCAGAAAGCCTTAATCTTAGGGCACGTCCACCAAAGGTGAAAAAATGTACCTTCAATTTCTTTACATTTCCAACATTTATTATCGGGCAAATGATAGATTTTTGCAAGCTTGACTGGGGTTATGTACCACCTGTATATCATTTTCATAATATTCTCTCTTAGGGCATTACATGCCGTAAATTTCATACCTGTGGTCCATAACTGTTCCCAGTCAGCGAACATAATGTTGTGTCCAACGTCTTGTGCCCATTTAATCATAGCAGATTTCACCGTTTCATCCTGAGTGTTCCATTTCAGCAGCAAGTTATACATTCTTGACAAATTCTTAGTTTTGGGTTCTAACAGTTCAGTTTCTAATTTTGATTTTTCCACCTGGAAGCCTCAACACACTATAAAAAAGAATATAATATATCTCATGTTACCTGTGACAGAATTGTAGGGGAATGTTTAAAGTAGTTTTGAAACAGTCACAGATGTTCTATGTATGCACCGTTTGTCACACAATACACATCGCAATTGCAAATGCCGTTGCACAACAAACTCCATTTTGCTCAATTCAAGAACACAAAACGTCTTCTCCACTGCAGACGCAGCCATTTCACGTGACACGCGCACTATCACCTCCATCACTTTATGAGTACATCTACCTCACGGTTCGCAGCTGTTTTCCGTGTCGGCGCCTGTCTTACAGGATCTGGAAACTGTATATTTCATTATGAATCACCCTGTATTATATTATTTCGGTGTCCAATCACAGCATTACTGTAGGATTTTTCATTTCAATCAATCAAATCTTTATTACGGTAGTAGACCAGCATCAGTAGGGTGGGGTACAGTCATTTCCAATCTGTAAAACGTAAAGCTAAAAAATATTAAAACACAAAGTATACATAAAAGTCTAAAAGAAGCTAAAAGAGGGGTTTCGGAGCATTAAACGGATGTGGAAGAGCATAAAAGGTTAGTATATAAAAGACTATGGCTCTCAATTTCCAGGGCACTCTGATATGAGTGTTCATTAAATCTAGTGTAACAACAACAACAATTTATTTATACCCCACCATCTGGCTTGGTTTCCCCAGCCACTCAGGGTGGCTCCCAATAGAATATTAAAAACACGAAAAATACATCAAACATTACAAACTTCCCTGAACAGGGCTACCTTCAGATGTCTTCTAAAAGTCAGGTAGTTGTTTACTTCCTTGACATCTGCTGGGAGGGCGTTCCACAGGGCGGGCGCCACCACCAAGAAGGCCCTCTGCCTGGTTCCCGGTTTGTGGCACAGGTCATCATCCGATGAATTTGGAGCTTCATTTATTTCTGTGTTTATATTTAAAATAATTATGCATTTTAACAGTATTGCACCTTGATTGTAATATTAAGAATGCACTTAAAATTACTACTCACAACAATGAATAAGTGATTGCAATGCACACACAGTTAAGCAGTATAAATATGTGTGAACACTGTTCTTAAAAACATTTGTTAACCAAGTCTAATATTGCTATCTTTCTTATTGTGATTATTACTTATATTGCTACTAATCCCAGTGGCTTACAAGACTGAGCTCCATTCTCCCTTGGTCAGACGCCACCTGGAATACTGTGTCCAGTTCTGGGCACCACAATTTAAGAAGGATGTTCACCAATGGGAAGAAACCCCTCATCCCCCAGAGAGATGCCGGCTCAGACAGCCCCCTGAGCTTAGACTACGAAGCCTCTGAGGGCGTGCAGAGTGCAAATCCCCCCAGGGGCCCCTCTCTCTCCCGGGCTCACCTGGGGGCCCTGCCCCTGCCAGCCTCTCCGGCCTCTGAGGGCGTGCAGAGTGCAAATCCCCCCGGGGCCCCTCTCCCTCCTGGGGGCCCTGCCCCTGCCAGCCTCTCTGGCCTCTGAGAGCGTGCAGAGTGCAGCTGGACGGGCTGCAGGCGCTGGTGTCCCTGGCGGACGAGGAGGGGAAGGGGCCACCCTCAAAAGGCCCTGCGACTCCCGCCAGCCTCCGCCGTGGGCGCCGTCCAGGCTGCTGAGCGGTGGCAGTTGCAGTCTAGTTCCCAGCATGCACTGCCAGCTCCCTCAGGCCAACGGACAATTCCCAGCATGCCCCAAACTGTGGTTTTGGATTAATTTGAAATTTAACCGTTTTTTCCAGTGTATAACCAAATAAATCAATCCCAAGGTGTCTTTTGTTCGGTTTCACATATTAGCTTTATTGATAAATTACCCTTTATTAGGTTTCATTTCCCTCACGTCCTTCTTCCCAGCATGCTTTGCTGCCCCTTCTTCTCACAAACAAGGATCCTGTTTCCCACAATTGAAATTTACTTGTTTTCCAATGTATAACTAAACAAATTAAACCCAAATTGTCTTTTGTTAGGTTTCACTTATTAGCTTTATGGATAAATTATCCTTTATTAGTTTCATTTCATTTCCATCACATCCAGCATGCTTTGCTACCCCATCTTCTCACAAGTATCCTGTTTCCTATTTTATTTTTCACTAGACATATTTGGATTCTTCCATTTAGACTTGATGGAGGGGCAGCATTTGGGAATCCCTGTGAATGATTATAGCAACAAGAGATTCAGATTATGTTTATATGTCAAATCCTTCATAGGGGTGGCAGGTCCCGGTGAAACATAGCTTCATTTGGTGGTATTCACAACCTTTGTTTTGTATTCTCTTTGTATCAGGTCAGTTCTGTTGGAACATCCTATTCATTATTATTTTTAAATGATATTTATTGAAGTTTCACATGAAAAGAGACATTTTTATAAAAAAAAGAAAATTAAAAATAGAAACAGAATAGGAACATCCTATTCATTGTGCAGTCTCTTGAGAATATATTTTATGTTAGGAACCCCTTAAACTAGACTTTGACTTTAGACTTGGTTCATTTTTTTTCTTTTTGGTTATTTTATATTTCTTACTGGAATGTTATTTTAACTTTACAATAATGTTTTAATATATATATATATATATATATATAAACCAATAGTTGGTCTGAAGCTCAACATCAAAAACTAAGATCATGGCCACTGGTCCCATCACCTCCTGGCAAATAGAAGGGGAAGAAATGGAGGCAGTGAGAGATTTTACTTTCTTGGGCTCCATGACCACTGCAGATGGTGACAGCAGTCACAAAATTAAAAGACGCCTGCTACTTGGGAGAAAAGCTATGACAAACCTGGACAGCATCTTAAAAAGCAGAGACATCACCTTGCCAACATAGGTCCGTATAGTTAAAGCTATGGTTTTCCCAGCTAGTGATGTATGGAAGTGAGAGCTGGACCATCAAGAAGGCTGATCGCCAAAGAATGGATGCTTTTGACATTCTGATGCTGGAGGAGACTCTGGAGAGTCCCATGGACTGCAAGAAGATCCAACCTCTCCATTCTGAAGGAAATCAGCCCTGAGTGCTCACTGGAAGGACAGATCCTGAAGTTGAGGCTCCAAGACTTTGGCCACCTCAGGAGAAGAGATGACTCCCTGGAAAAGACCCTAATGTTGGGAAACATTGAGGGCACAAGGAGAAGGGGACGACAGAGGACGAGATGGTGGGACAGTGTTCTTGAAGCTACCAGCATGAGTCTGACCAAACTGCGGGAGGCAGTGGAAGACAGAAGTGCCTGGCGTGCTCTGGCCCAGGGGGTCACAAAGAGGCGGACACGACTAAATGACTCAACAACAACAACAAAACTAATAGCAAGAGATTCAGATGATGTTAGGGATTGAGTTTAATCAGTCAGGTACCAATCAGAACAATGTGAATGGTCAGAAATAATGTCCACACACGAAAATATTTCCATGGAGTTTTGCACCATTGCGTGTTCTCCTCCCCATCTGCCTGGCAGCTCACAAATAAGGCTCATCTTTCGAAAGTTCCCATTTCCGTGGCGCAGGGCCAGGTTTCACGGGCTTTCTTTCCGTTGGTGCAATAGAAGATTCTGAGCTGGAGGGGAAGAGAAACAGAAGATGGTTACATTTCCAAATCCTCAAAGGGTACAAGAATGTAGGGGGACCCCTGAAAAACAACTGAAAAATAAGACTGAAACTTTTTAATTGATTTCATATTAGTTTTGAATACAGAATGTTAAGTTTACTCAATAAGGCTTCCAGCTTTGGTGGAAAGATTAACAACAACAACAACAACAACAATAAATTTTATTTATACCCCGCCCAATAATAACAATAAATTTTATTTATACCTCACCCTCCCTGGTCAGAGCCAGGCTCAGGGCGGCAAACACCAGTAAAATTACAATAAAAATGTAATAGGGGGAAAAACAATTTAAAATACAGGTTAAAATGCAATTTAAGCAGAGCAAATATTAGCACTGCTCGATTAAAGGAATACTGAGGCTTTTAAGCCAAGTCCCCTCAGAGGGCACATACTATATGGTGTGAAGATCTGAAGAAAAATATTAAAGGTTAGAGCTCTTTCCATTTGGAGTTTTCCAGTTTGGGAGAGAGCAGGAAAACAAAGGGATGAGGATGACTAGAGATTCACAAAGTTATACATGAAGTGGAAAAAGACACATTTCTCTCTCTGTCATACCTACAGGTTCAGGGTGTTAGTATTAATTTAAAAGGCTCTGAATAATTTGGGTCCAAGATCCCTCAAGGAGCAAATCCCTTATACCCCCTGCCTGGTCACAGGTTGTCAGAGGAGTCACTCTTAATGTTTACTATGAAACTTCCTTCCAGTTGACAGGCCCTCCTAAATGTCTGGTGCTTGCTACACACCTTTTCTTTATTACCGCAGGCATTTTAGTTGACATTTTATTGTATAGTTTTAACTGGTTGTTTTTTGTTTTGTTTTTGTATTAGAACCATACAGTAGAATCGCAGAATTGTACAGTTGGAAGGATCCCCCAAAGGTCATCCAATCCAACCCCCTGCAATGCAGGAATAGCACGTAAACAATTCCAAACCTCTGCTTAAAAACCTCCAAGGAAGGAGAGTCCCAAAATTAGTAACGCCCATTAATTTAAATGATTCTACTCTGTTACTAGGGATGCGGGTGGCGCTGTGGGTTAAACCACAGAGCCTAGGATTTGCCGATCAGAAGGTCGGCGGTTTGAATCCCCGTGATGGGGTGAGCTCCCGTTGCTCGGTCCCTGCTCCTGCCCACCTAGCAGTTCGAAAGCACGTCAAAGTGCAAGTAGATAAATAGGTACCGCTCCGGCGGGAAGGTAAATGGCGTTTCCGTGCGCTGCTCTGGTTCGCCAGAAGCAGCTTAGTCCTGCTGGCCACATGACCCGGAAGCTGTACGCCGGCTCCCTTGGCCAGTAAAGCGAGATGAGCGCTGCAATCCCAGAGTCAGTCACGACTGGACCTAATGGTCAGGGGTCCCTTTACCTTTACTTACTCTGTTACTGAATGTGGGAAATTTAAAACGTGGTCAAAAACCAACAATTCATGTCTTGCCAGACAGGCACATGATAGGAACTGAAGTCTGCAGAGTTTTCCACCAAAATACTTCATTAAACTGGATACATCCCAGGCTGACCAGAGAGTTTTAATCCATTGACAGCTCAAAATGAAACTAAAGGAGCCACTGGGATGAAGCTGTGCCAGCTGTCTGTCTACAATTTTACCTTGGCTGCGCCAGTCCAGTAGGTGAGTGTTTTCTGTAGGCTCTTGAATCAAATAACAGCCAGGCTTGGCCCCATTTAGTTTCCAAGATTGCTAGGCTGAAGTGGGTGTAGACCAAAAGGAACACAAAACCTACCTGGCATGTTGCTGCCCTGGAGCCAACCTTTTCTGAGCTGATACAAGGACAATGGGAGGGAAAGTCTCCCGGCGTCCATCGCGGGTGCAGTAGTAATTGTTTGCAAATTTATGGCTGGGGCCGACAGGGAGGCGTGGAGGTGGCTGAGTCCTAAAGAACAAGACGTTTAAGAAGGTCAAACAATGGAAGGGGGAAGTCTAACAGGTTTGGTTCATTTATCTGACAAGTCATTAGCAAACAACAGGACTGATCTCCTATAAATCGAAAGGAATCTAAAGGGCTGAGCTCAAATGACATTTCCTCCCCGTAATATGGCATGATTTGATTTCTTACACAGATATTGAGGCACATGACCACTCAAGCACCATCGGCATATGCAAATGTCTGGCTTGTTTTAAGACAATATAGAGCCTTTATTCACAGTAATAATGGAACTCACAGGTGGAGGGTGCGAATCCTCCCACCCAGCCTGGAAGCTCATTGGGTTGTTCACTCACTCTCAGGCTGGCCTACTTCACAGGGTTGCTGTGAGGATAGAATGAGGAGGAAAACTACCTACATGACCTTGAGCTCCTTGCAGGAAAGGTGAGATATACAGTGGTGCCCCGCAAGACGAATGCCTCGCAAGACGGAAAACCTGCTAGACGAAAGGGTTTTCCGTTTTGGAGGTGCTTCGCAAAACGAATTTCCTATGGGCTTGCTTCGCAAGACGAAAATGTCTTGAGAGTTCCTGCGGGGCTTTTTTTCCCCCTTTTCCCAAGCCGCTAAGTCGCTCATCAGCTGATCCGCTAAGCCGCTACAGCTGATCGCTAGCCGCTAATCAGCTGATCCGCTAAGCCGCTTATCAGCTGATCCGTTAGCCACTAAGCCGCTTAACAGCTGATCCGCTAAGCCGCTAATCAGCTGATCCGCTAAGCCCGCTAAGCCGCTAATAGTGCTAATCCGCTAAACCGCCAATGGGCTTGCTTCGCAAGACGAAAAAACCGCAAGACGAAGAGACTCGCGGAACGGATTCTTTTCGTCTTGCGAGGCACCACTGTAATGTACAAAATAAATATTGTTCATCAATAAATTTACTCAATACTCTAAATTTCTTCTCCATTACTTGATTTATATCCCACCCTTCCAAATGAAGGAGCCCCGACAGCAGTAATAAAACATATTAGTTTTGTGTTTTTTTAAACCATTATCTCAGGGTTATTGGAAACAGTGTCTTTCAGCCTCAAATGTCTGGGCAAACAGAAACGTTTTAGGATTCCATAGAATTGTAGGGTTGGAGGGGACCTCAAAGGTCATCTCGCCGTCCAGCCCTCTGCAATGGAAGAACCTTTTGCCCGCTGTAGGGCTCGAACCCATGACTTTGAGATGGAAAGTCTCATGCTCTGCTGACTGAGCTGTCCCAGCTCTGACTTTCTCCTGAAAGTCAATCATATGTGCAATTCAGAACTTGTTTCATTGGGGGAGAGAGGCCTGTGGCTGAGATCTGAACCCAGGGCTTTGGTTCCCTTCCAGGGAAAAGCAGCGAATGAACCCCTCCCACACTTGACAAACCCCCCTTACCTCTTGGCAATCTCTGTGTAACGAAGCTGAAGTTTCGCTTGGAGATCTCGCTGTTAAAAAAAAGGGAGAAAGACAAAGAGGGGCAAGTCTCAAGTCAAGTGTGCCACCTGGAGGGCAGGAAGCCTGTGTTTTCTTAAAAGCTAAACTGCAACAAGAACTGGCAATCTGAAACCAAGTTAATACAGTGGTACCTCAGATTTCGAACATAATCCATTCCGGAAGACCGTTTGACTTCCGAAAAGTGTTCCAAAATGGAAGCAATTACTTCTGGGTATCTGGCGTTCGAAAACCAAAACGTTCGGTTTCTGAGATGATCAAAAACCGAGGTACCACTGTAATAGCATTTCAATGAGCAGAAATCGTATTACTTGCCCAAAAAATGGAAAGATGCATAAATCCCAGCGAAGGAAGAATGGATACAAAAATTAACGGAATATGCAGAAATGGAGAAACTTACCGCAAGTATAAGAAATCAAGATAACAAGTTTTTTAAATAAAAGAATGGAAATGGTTTATTGAATATTTACAGATGAATTATAAATACAGTAGATAAAAACACTGTCAGGATTATTGTAATAACCTGCAGTTTTATAAGAGTATATATTTAAAGAAGATGAATAAATGAGCAAATTAAATTAATTTGGATATGCAGGAGATATTAAAAACAAATTTAAGGAACGTCAGAAAGAGGGTGAAGGAAGTCGAGTTTTGAAATGTCAAAATGATTGTAAAATTAGTGAAATATATAAAATTAGTGAAATGTATAAACTTGAAAAGAATGAATGAATAAATAAATAAATAAATAAACAAACGTATTTCAATGGGCCTGCTTTAGGTTTCATTGCAAGCAAGGCGATGAATGAAAAGTCACAGCCACAACATGCATCTAAAGCATATTTAGAGTATGTGGCTTTGAATTGCAGTTAAAACAACTAAACTTAGTCCCATTTAAAGCACATGATTCTCCCCCCCAACTCCTGGGAACTGTAGTTTTAAGGGTGTTGGGAATTCTAGTTTTGTGGGGCATCCTATTGTTTTGCAGAAGAAGCCATATTCATTGGATTGCCATTTAACTGCCTTTTAAAAAAAAAATGGGGGGGGGGTTCCCCATTTTAATCAAGGAGAAGGACTACAACCCCCATGATCCCTTGTACAGAAAGGGGACAGGGCTAGGCTATCGGATGGGAAACCATGCGGGGGGGGGGAACGGACAGATTAGAGAACTGGGCCAAAACAAACAAGATGAATTTTAACAGGGAGAAATGTAAAGTATTGCACTTGGGCAAAAAAAATGAGAGGCACAAATACAAGATGGGGACACCTGGCTTGAGAGCAGTACATGTGAAAAGGATCTAGGAGTCTTGGTTGACCACAAACTTGACATGAGCCAACAGTGTGACGCGGCAGCTAAAAAAGCCAATGCAATTCTGGGCTGCATCAATAGGAGTATAGCATCTAGATCAAGGGAAGTAATAGTGCCACTGTATTCTGCTCTGGTCAGACCTCACCTGGAGTACTGTGTCCAGTTCTGGGCACCACAGTTCAAGAAGGACACTGACAAACTGGAACGTGTCCAGAGGAGGGCAACCAAAATGGTCAAAGGCCTGGAAACGATGCCTTATGAGGAACGGCTAAGGGAGCTGGGCATGTTTAGCCTGGAGAAGAGGAGGTTAAGGGGTGATATGATAGCCATGTTCAAATAGATAAAAGGATGTCACATAGAGGAGGGAGAAAGGTTGTTTTCTGCTGCTCCAGAGAAGCGGACACGGAGCAATGGATCCAAACTACAAGAAAGAAGATTCCACCTAAACATTAGGAAGAGCTTCCTGACAGTAAGAGCTGTTGGACAGTGGAATTTGCTGCCAAGGAGTGTGGTGGAGTCTCCTTCTTTGGAGGTCTTTAAGCAGAGGCTTGACAACCATATGTCAGGAGTGCTCTGATGGTGTTTCCTGCTTGGCAGGGGGTTGGACTCGATGGCCCTTGTGGTCTCTTCCAACTCTATGATTCTATGATTCTAAATCCACCAGGCATAATTTCCCACTACCGTTGCCACAGGGATCCTTAGAGCAGGGTTTCCCAAACTTGGCTGTCCAGCTGTGTTTTGGACTACAACTCCCATCATCCCTAGCTAGCAAGACCAGTGGTTAGAGATGATGGGAACTGTAGTCCAAAAGCAGCTGGAGACCCAAGCTTGGGAAACACTGCCTTAGAGCAGCAGTTGTCAACTTGCGGGTCCCCAGATGTTATTGGACTACAACTCCCATCATCCCTGAGCTCTGGCCTTGCTTAGCTAAGGGTGATGGGAGTTGTAGCTCAACAACATCTGGGGATCCACAGGTTGAGAAAGGCTGATCTAGAGCAGGCATAGGCAAACCTGGCCCTCCAGATGTTTCTGGGACTACAACTCCCATGATCCCTAGCTATCAGGACCAGTGGTCAGGGATGATGGGAATTGTAGTCCCAAACATCTGGAGGGCTGGAGTTTGCCTATGCCTGCGTTAGGCAGTGTTCCCCAACCTTGGGTCGCCAGCTGTTTTTGGACTACAATTCCCATCATCCCTCGCTAGCAAGACCAGTGGTCAGGGATGATGGGAGTTGTAGTCCAATAACATCTGGGGACCCAAGGTTGGGGAACACTGCGTTAGAGTCTGCCTGCCGGTTCCCAGCCCGGTTCGGTTCTTACCCCGGCCGCAAAGTTGCGGATCTTCTGGATGAGGCGGGTGGCCGACGCCATTTTGGCCTGTGTTGTCAAGGGCACGGGAGCCGCGGGGCACCTCGGGAAAACGACGATTCGGAAAGTCTCTTCGGGGCTTCCGTAGTTATGTGTAGTGCCGCGTGGCACGCCGGGAGGAAGGGAGTCCCTTGCGGCAGGGAGAAGGTCGCGCAATGCACCCTGGGAGTGGTGAGGGAAACGCTGTGAGGAGAGGCCTGCTGTCTCTCTCTTTCTCCCTTCCTCTTTCTTTCCATTAAGTCTAAATGGAAGAATCCAAATCCGTCTAGAGAAAAATAAAGTTATAGGAAACAGGATACTGTACTTTTTTGTGTGAGAAGGGTGTAGCAAAGCATGCTGGGAAGAAGGACTTGAGGGAACCGAGTGTGTATTTGTGGAAATAAATGAAACCCAATAGAGGATAATTTATTAATAAAGTTAAGAAGTGAACTCTAACCAAAGACAACGTGTGATTTATTTATTGATACATTGAGAAACGAGTAAATTTCACATTCAACAGAAACCTCTCAGCGCGGGGCATGCCGGGAAGCGGCGGTTGACCTGACGGAGCTCGCTGTGCATGCTGGGAAGCAGCTCCCACTTTGGACTACAACTCCCGCCACCCACGAGCGCTGACAGCGTCGGCGGAGGCTGTCGGGAGTTGAAGTCTTTACGTCACACCCCCCTTCCCGGAGCTGGTAGGCGTGGCCTCTCCCCCTCCGAGGGTATATAAAGGCCCGGCCCCGGCCACGTGACCCTTTCCGCCCGCTGCCTTCGCCTCCGCCATGGACACGAGCCGCGTGCAGCCCATCAAGCTGGCCCGAGTCACCAAAGTGCTGGGCCGGACAGGCTCGCAGGGGCAGTGCACCCAGGTAAGCCCGGGAGAGAGGTGGGGTGGACAAGGCCTCCCCCCATCCTGCTCCTCCACTTCCGGGGGGGGGGTTTGCACTCTGCACGCCCTCAGAGGCTAACCACCCCCTTCCTCCTCCTCTCGTCTCGGTGCCTGAGTCTGGGCCTCTTGGAAGAAATTTAAAGACTACTTACAGAAATACTGTAAAATTAATGAATGAAAGAATGATGTTGGATAGTAACTAAGTGGTTTCCAGCTGTAATGCTTTAAGAGAATATGAAAAAAAGGGTTATAAATGGGTTAAAATCTAATGGTAAGGATTTGCTGAACCAATAAATTGGAGTGGAATACAAAAAAGGGAGGTATGAGGAGGTCCGGGAAACAAGTTAAAGGAAAATAAGTAACTGGAAATATGTGTGTTTTTAATTGTTTTTATTTTGTATTTTTCTCTTTTCTTTTTCATTTTTGCTGTAATATTTCAAAAACTTAATAAATATCTTATTTAAAAAAAAGATGTAGGAGGCACGCCACCAGAGGGTTGGACTAGATGATCCTGGGGGGATTTGCACTCTGCACGCCCTCAGAGGCTTAACCACCCCCTTCTTCCTCCTCTCGGTTCCTTAGTCTGGGCCTCTTCAAGATGAAGGAGGGGCCTCGGCGACGCCACCAGAGGGTTGGACTAGATGATCCTGGGGGGGGGGGACTTGCACTCTGCACGCCCTCAGAGGCTAACCACCCCCTTCCTCCTCCTCTCGGTTCCTTAGTCTGAGCCTCTTCAAGGCGAAGGAGGGGCCTTGGCGACGCCACCAGAGGCTTGGACTAGATGATCCTGGGGGGGGGGATTTGCACTCTGCACGCCCTCAGAGGCTAACCACCCCCTTCCTCCTCCTCTCGTCTCAGTGCCTGAGTCTGGGCCTCTTCAAGGCGAAGGAGGGGCCTTGGCGACGCCACCAGAGGGTTGTGTGATAGGAATTTTATGGTTTTAGATATATGGCAACGTTCATAACCACACGTACATAGATCAGCACAGGAAAGCCAACCTGGAACCATTTTGATTCCTAAACTGAGCAAATGTTTCTCTGCATGGTAAAAATGGAAAAGCCTCCCCATTGTCTCTTCCTTCACAAATCCTGTCTTAATCTGTGTTTGAATAAGGGTGTGAGCCTTATCATTACAAAAGACTGCCAAGGCTCCCCAAGAAATCCAATCAAGTAACCTGCCAGACAGGAAATAAACAAAGCGACAGGAGAAAACAACATGCAAATGTTCTGTTTTAGACCGCCTTATCTGAGGGGTGGTCTTAGGTTACACCCCTTCTGTGATGAATGCATAATGTTTCTGGGGGTGGTCTTGATCTAGAGGATGGGAATTTCAAAAGTCTTTATAAGCCCTTGCACAGCATTTTTGGGGGTCCTCTTCCTCTCCTGCGTGTGAGGGAGCGCCCTGTTGCAACAGATCAATAAAGATCAGGCTTACTAGCTGCTTTGCTTCTCAATATTCTCTGGTTGGCCTCTGTTATTTTCTCCTACCAATAGGGAACCTATGTAAGGACTCTATATGGGCTCTTGGATACCCCATAAGGGAAAAGGGCATGTTTTTATTTACAACAGTTGGACTAGATGATCCTCGGGGGGGGGGGATTTGCACTCTGCACCTCCTCAGAGGCTAACCACCCCCTTCCTCCTCTCATCTCGGTGCCTGAGTCTGGGCCTCTTCAAGATGAAGGAGGCACGCCACCAGAGGGTTGGACTAGATGATCCTGGGGGGGATTTGCACTCTGCACGCCCTCAGAGGCTAACCACCCCCTTCTTCCTCCTCTCGTCTCGGTGCCTGAGTCTGGGCCTCTTCAAGGCGAAGGAGGGGCGTCGGCGACGCTGCCAGACACACAAACACACTACCTCGCCATCAAATTTCTTGGGTCAGGGCATCAGAAAAGTTTGGTGGTTCGAACTCACTCGGGGTTGGACTAGATGATCCTCGGGGGGGGGGATTTGCACTCTGCACCTCCTCAGAGGCTAACCACCCCCTTCCTCCTTGTCTCGGTGCCTGAGTCTGGGCCTCTTCAAGGCGAAGGAGGGGCCTTGGCGACGCCACCGGAGGGTTGGACTAGATGATCCTCGGGAGGCGGATTTGCACTCTGCAAACTCTCAGAGGTTAAGCACCCCTTCTTCCTCCTCTCGTCTCGGTGCCTGAGTCTGGGCCTCTTCAAGGCAACTCTATCAGACACACAAACACACACACTACCTCGCCATCAAATTTCGTGGGTCAGGACGTCTGAAAAGTTTGGTGGTTCGAGCTCACTCAGGGGGTTGGACTAGATGATCCTGCAGGGGATTTGCACCTGCACACTCAGAGGTTAAGCACCCTTCCTCCTCCTCTCGTCTCGGTTCCTTAGTCTGGGCCTCTTCAAGGCGAAGGAGGGGCCTTGGCGACGCCACCAGAGGGTTGGACGCGATGCTCCTGGGGGGGGGGGACTTGCACTCTGCACGCCCTCAGAGGCTAACCACCCCCTTCCTCCTCCTCTCGTCTCGGTGCCTGAGTCTGGGCCTCTTCAAGATGAAGGAGGCACCCCACTAGAGGGTTGGACTAGATGATCCTGGGGGGGATTTGCACTCTGCACGCCCTCAGAGGCTAACCACCCCCTTCTTCCTCGTCTCGGTGCCTGAGTCTGGGCCTCTTCAAGGCGAAGGAGGGGCCTTGGCGACGCCACCAGAGGGTTGGACTAGATGATCCTCGGGGGGGGGACTTGCACTCTGCACGCCCTCAGAGGCTAACCACCCCCTTCCTCCTCCTCTCGTCTCGGTGCCTGAGTCTGGGCCTCTTCAAGGCGAAGGAGGGGCCTTGGCGACGCCACCAGAGGGTTGGACTAGATGATCCTCGGGGGGGGACTTGCACTCTGCACGCCCTCAGAGGCTAACCACCCCCTTCCTCCTCCTCTCGTCTCAGTGCCTGAGTCTGGGCCTCTTCAAGGCAACTCTACCAGATACACAAACACACACACTACCTCGCCATCAAATTTCTTGGGTCAGGGCATCAGAAAAGTTTGGTGGTTCGAGCTCACTCAGGGGGTTGGACTAGATGATCCTCGGGGGGGGATTTGCACTCTGCACCTCCTCAGAGGCTAACCACCCCCTTCCTCCTCCTCTCGTCTCGGTGCCTGAGTCTGGGCCTCTTCAAGGTGAAGGAGGAGCCTTGGCGGCGCCACCAGAGGGTTGGACTAGATGATCCTTGGGGGGTCCCTTCCCGCTCTTCAACTCTTGGGGTAGAAGTATTTCGTAAAAGGGTTCCAGGAACGAAACCCTCGGAAGAGCCTCACTCCTTTTGCAAAGTTTAAATGCAGTTGCACGGGGGGTGCAAACCTCAAAGCGCTCCCCTGTAAAGTGCAATCGAGAAAAAAGTTTGCAGCCCTATTTAAAATACTACTAATAATAAATTATTATTTCTATCCCACCCATCTGGCTGGGTTTCCCAGAAACTCTGGACGGCTCCCAATAGAGTATTAAAAACATGATAAGACATCAAACATTAAAAGCTTCCCTAAACCCATTAATGCCACCTTGATTTTCCTAGAAGCATCTGGGTAGGTTTGTAAACCTCCCTGTGAGTGATTATTATTATTTATTAAATGTGTGTATACTGCCATTCATCTGTAGATCTCAAGACAGTTCACAACATAAAAATAAAAAAATTCATTTAAAAATGAACAAAAGCAAACCATAACACCCCCCTTCAAATGTGAGTCATCGTTACGAAAATAGGTTGCCCTCACTTGCAGAATGGTTAGTGTAGTGCCTGCACATACTAAACAGCTCCTAACACCTTGATCCTTGGATGAAGTGCAGTGTATAATTTAAAATAAATAATGACGATTAAGCAGTATAAAAATGCAATGAACTTAGCAACACTAGGGTCTTTTGCAGGTGACCTCACGGCAAGGCTGGGTAGCTCTCTAATGTAGTCCTGCAATAGAAAGGAAAATGTATTCTGTGCGTGCTCAGGGGAACCCTGCCGTAAATATTTGAAGCCTTGCTTTCAAAACAGGTTCAGTTTTTGGTTGCCTGTTGTTGCAACCCAGCTCCTCTGCCTTGGTTCCATTTCATCCTGCTAATGCCTCACTGTCTCCTTCGTAGGTCCGTGTGGAATTCATGGATGACACCAGCCGTTCGATTATCCGCAACGTGAAAGGCCCAGTCCGGGAAGGGGATGTCCTCACGCTGCTGGAGTCTGAACGCGAAGCCCGGCGGTTGCGCTGAGCTGTAGCCAAGTGAGTCTTCTTCTAATTACCCATCCCCTTTCGAGCAGAGCGCAGTTCAGCCTTGCTCAACCCTGACATCTTCCAGATTATCGTTTAATCTCCTTCCCCAGGTGTTTGAAAAAAGCAGTGCACGAAACACAATAAAAGCAGCTGAAGGCAATACTGGTGGGAGCGAAAGCAGCAGATACGTGTAAAATCCACGGGGAGGACAGGAAGAGAACGTTGCATTGTGCAAGGAGAAATTAATAATAATTTATTATTTATACCCCGCCCATTTGGCTGGGTTTCCCCAGCCACTCTGAGTCGCTTTCAACAGAACATTAAAAACAGAATAAAACTTCAAACATTAAAAACTTCCCTAAACAGGGCTGCCTTCAGATGTCTTCTAAAAGTCAGGTAGTTGTTTCTTCCCTTGACATCTGATGGGAGAGTGTTCCACAGGGCGGGCACCACCACCTAGAAGGCCATCTGCCTGGTTCCCTGTAACCTCACTTCTTGCAGTGAGGGAACCGCCAGAAGGCCCTCAGAGCTGGACCTCAATGTTTGTGTTGATGCCTCTTTGACTGCAACCTGGTGGTTGCATCCATCTGAGTTGCACTGGGATTAGAGCCACTGAAATTAAGGAGTCTCTGAGTAGGAGTAACATTGGATAGAATCCACTATTGGAGAGACCTATTCACCCAGCTGGAAAAAGCCCTTGGGAACAAAAATGTCTACTCTCTGTTCTCCAGAGAGTAGACACCTGCCATATCTCAACAGGAATGCTATTTCATAGAAAGGGCCGCCAAATTAAAAGCCTTGCTCCGAGTTAACGTGGAGTGGCCCTCAGATCTTTGGAACTTGCAGGAAAAGGATGCTTTTAAATCCCAACTCCCATACTCTGGTCCATTGAACCCATCATCAATTACAGGTGTTAAACATTCTAGTTTCAGTCTGCTTTCCTGGCCAGGATTTTGGCAGGTCTCCCCTTTCTATCCACCTAGCCTTAAACAAAGCCTTTTTAAGAATCCTGGGGCATCGTCATGCCTGCAGTTGTCTGATCAATAGTTGGTGGTCCATAGGCATGCTGAATGATTGAAACTGGGGTGTTGGTTCTCTTCACTTAGGATGAGTTTAAACAACCTAGCAACTGGCTTTGAATTGTTGCAGTTCACTAGAAAATACAGTGGTGCCCCGCAAGACGAATGCCTCGCAAGACGGAAAACTCGCTAGACGAAAGAGTTTTCCGTTTTGGAGGTGCTTCGCAAAACGAATCTCCTATGGGCTTGCTTCGCAAGACGAAAATGTCTTGCGAGTTCCTGCGGGTTTTTTCCCCTCCCCCCCTTTTTCTAAGCCGCTTATCCGATAAGCCGCTAAAAGCCGCTAATAGCGCTAATCCGATAAGCCGTCAATGGGCTTGCTTCACAAGACGAAAAAACCGCTAGACAAAGAGACTCACAGAACGGATTCTTTTCGTCTTGCGAGGCACCACTGTATTCCCCGGGCGTAAGGAAAAACCTTTGCGTTCAAACTTGCTCAGAGCCTCAGTTGCCCCCCAAATGGAAAACCTTGCAGGATATGCCACTTTTGCTTTGGAGTAAAAATAATAACTCGTAAATTGTGTTTTGTCAAAGGCTTGGAGGACCCAGTGCTGTTTGATGGAATTTTATCTTATCTGCAACCATACAGACACACAGGACTACCTCTCCACAGTACAGAGTGAAAATTGGTTTTCCTAATGGTTTTGAAGGAATTCAGCAACATAATAATATCATTGGAAGATCACAACATAAAAATACAAAATAGGAGCACAAAATACATAATAAAACAAAAACAAACCAATAACACTCCCCCCCCAGCACATTTAAAAGGCCATAGAAGCTTCCTATTCTATTGGATGTACTGTGCTGCTTTTGTAATTCATTATTTTTATTACATTGTTTTGTTTGACTTTATTTATATTTTATTGTCGATAAATTATTTTATTTTGCAACGCACACAACACTAAAAAGGGGGGGGGACTTAAACAGAAAGTACAAAAACAAATGCAAAACAAATACTGAACTTCTAACCACCTGTCAGGGGTTCAGGGAGAGAGGCACAGGGTAGGCAGGAGATGGAGAGCGATGGGGATGAATTCCAAGCCAGCGAGGAAGAGGATGACAATGACTCAAGAGATTCCATGAGTCTTTCCAGCGAATCAGAGGATTCCCAGAAGGGGGCGCCGGTGGTCAAGGCCAGGAGCCCCAGGGGGACGTGTCAGGAGCAGGGGGCCAGCGGGGGATCCCAAAGTGGCAGCTGGGCGTCAGGACCTGCCTCCCCACCAGAGTGCAGCGAAGGGGGTGGAGTTTCCAGTGTGTCAGGGAAGCAGCTCCGGCAGCAGAGAAAGGAGGGAGGTCAGAGCAAGCCGCCCTCCCGGAAGGGGGGGGAGCAGTGAAGGGAGTAGTGTAACTGTCAAAAGGAAAGTTAGAGGTTTGGCCCGCGCGCCAAGTTCAAATGTAGAGGCGCGCGGAAGTACAGGGAGCCCGGAGGAGGGGCCAGGTCCCAAAGCCCGCAGGAGGGGGAAGAGCAGTCTGATTCCGCGTCAGAGGAATCCAGGAGGGGCGAAACCCCAGCGGGCAGAAGGACCCTGCGGAAAAGGAAGGAGAGAAAGAGGTGGAGCAGCGCAAGCCTCTTAAATTGGTGTAGGGGAGGGACGGATTCAGAGGGGACTTCAGCGGTCTAAGCGTAGCAGACGTAAGGCTGCGCGCCTAGGATGTCAAGCAAACAATGAACTGCAATAAACACTTTTGTATATAAGAAGACATAGGCGTTGGTCTTTTGTGAGCTGAGACTTGAGGCAGCCTTGACACCACCTTTCAGAAAAAGGGAAAAAATGACTGACTTGACTTTAAATGTGCTCGGAATTCCAATTCCTGTTCACCCCAGCCACCAGTTGGGGGGAGTCCAGCCCCGCTTGCAGGTCCAGATTGTGCAGTGCTGATCATTCCCCTAATCTTTCTGGCGCTCTGAAATTCAGCTGCCTGTCGATAGGGTTGAGGCATGCAACTAAATCCCGGTTTGTTTTGTTTTCTAGGTTGGGTCAAAACTCCCATGCGATGTGTTTGTACAAGCCTGGTTGAAGAGTGATGAGCTGCCCTCGGTCCTTCCAATAAACTTCCTTTGCCCTCCACCACTTAAACTTGTGTGCAGTGTTTTTAAATTACCATAGCAAAATATTTCGTAATGGTCGAAATAGTTGTATGGTATGAGTACATACGCAGCCCTTTCTCCCTGCCCGCCCCGTTTAAGCCCAATCCCTATTCATTAGGTAGGTAAAGGGACCCCTGATCATTAGATCCAGTCGTGACCGACTCTGGGGTTGCAGTGCTCATCTCGCTTTATTGGCCGAGGGAGCCGCGACAGCTCCGGTCATGTGCCCAGCATGACTAAGCCGCTTCTGGCAAACCAGAGCAGCGCACGGAAAGGCCATTTACCTTTCTGCTGGAGTGGTACCTATTTGTCTTCTTGCACTTTGACGTGCTTTTGAACTGCTAGGTTGGCAGGAGCAGGGACCAAGCAACAGGAGCTCACCCCGTCACGGGGACTCGAACCGCCAACCTTCTGATCGGCAAGTCCTAAGGCTCTGGTTTAACCCACAGCACCACCCGCATCCCTTATCCTTATTCATTACTGCAGTTATACCCGAGGGGCAGGTGGGGCTTGTCCACTGGGAAGGTAGCCCATCTAGGAGAAGGAAAATTGGCTGCCTTGTGGGATATTTTTTCGGGAGAAGAAAAGGCAGTGCACCCTATACTGCAGACGAGCGAGTCCCACAGATGGTTGAGTGGCCCCTTCTGGCAACTCCTGCATCGAAGCCAGCACCAAACGTCTTGCTCTGCTTTCCTCTGGACTGTATCAGCAAGGCCACGAGGGGGGTCTTGTTGTCTCGGGACCTCCAGACACGCTGCCCGGGGTGTGCACATCGGTGCTGCTCATACAGTGGTTTCACCCCGGAGGCACACTCCATTATCTCAAGGTGGCGTAGGAGCCTGCAAGCTATCTTCAGCCCTCCGCATTTTCTTTGCACACACCGTCCCCACTCTTAGGTCACCTCCACGCCATACATTTAAAGCATGCGGCTTCACACAAAGAACTCTGAGAACTAGCGCCTCCTCTTTGCAAAGCTACAATTCCCAGCACCCTTCCAACACCACAGTTCCCAAAGTTTCTTGTGGGATGGATCAAATCTATGCTTCCAGGTGCCATAAAGCTGCAGGATCGTGCACACCCCGGAAATGATCTCTTTCAGCTTCTGCCTTCTGGAAGAAGGTACAGGGTTATAAAGACTAGGACTAGCCGCCTGAGAAACAGTTTCTATCCAAATGCGATTTTGGTTTTAAACACAGTGTAAGGAGTTCTGATTTAAAATCAATATAGTTTTGCAAGTATCCTTTAAACACCTTCCAGTCCTTGTCTAAAGGATACTTGCAAAACTATATTGAATCAGAACTCCTTTTAGAATAAACAAGTTCCGTTATAAATACTGAAATACTAAATAAGATGGATAACAATGTGTAACAGAAAAAGAAGCAGGAAAATGGTTTAAAGGTGTGAAAGAAAGTAATAGAAGTGGAAAGAAATTGCAATTGAGTAGATTTGAAGTTTAGCACAAGGGTGGGGTGAGGGGTAAGGGATGGTGGTGGAAAAAAGAAGTATCTGGGATTGAGTGTGGGTATTAATGCTGAATTATTTTAATAACAAAAATTATTTTTTTTAAAAAAATTAAACAGTGTAAGGAGTCTCTATAGGAGTATATTGTATTTAAAAATGGGGTATCAGAGTTTTTAGGGGCTAACCAGGTTGAGATAGCAGGCTTGTTGGTTTTTGAATGTCTCATGTAGATTTGATTATGGTGTGGGTGTGCCTGTATCCTCTGATTTATTCATGTATCTTTGCTGGTTACTGCAACAGCTTGAATCCTCTTCCTTGGCGCCTGATGTATTATTCAAAGGTCCCAGTTTCAGGACTGGGGCAGACCTGTGCCTGAAGCCCTGCCCAGCTATTCCCAATTGGTGTCTACACATGGAGGCATGGCTTCAGCTCTCCAGGCCCGTTTTATCTTTCCAAGGTCATGCTCCATTCCTAACCGCTTTTGCCTGTCTAGAATGTGCCATTGGAAACCTCTGCCCACCATGGGACTTGTGGCCTCTGGAAGGTTGCCCATGAGGAAATGCAGTCCTCGGGATCAACAAGTTTCTCTGCCTCATGCAGATGACATGGATATAGATTGGACAGTGGCCTGACTCTGTGTAGACACCACACATCTGAAGCCCATGTCTCCCCCTCCCCCCACCCAATAGCAATAATATTGAGAACTGCGGTTCCTAGACAGCATCTTAAAAAGCAGAGACATCACCTTGCCAACAAAGGTCCGTATAGTAAAACCTATGGTTTCCCCAGGAGTGATGTATGGAAGTGAGAGCTGGACCATAAAGAAGGCTGATCGCCAAAGAATGGATGCTTTTGAATTCTGGTGCTGGAGGAGACTCTTGAGAGTCCCATGGACTGCAAGAAGACCAAACCTATCCATTCTGAAGGAAATCAGCCCTGAGTGCTCACTGGAAGGACAGATCCTGAAGCTGAGGCTCCAAGACTTTGGCCACCCCAGGAGAAGAGAAGACTCCCTGGAAAAGACCCTGATGTTGGGAAAGAAGGATGGCACAAGGAGAAGGGGATGACAGAGGATGAGATGGTGGGACACTGTTCTCGAAGCTACCAGCATGAGTTTGACCAAACTGCGGGAGGCAGTGGAAGACAGGAGTGCCTGGCGTGCTCTGGTCCAGGAGGCGGACATGACTAAACAAGAACAAGAAGTTCCTATAATTCCCAGCCCTACAGTTCACAGGAGTCTTTGGTAGAAGTCATCTGCATTATATAGATGGGGTGTGTAAACAGATTCTCTGTACAACAGTTTTTGTTGTGTGCTTAGACTGATGTCAAGGCATCGGGGCCTGGGAAGATTTTCCCAAGCTGCTCTGTTATTCAAATGCTGTAAAGTTCTGTTACTGATCCCTTTTACTTCCCCAACGGGGAATGGGGTGGGGAGGGGGTGCATCTCAGCTGCTTAGCTAGGAACTTCGTGGAGAGAGGCTGGTGCATTTTTCGTATAAGGTCAGGCTGCATATTTGAAAGCGGCATTGCGGCATGTAAGGTGGGCAATGGTGTTTCTGGGTTGAACGGCTGTAGCTCAGATGTAAGAGCATCTGTTTTGCATGCAGAAGGCTTCAGGGTCCATTCCTGGCATCTCAGAGAGTTGGTAGGGGTCCCTGAGGGTCATCCAGTCCAACCCCCTGCAATGAAGGAATCTCAACTAGATCATACATTACAGATGACTATCCAACCTAAACACACTCAGTTCCCTCAACTGTTCCTCATACGGCTTGGTTTCCAGACCATTGGTCGTGTTGACAGAGAAACAACTGGGGAGGCTGGTTGGTGCAATTCCCAGGGTGAAAAGCTTTAATAAAGACTTTATTAACAGTAAAAGGGCTTAACTATTCCTGCACTATGCCGTCAAAATTCTACAACTTTCCCCTCCTTTTTTTTTTTAAACCCTGCCTGCTGGAATTGCAAAGGACAAGTGTTGTGGGTTAGTGGCTCTTTATTCTGGTGAATAACATCGGAAGACATTATTTAAAAAAGGAGCTTTGCATATGAAACGATGCGCTGGATCTTTGGAGTGGCTCTTTAAAAAAGAAAAACCAGCAGTCTGGAGCAAAGAAAGATTAGATCACTTCTGATTCAGAGAACCTCCGTCCTTCACAGAGGAAACAGTCTGTTGCTAAAAGCAGGTAGGTATGCTGGATAAGAAAAGTGCCTTCGGGCATAGGATGTTTCGGCCGCTCTAAAAATCCGTTGCTCTTGAGAAACAGGCACGATGGCAAGAAGGGTTCTTAAGCTAGCTTGGCCTTCGAAAACTGGGCGCTCTTCCAATATTTTGCTCTACAACTCCCATCATCCGTAATCATGGCCGGGCTGATGGAGTCCGAACAACAGCAAGAGGAATTGAAGTTGAATCATCTATATATTTTGGAAAGTAGGTTGCCTGTCGGTCCTCTTTAGGGTTCCCTGCCTCTTGAGATACTGTCACCAGCCTTGGCATGACAGATCCTGAGGTTTGAGCAGCAGCCATCGAAGGTTTGAATGCCGGGTGCCATTCTGATTCTAGGTGGCGGACTGAAATCTGACTTCAGCGCCACTTCAACTGTTTCTTCTTTGTTTTTGCATAGCTTCGGCCGCCTCATGAGCTGAGGATGGCAGCCTTTGTCGGCGTTCGGACACCAGACACCATTTTAAACCAAGGTGGTGGACAAAAACGTGGCTTTGGCGTAACAGGTTCAAACTCACAAATTACACTAAAAAGCACAATATTCTGGGGGTTCTTCACATTCCCGGGCAATGCAAGGTCCCGTATATATCAATTATTTTGCGGGAAGTGGCATATAAACCCCCTTCCTCACAGAAAACAGGCAACAACAATAAGTATGGATCGAACTGCCCCCCCCCCAGTCTAAAGTAATGATGAAACAGGTTGACCTTCTTTTTCTTCTTTGGCGATCCCTCGTAGCTGAGTAAGATTGTCTTCCATAAACACAGTTTTAACAATGAGTCCGTAAGTGACTGTGGAGGCCAATTGTGGATCCACACGTCATTCCACAGTGGGGACAGGAGCTTCCGGGCAGGAGTTGGTCATGGTTTGGATTTGCCAAGTGTGCCTTCCTCCTAGCACATTTCGCCCTTGCGTCCTGAGTTCGAGTGTCTTCAAAGCCCATGACACCTTTGGTAAAGGCTGTTCTCCAACTGGAGCGTTCGCAGGCCAGTGTTTCCCAGTTGCTGGTGCTTATACTACATTTTTAAAGATTGCCTTGAGAGAGTCTTTAAACCTCTTTTGTTGACCACCAGCATTATGCTTTCCATTTTTAACTTCGGGAGGACTAGGGCCCCACCCAGGGGAAGGACTGGCAGATTCCTCCACAGCTGTGGATTCTTAACTCCTGCGGCTCCTTCCATGTGGAAAACAAAGGCTGGACAGCCCCCAAGCAAGGCTGTTTAAAAAAAAGTGATGGGAAGGGCAGTGTTTGGTTTTTTTGGGTCAGTGAAATACGCCAAAGGTAGCATGTCACTGCTGGGAATGATCCTGTCCCTGTCCTGTAGAAATATAATCAAATCAAATCAATCTGTATGCAGAAAAAAACAAAAGGGGGGGACGGACGCATAGCAGTTACTGAAACAGTAATTAAACGTAAAGGACCCCTGACCATTAGGTCCAGTCGTGGCCAACTCTGGGGTTGCGGCGCTCATCTCGCTTTACTGGATGAGGGAGCCGGCGTTCAGCTTCCGGGTCCTGTGGCCAGCATGACTAAGCCGCTTCTGGCGAACCAGAACAGCACACGGAAACACCGTTTCCCTTCCCGCTGGAGCGGTACCTATTTATCTACTTGCACTTTGACGTGCTTTCGAACTGCTAGGTGGGCAGGAGCAGGGACCGAGCAACGGGAGCTCACCCCGTCGCGGGGATTCGAACCGCCAACCTTCTGTGGTCCTAGGCTCTGTGGTTTAACCCACAGCGCCACCCGCGTCCCTTGAAACAATAATTATTACTTACTAATTTACTTACTTACATGCCGCCCATCTGACTGGGTTGCAGTCAAAAATCACAAACTTTAAATTGTAAAACAGAAAATTTAATAAAATTATGAAGTTGGTGGGGGGGGGAGAGAGAACAGGGCTGACTCACTAGGTGAGCAGGCTGCTGACTGGGCGAGACGGGTAGATATCAACGCCGCTATGTCATGATGACCAGCTTCTAGAGCGATGGAAACAGCGTCGTTGCCTTCCTACAGACGGGAGGGGAGGCAAAACACACGTAAAACAAGGCTGGAAGATGCCCTGTTTAGCTACACAGAAACAGAACCACCTACAGGGCGAAATGTGGCAGGTCTATTCTCCCCGCAACTGCCGCGTGAGATGGCCGCCTCAGAGATAGGAAGCAGCAGAACCTCATTGCTTCAGGTTTAGGGGTTGCCCGGCTCCACCAGGAATCCCCAGCCCCTGAACTGGGCCAGCTGGTCATGATGGGAACAACTCTTTAAGAAACGGGTGCCTGAGTTTTCCTCTTCCCTCCTTGTTCCTTTCCCCTTGTGTGCTGCGTGTGGGGTTTTTTTCTGAGGCGTCATTTTTTTGTTGTTGCACGTAAGCCTCTTTGGGCAGCATTTTGGGAGGCACAAATGCTCCAAGCGTTTTTGCTAGGGATTTTAGGACGAGCCCTGCCAAGAAAAATGAAGAATTTATTTATGTATGCAACAACAGCGGCAAGAGTCTTGTTAGCACAAGGATGGAAGAATGAGGAAACCCCAGCGAAAGAACAATGGCAAGAAAAATCGATGAGTTATGCGGAGTTGGCAAAGTTGACATATAAATTACATGAGAAGGGGCAATTGTGACTTCAAGGAAGAATGGGAACTTTTTACAAACTATCTTAAAAAAACAACAAAATGATTTGGACTCCTTGGCAGGTTTTGAATAAACATCCACAAATTTATTAGTAGAATATATGACAGATAAGGCACTGATATGTACAATTTTTAACATGCAGAGAATAATATGTGCAAACAAATCAGAGAGGGGAGCTGAGGGAAGTCCTTAGGGGGTGGGGGGGATGTAATTGGTTATTTTGTTTGATAATTTGTTTTGTTAAAATGGTTTAATAAAAAATATATTCATAAAAATAAAGAGCCAAAGTGAATACCAATGATGTGATTGTATATAATTAAATGGAAAACTAATAAAAAATATTTTTTAAAAGAATATATTGAAAGGGACCATGAGGACTAGGAGCTTGAAGTGGGGGGAACCCGAAGCTCCCTGTGCAGAGCAACCTAGCTGCTTACTGAAATATACTCAGAGTCGAGAGTGGATTTCATGCTCTTTAATTCAGCTCATAGTGGTGAGGAGGAATGGAAGTTCCCCCAGAATGTCTGCCGTATATACATTATTTACACAATGGGCCCCACGTGATTGGCTAATTCCGGGATTCTCCTGTAGGCCATTCAGGTTGCGGATTCACTTCCACCTGGAGCTGGATTGGGTAGCTCCTGTGGACCAATCAGACTGCTGCATTGTGGGTCCTATTGTTCTAGGACCAATCAGGCTGCTGCATTCTGAATCCTATTGTTCTAGGACCAATCAGGCTGCTGCATTCTGGATCCTATTGTTCTAGGGCCAATCAGACTGCTGCATTCTGGGTCCTGTTGTTCTAGGACCAATCAGGCTGCTGCATTCTGGGTCCTGTTGTTCTAGGACCAATCAGGCTGCTGCATTCTGGGTCCTGTTGTTCTAGGACCAATCAGACTGCTGCATTCTGGATCCTATTGTTCTAGGGGCAATCAGGCTGCTGCATTCTGAATCCTATTGTTCTAGGGCCAGTCAGACTGCTGCATTCTGGGTCCTTTTGTTCAAGGACCAATCAGGCTGCTGCATTCTGGACCCTATTGTTCTAGGACCAATCAGACTGCAGGATTCTGGATCCTATTGTTCTAGGACCAATCAGACTGCTGCATTCTGGGTCCTTTTGTTCTAGGACCAATCAGACTGCTGCATTCTGGGTCCTTTTGTTCTAGGACCAATCAGGCTGCTGCATTCTGGATCCTATTGTTCTAGGACCAATCAGGCTGCTGCAGTCTGGATCCTATTGTTCTAGGGCCAATCAGACTGCTGCATTCTGAATCCTATTGTTCTAGGGCCAATCAGACTGCTGTTCCTAGCCGGAATTAAGATTGCTGGAAGAAATATCAACAACCTCAGATATGCAGATGACACAACATTGATGGCAGAAAGTGAAGAGGAATTAAAGAACCTTTTAATGAGGGTGAAAGAGGAGAGCGCAAAATATGGTCTGAAGCTAAAAAAACGAAGATCATGGCCACTGGTCCCATCACCTCCTGGCAAATAGAAGGGGGAGAAATGGAGACAGTGAGAGATTTTACTTTCTTGGGCTCCATGATCACTGCAGATGGTGACAGCGGTCACGAAATTAAAAGACACCTGCTTCTTGGGAGAAAAGTGATGACAAACCTAGACAACATCTTAAAAAGCAGAGACATCACCTTGCCGACAAAGGTCCGTATAGTTAAAGATATGGTTTTCCCAGTAGTGATGTATGGAAGTGAGAGCTGGACCATAAAAAAGGCTGATCGCTAAAGAATCGATGCTTTTGAATTATGCTGCTGGAGGAGACTCTTGAGAGTCCCATGAAGATCAAACGTATCCATTCTTAAGGAAATCAGCCCTGGGTGCTCACTGGAAGGACAGATCGTGAAGCTGAGGCTCCAAGACTTTGGCCACCTCATGAGTAGAGAAGACTCCCTGGAAAAGACCCTGATGCTGGGAAAGATGGAGGGCACAAGGAGAAGGGGCCGACAGAGGACGAGATGGTGGGACAGTGTTCTCGAGGCTACCAACATGAGTCTGACCAAACTGCGGGAGGCAGTGGAAGACAGGAGTGCCTGGCGTGCTCTGGTCCAGGGGGTCACGAAGAGTCGGACACGACTAAACAACAAAAGTTCTAGGAGCAATCAGACTCCTGCCTTTTGGATCCTATTCAACTCAGTACATAACACTTACATTATCCACGGTGGAAGCGTCGCAGTCCGGCTGAGTCAGCAGCAGCCTGACGGTGCCTGCCCGCCCGTGTTCGCAGGCGCACATGAGTGCAGTGGACCCCTCTTCATCTTGAAGGTTGATGTCCGCCCCACAGGACAGCAGGGCCTCCACCATCTCCTGCCTCCCGTGGCTGACAGCAAGCATCAGGGCCGTCTGGCCAGCCTGGAGCGACACAGACAAAAAAATGTTGAAAAGCACTTTCTTATCGTTCTCAAATCTTCCGTTTCATTAGCGCAAACGCAGGATTTTCCCAATGACCAGCACAGGGTGTCCAGTGAGATTCCTCCGATCTTGTTTAATTTTATTCTCAACCCCAAAAGCACTTTCTTATTCTAGTAATAATTATTCACAGTATAAATACCGTATTTTTCGCTCCATAAGACGCACCTAGTTTTTAGAGGAGGAAGACAAGAAATAAAATATTCTGAACAAAACAGTGGATGTATGATTTTTGTGGTTCATGCTGTGGCCACAGACATGATATGTGGTTTGACGGTGAGTATGGGGTAGCCCAGTGCAAAAATCCTGAGGATCCACGTGGATCCAGGCTTTGTAACCACATTTTTGCGTCATTGCGGCCCCATGAAACAGTGGATGCGTGGGTTTTTTTGGTGCAGACTGTAGCCATGGGCATGCTATGTGATCTGATGGTGAATTTGGGGTGACCCAGTGCAAAAATCCTGAGGATCCATGGGCTTTTACCTCCCCGCTCCCAGGCAGCCTCCTTTATCGCTAGCCTCCCTTATCTCCCTCCCGATCGCTTGCCAATCAGCTGCTCAGCGGCTTTGTTTCAACACCCACTGCCCTCTTTCTAAAAAAAAAAAAAAAGCATGATCTGCTTTTCGCCCCTAGGCAATTTGGCTCCAGGGACCACACATTTGCTCCATAGATGCACAGAGATTTCCCCTTATTTTTTAGGAAGGAAAAAGGTGCGTCCTATGGAGCGAAAAGTACGGTAATTGCCACTGACATTTTGGCCTTTTTCCTTTCATCTTTTTCTTTTCTTTTTCCAATTTCCAATTTTGTTTTGACAAAGTAATAATCACAAATAGATAAGAATAAAAATGCGCACCCTACCCTCAAGACCGTTCCACTGTAATTATCCAGCCTCCCAAAATTTCAACACCTCTGGCGATGGTTTCACCACTTTCTAACCGTACAAATTCTACAAACAACTTCCTTATCTCCTCCAAATCATTTCTCCTGCGTATTCCCCATCTTAACCTTAATGGAACATGTTGATTTATCATTAATAGCTATATCGTACGCCTCTTTATACCATTCTTCCAATTTATATTCTGCTTGCTCCTTCCTAGCTAGAATATGATGATAATAATACAATGCAATAATGATGATCATGTGCAGTATTCCAGTGTGCCTCTGAGCATGCGCCGACTGCCTAGGCTTCTCAGTTTCCTGCTGTCCAATAGCAGAGGGGCTGGTTGCTGCTCCCCACCCCCCTCCCTGAAAAACCCCATACATACCTGGCTAGCTTTCGCATTGACATTCCCCATGCCAAAAAGTCTCCGGACAACGGCCATTTCCTCTTCCTGCTGTACAGTTGCTAGTGCAGTTAACATCAGAGCTGTGTAGCCAGCTTTGTTCTGGTAGTTAACATTACAGATCCCTGGGGAGACGAGGAGAAAAAATGCAAGAAACTGATGCAAGTACTCTACTCATGGCTGTCTAAGTCCGGCTCGGGGACGGTCCGGGAATCAGAGATGCATTTTAAATAAAAGCACACTTTCTATTCATGTAAAAACACCAGGCAGGCCCCACAAATAACCCAGAGATGCGTTTTAAATAAAAAGACATTTTGCTCATGTAAAAACATGCTGATTCCCGGACCGTCCGCAGGCCAGATTTAGAAGGGGATTAGGCCGCATTCGGCCCCTGGGCCTTAGGTTGCCTACCCCTAGGTAAAGGTAAAGGGACCCCTGACCATTAGGTCCAGTCGTGACCGACTCTGGGGTTGCGGCGCTCATCTTGCTTTATTGGCCGAGGGAGCCGGCGTACAGCTTCCGGGTCATGTGGCCAGCATGACGAAGCCGCTTCTGGCGAACCAGAGCAGCGCATGGAAACGCCGTTTACCTTCCCGCTGGAGCGGTACCAATTTATCTACTTGCACTGGTGTGCTTTTGAACTGCTAGGTTGGCAGGAGCAGGGACTGAGCAACGGGAGCTCACCCCGTCACGGGGATTCAAACTACCGACCTTCGGATCAGCAAGTCCTAGGCTCTGTGGTTTAACCCACAGAGCCACCCGTACCCCTGGTTTAGACTAAATGTGATCCACCTGGAGAAGGAACTGGCAATCCACTCCAGTATTTTGCCAAGAAAACTCCATGGACATAAAAAAGGAGAAGCTTTGAGAAGAAATGTTCCTTTGGGAACATGATATATAATGCAATTAAGAAAATTTTCAAAATGACTTTCCCCCCAAGAGGTCAGAATGCTTCCTGCTGGGGACACTAAACAGCGAAATCGACGGCATTTATGTATGTGACTACAGCAGCAGGGATTCTCTATGCTCAGAAATGGGAGGAGGAGAGAACTCACCCTAAAAGGAAGAACGGTTGGTGAAAATCTTGGAATATGCAGAGATTCTAGTGTATATAAAAAGTTATTTCCTATAAATGTGAAGACCCCAGCGGGGTTTGAAGTGTAAGAAAGCGGCAGAATAAATTAAGAAACACATTAAGGTAAAAAGGTAAAGGGACCCCTGACCATTAGGTCCAGTTGCAGCCGACTCTGGGGTTGCGGCGCTCATCTCACTTTATTGGCTGAGGGAGCCAGTGTACAGCTTCTGGGTCATGTGGCCAGCAGGACTAAGCCGCTTCTGGCAAACCAGAGCAGCGCATGGAAACGCGTTTGCCTTCCCGCCGGAGCGGTACCTATTTATCTACTTGCACTTGACGTGCTTTTGAACTGCTAGGTTGGCAGGAGCTGGGACCGAGCAACGGGAGCTCACCCCGTCACGGAGATTCGAACCGCTGACCTTCTGATTGGCAAGTCCTAGGCTCTGTGGCTTAACCCACAGCGTCCCAAGAAACACATTAGAGAGGATGAAATTAGATAAGATTGGATTGTTTTTATTTCTTTTTTTTTATTACTAGGATTGTTTTATAAAATTGATGAATGTTAGAAAAATGTTGGAACGAAATTACTTGGCGTTAGCAAAAATGTTTAAAGAATTATGTAAGAATATTATGGTTATGAGAAGTTGGTAAAAATAAGATTTAAGTTTTAAGTTTTAAGGTTCTTTATAAGATAAGATGAAAATAGATTAAGGTAATGTAATGACAGAATATTATGAAATATGGAAAGGATTTGCTGCGACAATTAACAACTAGGATACAAAAAAAGGGAGGAGGAGGAGGTCAAAGAAAGAAGGTAATGAAAGTTGAGGATTCGAGAATGATGGGTTTGTTTTTGTGTGTTTGTGGTGTATTTTTGTTTTTTGAATTTGTATTGTTTGATGTGGTTTGTTTTTTCTTTGTTTTTTCTTTTTCTTTTTCTGCTTTGTTCTCTTTTGTAACTCTAAAAAATTTTCAATAAATATCATTTAAAAAAAAAGAAATTAGATAAGATGGAGCGATTGCATGTAATTTGAATTGTGAACATCGATGCTGCGTGAGTGGGAAGTCACACTCGTTTTGTTGAATAACAAATGCAACTTTTATAGAGAAACTCTCTCTCTCTAGATATATATAATTACAAAAATGAGGTCTGAATTAGACTAATTCTCCTTTAAACGCAAACGGAACAGGATTTCTCCTCCATTCCTGGCTGCAGGAGGACTACGTTGGCGACCCCTGACCTTGGGGCCACTCACCTGTGTCCAGCAAAAGCTGGACGATGTCGAAGTTGGAATGCGAGACGCTGTAGTGAAGGGCGGTGTTGCCATTGCCGTCGGAGAGGTTGACGACGTGCGTCAGTAACGCGGGGGAGATTTCGGCAAACGCCATCAGGTGCTGGGCCACCTCTCCGGCCAGAGAGGCCTTTTGGCTGGACAGCCGGAACCATTCCTGGAGGAGGAGGCTGGAGCTGGAAAGCTGGAAGCCAAAACAGAGGAGCGGTTTCGATCCCTTTCCCCCCCCAAAATCCTCGCTGCAACCCTGCGAGGTAGACTAGGCCCAGCAAAACTTGCATTTGAGCACGGATCTGGACCCCCATCTTGGCTGGACACTTGTGTGGGGTTCTGGGAGTGCGCACTGCCATAAGTGGCCCCGATCCTTGAAAAATACAAGTGGAAAAGGCCCCCCTTCCAATAACAGTATTATTATTATTATTACCCTGACCATCTGGATGGGTTTCCCCAGCCACATAACCCTTTGGAGCAGGTTTTAGGGGTGCATTTTTGGGGGAAGCGGGGTGCTTTGATGCAGAAGAAAGAGTGATCCGGTCCTCATTCCACAGTCAGCTGACAGGCGCTATTGGATATAACCCAGAATTTAATTGTTGCTGTATAAAACTAAGTATGGGACGCAGGTGGCGCTGTGGGTTAAACCACAGAGCTTGGGACTTGCCGATCAGAAGGTCAGCGGTTCGAATCCCCGCGACGGGGTGAGCTCCCGTTGCTCGGTCCCAGCTCCTGCCAACCTAGCAGTTCGAAAGCACGTCAAAGTGCAAGTAGATAAATAGGTACCACTCCAGCGGGAAGGTAAATGGCGTTTTCGTGCGCTGCTCTGGTTCGCCAGAAGCGGCTTAGTCATGCTGGCCACATGACCCGGAAGCTGTACGCCGGCTCCCTTGGCCAATAAAGCGAGATGAGCGCCGCAACCCCAGAGTCATCCACGACTGGACCTAATGGTCAGTGGTCCCTTTACCTTTAAAACTAATTAAAATGACAATAAACAAATCATTCCACCTTTCCTCTAAGGTGCGAAAGGTGACATACCTAGCTTGTCCGCTCTCCATTTTATCCTCGCAACGACCCTGTGAGATAGGTGGAAAGATGCAGCTAATGGCACCGAAGGGGTTACCCAGTGAGCTTAATGGCGGAGTGAGGATTCGAACTCGGCTCTAGCCCCCACACTCTGACTACTACACCACACTAGCTTATGGAAGCCTTACGAAGCTCTGTTCACCACCTTCGGAGGGTGATTGTGTTATTTAATGCAAATAATAATAATAATAATAATAATAATAATATGTTAATGTCGATGCTCCCTCCGAGTGGTCAATCGGCCCCAACTCACCACCTCTTTGCTCTTCGGAGCGGCGCCATCTCTGGCCAGGTGGCTCCTCACCAGGAGACAAGCGTCCCTCAGCCGGGGACTCAGCTCAAACCTGTCAAAGGAAACAGCTTTTGAGCTTCCATTGAGTTGGAAGGGACCCCCAGGGGTCATCCAGCCCAACCCCCTGCAATGAAGGAATCTCAGCTGAAGCATCCGTGACAGATGGTCATCCATCATCTGCTTTGAAAACCTCCAAGGAAGGAGAGTCCACCACCTTCTGAGGGTGTCTTCTCGCAACGGTCATGTTTTATAATTCCCTACGCGATCGAAGTAGCTCTCCTATAGGAATTTTTGAAGCATCGGGCTGTCAGGAGCTCAGCCTACACTCGAGTAGGACCCTGGCAGAGACACATGCCCGACTGGCATGTTCTCTCCCTCCTGGTCCATTGTTTGGGAACTTCATAAGCCTTCTTCAGCCCGAATATCACAGCGACCGATGCCAACAGACATCGGCACCCTTAGGGATCCGCAGAGTTTGCCCATCATGCGTAACAGACCTCAGCAACTCAGCATTTTGGCTAATCTACTTTATTTACGGGATGCGGGTGGCGCTGCGGGTTAAACCACAGAGCCTAGGACTTGCCGATCAGAAGGTCAGCGACTCGAATCCCCGCGACGGGGTGAGCTCCCGTTGCTCGGTCCCTGCTCCTGCTAACCTAGCAGTTCGAAAGCATGTCAAAGTGCAAGTAGATAAATACCGTATTTTTCGGACTATAGGATGCACCGGCCCATAGGACGCACCTAGTTTTCAGGGGGGGAAATCAAGGAAAAAAATATGATTCCCCCCCCGCAGCTCTGGGAGCAGCGGACAGGCTGCACGCAGCCTGTCCTCTACTCCAAGACCTTCTCCCTGCTTTTGCGGGAGGTGGCGGAATTCCCCCACCTCCCGCAAAAGCCCACAGGAGCCCCGCGCGACTCCTGCGGGCTTTTCGACCAGGAGGGAGAAGGGACTGAAACGGCCAGTCAGTCCCTTGTCCCTCCTCGGGGAAAAGCCCCCAAGAGCGGCTCGCTCTTTAAAGGGTGTGCGGCTCCTGCGGGCTTTTCTAGGAATTCCCCCACCTCCTAGAAAAGCCAGCAGAAGCCGCGGAGCCCCTTTAAAGAGCACGAGGCTTTTGCGGGAGGTGGGGGAATTCCCCCATCTCCCCCAAAAGCCCGCAGGAGGGAGAAGGGACTGACTCGGCCAGTCAGTCCCTTCTCCCTCCTTGGGGAAAAGCCCCCAAGAGCCGCTTGCTCTTTAAAGGGTGTGCGGCTCCTGCGGGCTTTTCTAGGAGGTGGGGGAATCCCCCCCCCTCGTAGAAAAGCCCGCAGAAGCCGCGGAGCCCCTTTAAAGAGCACGAGGCTTTTGCGGGCTTTGCGGGAGGTGGGGGAATTCCCCATCTCCCCAAAGCCCGCAGGAGGGAGAAGGGACTGACTCGGCCAGTCAGTCCCTTGTCCCTCCTCGGGGAAAAAGCCCCCAAGAGCGGCTCGCTCTTTAAAGGGTGTGCGGCTCCTGCGGGCTTTTCTAGGAATTCCCCACCTCCTAGAAAAGCCAGCAGAAGCCGCGGAGCCCTTTAAAGAGCACGAGGCTTTTGCGGGAGGTGGGGGAATTCCCCCATCTCCCCCAAAAGCCCGCAGGAGGGAGAAGGGACTGACTCGGCCAGTCAGTCCCGTCTCCCTCCTTGGGAAAAAGCCCCAAGAGCCGCTTGCTCTTTAAAGGGTGTGCGGCTCCTGCAGGCTTTTCTAGGAGGTGGGGAATTCCCCACCTCCTAGAAAGCCGCGAGCCCCTTTAAAGAGCGTGCGGCTTGCCTGCTTTTGCGGGAGGTGGGGGAATTCCCCCATCTCCCGCAAAAGCCCAAAGGAGGGTTGGAGGGTAGCGGCAAGGCGTCGCGCGCCTTCCCGCTGCCCCCCATCCTCTGGGGCTGGCGATGGGGGAAGCGCTGCTTTCCCCACCGCCAGCCTCGAAGCCGGGTTGGAGGGTCGCGGCAAGGCGTCGCGCGCCTTCCCGCTGCCCCCCATCCTCTGGGGCTGGCGATGGGGGAAGCTCTGCTTTCCCCCACCGCCAGCCTCAAAGAGCAGACTCTCCTGGCTTCAGCGGAAGCAACGCAAAGCCTCCGGAGCGCAGGCTTCGGAGGCTTCGCATTGCTATCGCTGAAGCCGAGGAGTCTGCATTCGCTCCATAGGACGCACACACATTTCCCCTTCATTTTTGGAGGGGAAAAAGTGCGTCCTATGGTCCGAAAAATACGGTAGGTACCGCCCCGGCGGGAAGGTAAACGGCGTTTTCGTGCGCTGCTCTGGTTCGCCAGAAGCGGCTTAGTCCTGCTGGCCACATGACCCGGAAGCTGTACGCTGGCTCCCTCGGCCAATAAAGTGAGATGAGCACTGCAACCCCAGTGTCAGCCACGACTGGACCTAATGGTCAGGGGTCCCTTTACCTTTACTTTATTTACCTATAAACACACACTGGGCACTGCAACATGGCTCCCTCTCTCTCTAGCATCAGACAACAAAAGGACAAAGGACAAGAGTCCCACTTCACGGAACACAGTAACACAAACATCCTGTCTCCGTCACTTCCACTTTGTGGAGTCAAAACATATACCGTCATGTGAAAGACAACAATCCCATGACTGCAATCATGCAGCAGGAATTCTAACAAGGGCATCCCTGGATTAAGGGAGAAGAAATCGTGGACAAGAGCATTCGTTGAAGGATCAGTGCCAGATTTTGGCTGGTGTGGGTGGTTTCCCCCACACGGGGTGCAAAAATTGAAGACCCATCATTGAGAAGATACACACGACCCCCGTCTGCCCCTGATAGCGTGAATGAGAGGGGATTAAAAGAGGCGTGAGGGAAAGAAAAAAAAGAGAATATTCTTGTATGCTACAACAGCAGCAAGAATATTAATAGCTAGAAATTGGAAAAGTGAAATAGTACCAACAAAAAAAAGGAACGGCAGGATAAATTATTTGAATGTCTCAAATTGGCAAAAAGGACGGATGCGATTCGGAGACAGCCTAACCAAAAATTCCAAAAGGAACAGGAAATTTACAGAGATTATCTAAAAAAACCAAAACAGTGTCCCCAAGTCAAAACCTGGATTTGCTTTGATTAATTTTCACAAACCACAACATGGATTGCAAGTATTGTATGTGGGAAACAGTAGAAATGAAGAAAGGATAAAAGGAGCAGTTTAACAAATAGACAAAATAGACCCATGTTGTGGAGGACGGAATTCTGTTAGAGAAGAAAAGGAATTGGAATTAGATGATGATGATGAATTAAAGAATATGGTGACAGAAGTCCGTACGTAAGAATTTATGGATTTATGATTGTATGTATGCTTTTTGTATATATACCGGTATATATTCCCTTTTGGTTGTTGTGGTTGCCATTTTATTATTTTGGTTATTTTATTGTGTGTGTTTCTTCATCAAGTAAGAAAACCAATAAAAAGCAAAAAACAGAAAACAAAAAAAGAGGTGTGAGGGGTTTGCAATTTACATTAAGCTGAGGGGTGGACGGACCTTAAATCAGAAGAGAAAACTCATGCCTCCCTCTGCCCCTTTCTCAGTTGTGTGTAGGGAGTTATGATTCTGGTTATATATTTATTTGTGGCCTCGATTTTTCCCTGACAGGAACTCCAAGGCGGCTTACGGTTAAAAACCAGAACAGCTAAAAACGTAGAAAAACATTGACAGAATTAAAACTCGCTCGCTCACTCAGTCTATTAAAAACATACAGATCAATTACATTAAAAACAGCACGCCACCAGCCCTTTCCTTAAAAGCAGCCAGCTCCCAAAAGCCTGTTGGAGAAGAAGGTGCTTCACTTGCTGGCAAAAGAGCAGCAAGGAAGGAACCGGTCTGGCTTTCCAAGGCAGGAAGTTCCAACGTTGCCTGGGAGGAGCCACCACTGAGAAGGCCATCTCTCGTGTCCCCACCAAGAGGGCCTGTTGGGGTGGAGGGGGCGAGAGCAGAGCCTCCCCAATAGATCTCGGAGCCCAGGGCAGGTTCGCCTGAAGGAATAAGGTATTTCCGATCACCTTGTAGGGATTTGTGGGGCATAACCAGCACTTTTAATTGAGGCCCCGAAACAGATCGGTAGCAAGTGGAGCTGCTGTGTCCTGGATTTTAAGACTTACTTCTCCTTCACTTCTGGGGAAGCTTCTCCCAAGCTGTTTGCATCTTCGGCTTCCTCCAGATCGTGGCTCAGCCTTGCCTCCTCCTGGGCTGCCCCCGAAACGGGAGTATCTGAATCGCTGCCGCTGCTGTCCACACGGGAAGGCAAGTCGTCGTCGTCGTCGGTGGTGCTGGGAGTGTCACTGCCGAAGCCAAGCGGGGAGCCCTTCCTGGGGGACCTCTCCTCTTCCTCTTCCTCCTCTTCCTCCTCCTCACTCGAGGTGCTCTCGTACCTGCCAGGATAGATTGTGGGGGATCAAAACGGGGGTCTTGAGGGATGCAACTTGTAGGCAAGGACACAGCCAGGTACTCCTGACCCCTCCGGACCCCACAATCATCCCTACAGCGCCCCTTAGCCACGGACAAATTAGCTCTTCTTTCTGCCTCTCCTCCAAACCACCCCCCTTCACCCATTCAATTCACCCTCTACTTAAAACCTTTTCATATGAGGCAATAATTGACATTTTTATTTATAGACATATTTATGGGCATATTGTAAAGCCGATTTTGCCCCGCTTGCCCACCTCACCACCCCCTAGGTACTGCCCTGGCCTGTGGGCACATTTGAAAATATGTCACGAGCACCACAAAAAAACAAACCCATTTCACAGAATAAAAGATGGCGATGCTCAGATATACCCGTGGCACACAAAAAACAGGCAAAAATCCCCACACCCCTTAACACAAAGCGCTGGTTAAAGAAAGCAGGTGACATTTGCAAAGCAACCCTCCTCAATTTGTGTTTTTTTAATGGTAAAAGCAAATGGTGAATGCCAAGATGGGTATTTGAAGGCACTGTAGTGTCTGAGTCTTAAGTACTGACCCTTAAGAAGCAATCATCATAGAAGGAACACATCGGCCCTGAGTGTCTGATTGCTGTGGTTTTGCACTATGACAGTGTTCAGTCTACATTATGTAGTTTGTGGCTTTTAATTCAGATATGGTTTCTGAAGCATGTACAGTGGTGCCTCGCAAGACGAAAAGAATCCGTTCCGCGAGTCTCTTCGTCTTGCGGTTTTTTCGTCTTGCGAAGCAAGCCCATTAGCGGTTTAGCGGATTAGCGCTATTAACGGCTTAGCGGGCTTAGCGGATCAGCTGATAAGCGGCTTAGTGGCTTAACGGATCAGCTGTTAAGCGGCGTAGCGGATCAGCTGATAAGCGGCTTAGCGATCAGCTGTTAAGCGGCTTAGCAGATCAGCTGATAAGCAGCTTAGCGGATCAGCTGATAAGCAGCTTAGCGGCTTGGGGAAAAGGGGGGGGGGGAAGGAAAAAAATCCCGCAGGAACTCGCAAGACATTTTCGTCTTGCGAAGCAAGCCCATAGGAAATTTGTTTTGCGAAGCACCTCCAAAATGGAAAACCCTTTCGTCTAGCGGGTTTTCCGTCTTGCGAGGCATTCGTCTTGCGGGGCACCACTGTAGTTTTTAATGACAGAGACTTAGGGTTTTGACTTGTAGGGTATCACTGGGAAGTTGAGAGAAGTTTTTAAGGTCTGATGTTTTATCGTGTTTTAAATATTCTGTTGGGAGCCAACCAGAGTGGCTGGGGAAGCCCAGTTAAATGGGCGGGGTATAAATAATAAAATTATTATTATTATTATTATGGAACAGGCTGAGGATTCAGTCAGTCTCTTTGTGAACCACTTTGAGGCTTTTTTAAAACAAACACCACCACCATTGCTCGGTCCCTGCTCCTGCCAACCTAGCAGTTCGAAAGCACGTCAAAGTGCAAGTAGATAAATAGGTATCTCTCCGGCAGGAAGGTAAACGGCGTTTCCGTGCGCTGCTCTGGTTCGCCAGAAGCGGCTTAGTCATGCTGGCCACACGACCCAGAAGCTGTACGCCGGCTCCCTCGGCCAGTAAAGCGAGATGAGTGCCGCAACCCCAGAGTTGTCCGCGACTCGACTTAACGGTCAGGAGTCCCTTTACCTTTACCTAACTAAATAACATCTGTAGGGCTATAGATTCCCCACCTCTGCTATAAACCCACAGCTATCTCTCCAGGCTCCAAATACAGTGGTACCTCGGGTTACATACCCAGAAATAGTGCTTCAGGATAAGAACTTTGCTTCAGGATGAGAACAGAAATTGTGCTCCGGTGGTGCAGCAGCAGCAGGAGGCCCCATTAGCTAAAGTGGTGCTTCAGGTTAAGAACAGTTTCAGGTTAAGAACGGACCTCTGGAACGAATTAAGTATTTAACCCAAGGTACCACTGTAGTTGAAACTTCAGGATCGAAGACACCTGGGTCTCGTCTGCCATCCCAACCCCCAACCCCCCGAAAGAGAAGAAGCAAAAAAGACTCGTACTCGCCATTCAGAAAGCCCACGAACTGGAGGCTTTTCCTCCCACTCCCTGCCTCCGTCTTGGTAGGGCTGCCTCGCTTCTTCATGATGGATTTGAGGGCTCCTGGGGGGGGAAGAAGCAGAAGAAGGAACGTTTTTTAGGCACTTGCAGAAGCTCTGCCATTTTGAGCAGCTGGCGGGGGGCGGGGGCTGTACCTATCTAGACCCCGTTGTGGTTTTTAAGCTGCACGGTGAAATCTAGCCATGGGACCAGGGGGAGAACCTTGAGGATTCTTCCACAGTTATTGTATGGCTCAAGTCTTCCTGGTAAAAGATCTGCCCACGAGGATATACTTAAGGCTCCCTCATCAACATCAACATCATTTTAAATTTATATACTGTCTTTCTATCTTACAATACTCAAGGCGGTTTACAAGTTGAAGAACCCAAAAAATGTACCTCTCAAAACAATCTAATGCACTACAAAAATGCGACAATAAAACAAAACTTTAAAATAAGCAACCTACATCAAAAAAGTAACATTCAACAATTATTAGAATAGTATAAAATAATAATAACATATAAAAGTTAAACAGAAACCCACTCAACAGTTACAAGAAATACCGTATTTTTCGCTCTATAAGACGCACCAGACCACAAGACGCACCCAGTTTTTGGAGTAGGAAAACAAGGAAAAAAATATTCTGAATCTCAGAAGCCAGAACAGCAAGAGGGATCGCTGCACAGTGAGAGCAGCAATCCCTCTTGCTGTTCTGGCTTCTGGGATAGCTATGCAGCCTGCATTCGCTCCATAAGACGCACGCACATTTCCCCTTACTTTTTAGGAGGGAAAAAGTGAGTCTTATAGAGCAAAAAATACGATAATTTCTAAACAACAAACACACCCCTCTTCCCTCTAGCTGTTCTTCCCAGGCAGGAACAAAATGCACTAGAATTAACTGAACCGCCCTGAAGCACATTGAAGGGCATGAGTGGTGCGGAATGGATCCTTTACTGGAAAATACAGGGAAGCCTCCCCCGCCCCGCCCAAATCTCCAGATCTCCAGCTGCGGTCTCCCAGTGTGGAGGGAAGCACACTTTGCACATCCTCAGAGGTCCGAAATAAATAAATAAAACCCAGCCCAAGCTCCAGGTATGCCCGGATGCAAAAGCAGTGGAAATGGGAACATTTGGATTTCAGGCAGGTTGCAAATAGATTCGGGCTTTGAGCCGTGTTTAACCGAAGGAGGCTCACCAGCGCCTGTGGGGTTTTTTCCGGAATCCCGTTGCACACACACATCCTCCTGGTCCCTCGTCACGGACTGAGGGAGCAAGTCCAGATTCACACCCAAACTCTCTGTTTGCAGGGATGATTCAGTAACTCCACATTCCAGCAGCTTTCCGGGTTTTGCATCTTCCGGTACAGACGCGTCTGTAGCCGTACAGCGGTCTGGCTCTCCTGGAGCGGATCTGCCGTCCTCCCTCAGGGCTTTGCTTTCTGCCTCCGGAACAATCTGGGCAGCTTTCCCCCCACATTGCACAGGGGCAACATCTGGAGATTGCAGGCTGCAGCCAACTCCGACACTGGTCACTTGCGGACTGCAGTGGACGGCCTTGTCTACCATTTTGATGTGGTTGCCCACAGCTTGACACCGCATGGCTGGAGCAGCTTCCATGCTCGCCTCCACGGTCAGCGGCCGGGCCATCGTCTCCTTGCTGGTCAAACTCTTTGGCAACCTTGAGCAAACTTCCACCCTCAGCTCCTCGAGCTCATCGCTGGCCTCCTGCAGGTGTCCCTCCAGCATGGAGATGACCTCTCGTTGATGCTGGACTGTCTGCTGAAGCAACTGGATTTCCTTCTCGGCCTCCGACGAAACCCCGAGTAAGGACTCCATGACCCACACCTCTGCATCCTTGGTGTCAGCTTTTCGGCCGGCAGCCACCTCTCGGCTCGGCTTCTGGAACCGGTAGTAGAAGACCACCTCGTTCATGTCCACCTCTTCTCCGACGCCAACAGACCGGCACGTGGGCTCTCCGGTTTTGGAAGCAAGAGCTGCTCCTCTGCTCGTCTTCCTGGCTCTTTCTGAACCGGACAGTTTCTCCGTCAGTCTCTTCAACTCGGTGATTTTACTTGTCCTCGCTTTCGAAGGTTCGCTGTCGTTTTCGACCTCGGCACTGGCCCGAGAGCCTTCCTTGCCCTCGTCGGGAGCCCCTGCCTTAGGAGACTTGGGTGGGAAGTTGAAGACACAAGTCTCGCCTCCGTCCATCTCCAGCTTTTCCCACAGCCCGGCCAGCAGCTGCTCCTTCTCCTCCTTCAACCTGCAAACCTCCTTTTCTAGAACGGGGATGGTCTTCACTTGTTCTTCCATCTCCTTCAGCTGCCTGAGGGCTGTGGCCATCTGCTCACGGACGTGTTGGAGGTGGGCAGGACCGACGGCTGTGGCTGGCGTGCTCCTTCCTGAATTGGAGGGGCTTAACTTGACGGAGCCTGCAAGGCCTTCCCCGGTCAGAGAGTGATCTTGAGGAGACACAATCCTGGGGGGGCTACCAGGAACCCCAATGGCTGCAGAGGGTCCCCCTGCCCGCAGACCCAGCTGCTGTTCTTCCAACCGCTTGCTCGTCTCCTGCAAGGTTTCTTCCACTCGTGTGTTCCTCGTCAGCGATTTGGGAGGAGGAGGAGGAAGGAGGTGGATGATGGGAGATGGAGACACGGGGAGCGAGGCCTGTTTGCTCACGGGCTCCTTGATGTCGGAGGAACTACCCCACAGCCTGTGGCGTGGGGAGAAGGCTGCTTTCCGATCCGCGCTGGTGGTCGACGAAAGAGACTCTGTTGAAGTCCAGCCACTGGTTTGGCCCCGGGAAGAGTTTGGGGCCTGCTTGGCCCCCTTAGACTTGCGCTGCGGCAGAAGCTTCCGGAAGCTTTGGCCTTTCTCGATATCGTCGACGTACTTGAGGAAGTCGAGATCCAGCAGGAAGCCGTAGGGGGTCTCCAGCGAGTAGGACGCCTTGTCTCCACCCCCCTCCTCCTCCTCCTGGTCACGGTACAAGAAAGGTCCCCCAAGATCTGAAAGCAAGATGGACACAAACATGTATCAAAAGAAGAGCCGTCAAGGCAGTATGAACTCTTCAGTGCAACCCAACCTTTCCGGGTCCGTGTGCCCATTTGGAATTTCCTAAACATATTGTGGTTGCCAGAACAAGATGGCTGCCACAGGGGGAGGGGCTTGGCCAGTCGCAAATCGATTTGTTGCTTGTTCACTTTGAGTGTATGTTGCTCAGTGCTTGACTAAGCCACTTCTGGCGAACCAGAGCAGCGCATGGAAACACCGTTTACCTTCCCGCCGGAGCGGTACCTATTTATCTACTTGCACTGGCCTGCTTTCGAACTGCTAGGTTGGCAGGAGCTGGGACAGAGCGACGGGAGTTCACCCCGTAGTGGGGATTCGAACTGCCAACCTTCCAATCAGCAAGCCCTAGGCTCAGTGGTTTAGACCGCAGCACCACCCACATCCCTACAATCCCTGACTTAGGGGGACACCTAGGAGTCCCTCGATGAAGAATTGGGCTGTAAATGCCAACCCCAATTCTTTTCCTCAACAATTTGCCGCAGAGGGGAAATTGTAGGTTCCTGTAGTTTGATGTACAGGCTTCCTTCCTCTGGCTAGGGGTGGAGTCTTACACACACACAAACACACACAAACACAAAGCGATAAAAGTCTTCCACCCCATTGTGTCCCAGAGAGGCTTCCTCCTCTTGGCTGCAGAGACAGATATATGGAATCCTGGAATAACAGAATCGTCCTTTACAAAGTGAGAATGTGGTGCTGGCAATGCCAAGGTTGCAGGTTCGATTAATGCAGCTGCGTATTCCTGCATTTCAGTGGGTTGGGCTAGATCAGGGGTCGGCAACCTGTAGCCCATGGGCCACAAGCGGCCCACGGGGGTCGTTTTAACCAGACATAGGCAAACCCCAGCCCTCCAGATGTTTGGGACTACAATTCCCATCATCCTTAGCTAACAGGACCAGTGGCCAGGGATGATGGGAATTGTAGTCCCAAACATCTGGAGGGCCGGAGTTTGCCTATGCCTGGTTTAAACCGAGTCACTCGCTCAGCGAGTCCCCGCTCGCTGTGCTAAACTGGTGCAGCGCGGAGTGGGGATTCGCTTCCGCGACGCCAGAAATTGTGTCTGCATGGAGCAATCTCCGTGGGAGTGAACCAGCCCAGGTGAGGTAAACCTTGCTGACCCCTGGGATGGATGATCCTCAGGGTCCCTTCGAACTCCGTGATTTTATGAGATTGTGTGATGGCCTGGGATTCGGACTCGGATGCTGAACCTGAGGGATCCCAGCCTGCACAGGATTCCCCGCCTCCAGAACCAGCTGAGCCGGGGCTGGGGCATGAGCCTGAAGGGTCCTCACCTGTGCTGGGTCCTCAGGTGCAGGCATCAGCTGAGTCTGCTCTGGCTCCTGAGGGGGTGGAGGACCCACTGCCTGCAGGTGCTCCACTCTCAGCCCCGTCAGAGGAAGATGAGGTTGCCTCTGGGTCCAGTAACTCTCCAGCCTCTCCTGAGCTGCAGAGGCTCAGGGCAGAGAGGCAGAGGGAACTAAGTTCCCGCACGAGGAGGGCTCGCCTCCAGGCCAGGAGAGGCGAGTCACCTGAGGATCAGGGCCGCTAAAAGCCAGCCAGCCTCAGTCCCAAGTTGCGGGAGCAACTTCGTTGGTTGTCAGTTCCTGCTTGAACCCTGTCCTGCTTTCCTGCCGGAGCTCCTGACCTCACCCAACAACCTGCCCTGCATCCAGCTTCAACTTTTACAGACTGCCTCCATACTGCACCTTCGACCTCAGACTGGACTCAGACCTCGCCTCTCGGTTAGCCCACGGGACCAGCACAGATTGAGATTCTAAACATTCTTTACGTGCAAAAGACCCCAGGGTCCGAGACGAGCAATGATGACAGCAACGGAGTTCAAATTGCAAACATCGAAGGAACGATAATAAACAGCAGTGACATTTGAAATGAATCCTTAAAACCTTAAAAGTCGAAACCTGGTCATAAACATAAGTACCAATTTTGTGATTTGGCCATATCTCCACTGTTATCTGTAGTACAATAGTACTTATATTGTCATATTTTATTTTATAAATTGCTTGCTGGTCATTGACCGTATTAAAGATATTTGAATTTTGACCCCAGGGTCCATCATCAGGAAACCCAGGCAGGGCCAGGGAAAGGTCTGTTCCAAACCCCCGCAGAGATGCCGTCACTCTAGAATCTAGATGATATACTGAGCTAGATGGATTAATGGTATGATTTGGCAGAAGGCAGCTAGCACCCTATGGGATATGTCCCACTAAATTCTACTCAAGAGTAGACCCATTGTAGTTAAAGGTCACGACGAACTTAGAACCATTTGTTTCAGAGGATCTGCTCTGGGAATGCCTAGCATGGCATGCAACCCAAGGTCCTCATCGCAAGCAGAGTGAAATAAAGTGCAAATTTCTCATTACCTGGGAGATTTTGATTCAGGTGTGCAGGCTGGGCCATTTTCTTCTGCTGGATCCTCCCAAAGTTTCTGAGAAGGCAACGGGAACCTAGAAAAGGTGGGGAGGAGTAACACTTGGGAGTTAAGACTCATATATTATTTTTCTGTGCACATCTGTGCAGCAGCCGCGTAAAGATGCACCACTAAACGCAGTGGGAGTTACTGGAGTCTGCAAGCGTTTGGTTTCCCTGCATGTGCGGGAATGTCGTGCACCCTTACCTGCAAGTAAGCCCCATTGAATTGGTGGGGTTTACTTCCTAGGCTTGCCCCACCACAATATGTCTTAAAACAGGTAATGAGCCCTTGGCAGCCTCTGTTGACTTCTGAGATCCCAAACCACATCTCTATAACAAGGAAGACTAGGTACTTACTTTTTTTTTTAAGTGACAGCTGAAATTGTCAAGAAACTGAATCCAGAGCCCAATAAAACATTCTCATGTGTGTGTCCCTGACCCACCCAACACACACACATTGTGCAGAATCACAGAAGATGCACCACCTAGTTTATAAACCCATCTCCACCACCCTTCAGGTCTCCCTTCCCACTTCCAGCTGCTTTCCCCAGCAGCAGTTCTGAACCCCTTGCTTTGCTCTCAACAAATATGGCAAAGTCACAGAGTCAGGACTTCCCCCATTGCGGCTGTCCCCGAGCGACAACAAGCCTCTGAGAACGTGCAGACTATGCGCACCCCGGGAGAGAAGCGACAAGAAAGCCACCTGGGATTTAGAAGCACGCGTCTTCCAGGCCTCCAGGCTGATAAATTGAAAAATCCCTCCTTGTTAGGACTTGCCTGCCTGCCTGGGATCAGCACACATTCTTCCTCCCCTCTTCTGGCAGCATCTCTGCATTGGCTCGCGTCCTAGACGCCTGCCTTTCGGAGCACAGCTTCATTGCTGCCCCAGGACCGTGCGGGTTTTCTCGACAGCAAACCCCCCACCCCCCAGTAACACCCGCAAGTCCAGCTCTGCAGCTTTTCCCTTGGCTGAATTGCCGGCTCATCCCAAACGGCTGCAGATGTTCAGTTTGTTGTTGCTTTTTTCCGCAAGCGTCCGAGACGCAAATCAGAGTCCAGCTATTTTAACGTGGCCAAAGGGTGGAGTGTTTTTAGTTTAGTGCAGAGAACTGTAGCAGGGAACCCCCCCCCCCAAATCATTCAGTTTGTACAAACTTCACACACACTCACACTCACACACTACATACGCTGCACTTCTGTTATAAATTCATAGAAAATCAACCATCCATCGGATTTGCACTGTTCCAGTTTTATTTTACTCCATGAAGGAAGGCCTATAAAATGGGGAAGGTTTGATACAGGGCAGCCATAATCCCTTGAGCATACCAGCACATCCACAGGAGCCCTGCCCAGTTGCTATGCCAACCCTGATGGTCCTAGACAGAAGACCATCAAGATCACAAAGAACTTGCATATGGGAGTGGATTCAGCACAGACTGGAACAAAGGACAATAATCAGCTCTTCCCTCTGGGGGCAGGAAATTGCAAACTCCCCTCTGTCACCTGGAAAGTACTCATGGGGAGGGGGAAAGAGGGAACCAGCCAGGTGACAGGACACTCAAGTTACCACCACAACTCCTCCCTCAACTCCTTTCTGTGATGTATGCATGATGTTTCTGGGGGTGGGTTTGATCTACAGGATGGGAATTTCAAAAGTCTTTATAAGACCTTGCACACCATTTTTTCTGTGTCCTTCCTCTCTCCTGCAAGTGAGGGGAGCACCCTGTCGCAACAGTTCAATAAAGGCCAAGCCTACAGGCTGCTGTTTTGCTCCAAGTTATCCTGGTTGGTGTCTTTGTTTTTGTCCAAGGGAGCCCTCGGATTTTTCCGTTAACAGAACACAGACGGGAATTCATACGTGTGTGTGTCATTAAAGTACGCCTTGCATGCTTGCATGAATCAGGACAGCGGACGTGTTTGGAACGCCAGCACAAAAAGGAGATGGCATTCTCCAAAGCGGTCTCTGGGACCATTTCCTGCCACTTTGGAGCGCTTTCAGACGCTGGCTGCTGCTTCTCGGCTGGGCAGCATCAATCAATCACATGTTCTAAAATTAGCTTCCCTTGCGGAGATGAAGGGCCCTTCGAAAACAGCGCTGCCTGCCTCTTCCCTTGAAATGCCAGGAACGAGGCCTTTTCAAAATCCCCAGACCAGGGGAAAGAGCAAAAGGAAAATAATAAGAGGGACAGGACAGAGAACCATCTCTCAGCTGGAGAACTTCCTTGGGACAAATACTGTATTTTTTGCTCTATAAGACTCCCTTTTTCCCTCCTAAAAAGTAAGGGGAAATGTGTGTGCGTCTTGTGGAGCGAATGCAGGCTGCGCAGCTATCCCAGAAGCCAGAACAGCAAGAGGGATTGCTGCTTTCACTGCGCAGCGATCCCTCTTGCTGTTCCGGCTTCTGAGATTCAGAATATTTTTTTTCTTGTTTTCCTCCTCCAAAAACTAGGTGCGTCTTGTGGTCTGGTGCGTCTTATAGAGCAAAAAATACGGTACCTTTCTGCCTAAGTTGAAATTTTCCAAGCGTCCCGATTTCCCAGGGACAGCCCCGGAATTACAAGAGCCATCACAGATTCCGATTTGATCCCTGAATGTCCCTGAATTTACCTTTCCCTCCGCGTCTCGGAGAACAATTAAAAGTTGGCGCTTGCGTGTGTAGGGGCGAAAATGGAGCCCTGTTTATCCTGAAGATAAAATCCCTGACCAAATGAAGGGAACGTGAAGCTGTCATATGAAGCCCTTCCTATAATTTTGAAGGGAAAAGTCATCCATCCACCTTAAATTATTTCATTGCAGTGCTTCCGTTTCTTAGGAAATGCATGGAGTGTTTATTCCTTTATTGTAAATGGAGACTTACAGTGTCTACTCAGGAGTAAGTCCCACTGTATTCAATGGAGCTGACTCCCAGGTAAGCAGGTCAAGACTGGGCAGCCTCACACCGCACTCCTACACATTTTTACTCAGAACTAAGTCCTACTGAGTTCAATAGGATTTGGGACGCGGGTGGCGCTGTGGGTTAAACCACAGAGCCCAGGATTTGCCGATCAGAAGGTCAGCAGTTCGAATCCCCGCGACGGGGTGAGCTCCCGTTGATCGGTCCCTGCTCCTGCCAACCCAGCAGTTCGAAAGCACCTCAAAGTGCAAGTAGATAAATGGGTACCACTCCGGCGGGAAGGTAAACGGCGTTTCTGTGTGCTGCTCTGGTTCGCCAGAAGCGGCTTAGTCATGCTGGCCACATGACCCGGAAGCTGTACGCCGGCTCCCTTGGCCAATAAAGCGAGATGAGCGCCGCAACCCCAGAGTCGGACACGACTGGACCTAATGGTCAGGGGTCCCTTTACCTTTACCTATGTCCCTGATCATTCTCAGAGTTTCCATAATAATAATATTACCGCCCCACCTTTTTTTCCATGACAGGGACTCAAGGCGGCTTGCAGTTACCATTTTATTTCATTCCATTTATCTGTGGAAGGTGTTGCCCATGGCGGAAAAGTTGCAATTTGCTCAAGGTGACCGATGTTGATGTGTTGATGTGCATGGGAGAAGCTTTCTGATGTGGGAAAGGATGTCCCTATTTTCATCGGAGAAATGTCGGAGGGTGCGCAAGTTCCATTGAAGGCAAATGGGAATGGCAGTATCCCAAGAGGAAAAGTCACACGGCCCCCTCCCCGTTTATGTGACAATAGCCGCTGGCAGGTATTTTGACCCAGCCATTTTTATCTGTATACCTTGTGCCCTGCTGACTTTATTTACGGGAGATGGAGCGTTATCTGCTTTCTGGTACCCTTAGCCTCTGGGTTCGGCGGCATTTTGAGGGCCGGATGCTTTCATTAATTAACCTGTCAATTAAATGCCTACGCGGGTGGAACAGGAGGCAGTGACAGCCACCGGCCTAAAGGTCATGCCTAAAGGTAAAGGGACCCCTGACCATTAGGTCCAGTCGTGGCCGACTCTGGGGTTGTGGCACTCATCTCTTTACTGGCCAAGGGAGTAGGTGTACAGCTTCCGGGTCATGTGGCCAGCATGACTAAGCCACTTCTGGCGAACCAGAGCAGCGCACGGAAACGCCATTTACCTTCCCGCCAGAGCGGTACCTATTTATCTACTTGCACTTTGACGTGCTTTCGAACTGCTAGGTTGGCAGGAGCTGGGACTGAGCAACGGGAGCTCACCCCGTCATGGGGATTCAAACCGCCGACCTTCCGATCGGCAAGTCCTAGGCTCCGTGGTTTAACCCACAGCGCCACCCGCGTCCCTAAAGATGGCTTTAAAAGAGGATTAGACAGATTCATGGGGGCTATCGAGGGCCACCAGCCACAACTATGATCTGCCACCAGTGGCGTAGCGTGGGTTTTCAGCACCCGGGGCAAGGCAAGTAATTTGCGCCCCCTAACCCGTGGATTTGCGCCCCCTTACCCTAACCCCCAGATGTTGCGCCCGGTGCGGCCGGCCCCCCCTGCACCCCCCACGCTATGCCACTGTCTGCCACCATGATGGAACAAGACCGTTTTCTGGTGCTCCAGAGGGCAGGACCTAAATTGGTGGGTCCAAGTTACAAGACAGGAGTTTCCAACTCAACATTAGGAAGAGCTTTCTGATGGTAAGAGCTGTTCAACAGTGGAACGGTCTTCCTCAGAAGGTGGTGGACTCTCCTTCCTTGGAAGTTTTTAAGCAGAGGTTGGGTGGTCATCTATCAGGGATGCTTTCGCTGAGATTCCAGCATTGCCAGGGGTTGGACTAGACCAGGGGTCAGCAACCTTTTTCAGCAGGGGGCCGGTCCACCGTCCCTCAGACCTTGTGGGGGGCCAGATTATATTTTGGGGGGGAAATATGAACGAATTCCTATGCCCCACAATAACCCAGAGATGCATTTTAAATAAAAGCACACATTCTACTCATGTAAAAAACACGCTGATTCCCGGACCGTCCGCAGGCCGGATTGAGAAGGCGATTGGGCCGCATCCGGCCCACGGGCCTTAGGTTGCCTACCCCTGGACTAGATGGAACCCCTTCCAACAATTCTATGATTCTAAACTCCTGCCCCACAACATCACCGGCATGCCCCAAATTGGGCAAAACGGCTCACTTGGTATTGTACTGGTTTCGGAATTCTTCCCATTGTAAAAACAACAACAACATTGAGTCAGGTCGCCAGTGCAGAATTCAAAATCGTTTTAGAAACACGGAGACCCTGGGAAGCTTTCAAAGTGGCAGAGCTCTCTGGGAACGACCGGAAGTCGCAGGGAGCAGATTCTGGGACTGGATCTGGGCCAGGAAGTGATCTCATTGTCTGTCGGCGCTGCAAGCGTTGAGCCCAGATGGAGGAGGACCTCTCCCCCAGCAAAGAACGGTGCGGGTGGGAAAATAACTGTCCCCAGTGCTGTGAGCCAAAAGAAATGGGTGGGGAGAAGCCAGCCAAGAGCCAGTCCCACCTTATCAGCTCAAAAGCGGGTTACTTTCTAGATAACTCCTGGGCCAATGAAAACACAAGCCGGGTCCAGATCCCACGTCGCCCAGAGAGCCCCACACAAAGCAATAGATTTCACTGAGCATCACTGGATACAGATCACAGGCTTGGAAGTGGCTCAGGGTATCATCGAAGGTGTGGCAGTGTGTATGTTGTGGAGAGGGGGGGAATGAAGATTGTCAGATTGGGTGGCCAGCTACCGGAGATCATGGGGCTATAACTTTACGATCTTAAGCAGACAGATATATTCCCCCATCGCCCTTTTGCAACCCAGTTCATGTTTCCAGCACAAGTAGGCCATTTCCTATGGAAGCTTGTATCTCCAGGGACCAGCTCACGTCTTGCACCAATTTTGAAACTGTTTTGCTTGTCCGAACCAGAGTGGCATAGTGGTTAGAGTGACCGACTGCACACAATTCCGAGCACAATTCAAAGTGTTGGTGCTGACCTTTAAAGCCCTAAATGGCCCTGTAGACCTGAAGGAGCGTCTCCACCCCCATCGTTCTGCCCAGACGCTGAGGTCTAGCTCCGAGGGCCTGGTGGCGGTTCCCTCGCTGTGAGAAGAGAAGTTTCAGAGAACCAGGCAGAGGGCCTTCTCAGTAGTGGCACCCGCCCTGTGGAACACCCTCCCATCAGATGTCAAGGAAATAAACAACTATCTGACTTTTAAAAGGCATCTGAAGGCAACCCTGTTTAGGGATGTTTTTAATGTTTGATGTTTTATCATGTTTTTAATATTCTGTTGGGAGCCGCCCAGAGTTGCTGAGGAAACGCAGCGGGGTATAAATAAGTTGTTGTTGTTGTTGTTACTGGGACAGACCAGGTGTGACCTTAGGGGCCAGTCGCTGCCTCTCTGCCTAAAGCTACATCACAGGGTTTTTGTGGGAATTAAACAAAGAGGTGGAAAAATCATGTACAGTGGTAACTCGGGTTACATACGCTTCAGGTTACATACGCTTCAGGTTACAGACTCCGCTAACCCAGAAATAGTGCTTCAGGTTAAGAACTTTGCTTCAGGATGAGAACAGAAATCGGGCTCCGGCGGCGCGGCAGCAGCAGGAGGCCCCATTAGCTAAAGTGGTGCTTCAGGTTAAGAACAGTTTCAGGTTAAGTACAGACCTCCGGAACGAATTAAGTACTTAACCCGAGGTACCACTGTATTGGGCTGCTTGGAGAAAACTGATGGGGTCTAAAATGTCAGGAATAAAAACAAACGGGGGAAAATAAGGAGCGCGGCTCCTGTGAAACCCCCCAGGCAGGATGGGCTTCCCAGAAGAGGGAGGAGGAGTGGGGGACATGGAAAATAAATCCCGTGAAAGGAAGTGGGACAGGGGTGGGAAGAATCCTAGCTTCCGTAAGAGAAGGGAAATTACAGAGGGCCTCCATCCGTTGTGGGAAGAAAACCATTGTCTTGCTCCGCACGACTGCCAAGATCAGCGGCCGGGCGACATCACAGGCTTCCTGGAGAGCAAACAGACAGCAGACTAAGGCTCGTAATCGGTAGCAGCACACCCTTACTGAAAAGCACGGGTGCGAGCAGAAAGCTGCCACATATATTTGCTTTTTCCCCCATTTTGCAGGTCCCTGTCTTCCCACCTTTAAGGGTGCAGTGCAGGTGTGTGTGGGAGGGGAGCCTTAGACCTTCCAGGTCATGGGTAGGCAAACTAAGGCCCGGGGGCCGGATTCGGCCCAACCGCCTTCTAAATCTGGCCCGCGGACGGTCCGGGAATCAGCGTGTTTTTACAGGAGTAGAATGTGTGCTTTTATTTACAATGCATCTCTGGGTTATTTGTGGAGCCTGCCTGGTGTTCTTACATGAGTAGAATGTGTGCTTTTATTTAAAATGCATCTTTCTTACATGAGTAGAATGTGTGCTTTTATGTACAGTGCATCTCTGGGTTATTTGTGGGGCATAGGAATTCGTTCATTCCCCCCGCAAAAAAATATAGCCGGCCCCCCACAAGGTTTGAGGGACAGTGGACCGGCCCCCTGCTGAAAAAGTTTGCTGACCCCTGGTCTAGGTCCTTGCTGAACTACATCTCACAACAGCCCCAGCCAGCATGGCCAATGGCCAGGGAGGATTGAAACTCTGAGTTTTAGCGTGGCAGCAGCTACACCTCAGAATTCCCTGCCAATTGAGAGGGCCATGGATTCATCATTTGAGATTCCTGCATTGCAGGGGGTTGGACTTAGATGACTCTCCGAGATCTAACTCTGCAATTCTACAGTTCTCTGACATCAGAGTACACATGCCGTTGTTGCACACTTTCCGGGGTCTGCTGAAAACATTTTTGTTTTGATCTATAATGAAATGAAAAAGGTATTTAAATATACCTTTCTAAAGAAACCTTTCTCCTGGGCATGGTAGGCCAATTGGTGCCAAAGAAGGAGAGAACCTTTTTCATGTATGCCACAACAGCAGCAAGAATACTTATTGCAAAGCACTGGAAGACACAAGATCTACCTACCAGGGAAGAATGGCAGATGAAGCTGATGGACTACATAGAACCGGCGGAGATGACTGGCAGAATCCGAGACCAGGGAGAAGAGTTGGTGGAAGAAGATTGGAAAAAAATTAAAGTATATTTACAGAAATATTGTAAAATTAATGAATGTTAGAAGGATGCTGGAAAGAAGTTATATGACTTTAGCAGAAGTGTTATAAAGAATTAAGTATGAATAGATTGACAATGGGTAAAGGTGTAAAACTTAAGGTTAAATTGCGTTAAGATAATTATGGAATTAAATTTGAGAAAGAGGGAAAGGATTTGCTGGAACAATTAATTGAACTAGAATACAAAAAAGAAGGTGTGAGGAAGTTGAGGAAATAAGCAAATGAAAGATAAGGACATAAAAATATGGGGTCTTTTTTTCGGGTTTTTTTTTCTTTTCTTTCTATTTTTTTTAAAAAGGTTTGTGTTTTTTAAATGTTTCTGTTTTTTCCTTTTTTAATGTTTTGATGTATTGTTGATGTTTTGTTTTATTGTATTTTCTTTTGTTTTTGAGGTTTTGTAACTGTTTACTGCTTGTATTTCTTTCTTTTTTGTAATTCTTAAACTCTAATAAATATCTTTTTTTTAAAAAAAAGAAAACATTTTTGTTTGTTTAGGCAAATCTGCCCTGACTCACAGAAGTTCCATGCCTTACAAACTTCTAGCTTATGGTTGGTTTTAATTAGTTTTGATTTTTTTTTTTAAGACACCAGTTTTTAACTGTCTTTTATTGATATGTTTAATGGGGTGTTGTTGTTGTTTTTGGTAAACGGCTTTAAATAAAATAAAGGTAAAGGTAAAGGGACCCCTGACCATTAGGTCCAGTCGTGACCGACTCTGGGATTGCAGCGCTCATCTCGCTTTATTGGCCGAGGAAGCCGGTGTACAGCTTCCGGGTCATGTGGCCAGCATGACTCAGCCGCTTCTGGCAAACCAGAGCAGCGCACGGAAACGCCGTTTACCTTCCCTCTGGAGCGGTACCTATTTATCTACTTGCACTGGTGTGCTTTCGAACTGCTAGGTTGGCAGGAGCAGGGACCGAGAAACAGGAGCTCACCCCGTCACAGGGATTCGAACCGCCGATCTTCTGATCGGCAAGCCCTAGGCTCTGTGGTTTAACCCACAGCTTTATTTATACTAAAATTGTTAAGTGTTATCTTACAACAAATTGGGAGCTTTTGCAAAGCAAAATTGCAAATTCAAATGTATCCCTATTGTGTTTTATGACTTCCTTGATATTGTATGTGGGCTGGAACTGGTCTGTGACCGAAATAATAAAATTCACCAATTGTGCTCATTAGAAGCTGCAAAGGAAACTCACTCCAGAGATGTCCTTCACCTCAGCTTTTCATAGAATCATAGACTTGTAGAGTTGAAAGGGACCCTAAGGGTTTTCTAGTGACTAGTCCAACCGCCTGCAATGCAGGAATCTTTTATCCAAGGTAGGGCTCAGACGTGGGTGGGACTGTGGGTTAAACAACAGAGCCTAGGACTTGCTGATCAGAAGGTTGGTGGTTCAAATCCCCGTGACAGGGTGAGCTCCCGTTGCTCGGTCCCTGCTCCTGCCAACCTAGCAGTTTGAAAGCACAAAAAGTGCAAGAAGATAAATAGGTACCGCTCCGGCGGGAAGGTAAACGGCGTTTCCGTGCGCTGCTCTGGTTCGCCAGAAGCGGCTTAGTCATGCTGGCCACATGACCCGGAAGCTCCCTTGGCCAATAAAGCGAGATGAGCGCCGCAACCCCAGAGTCGGCCACGACTGGACCTAATGGTCAGGGGTCCCTTTACCTTTACCTTTACTAGGGCTCAGACCCACAACCCCCCATCTCCTCGCAGTCTCCTCTTCTCCAGGCTAAACACACCCAGCTCCTTCAACCATTCCTCATAAGGCTTGGTTTCCAGACCTTTCAATCATCTTGGTCGCCCTCCTTCGCACAACTTCCAACTTGTCAATATCCTTCTTAAATTGTGGCACCCAGAACTGGACACAGGACTCCAGGTGTGGTCTGACTACACCTTGATCTGTGCACTCGTTTTAGGTAACCTAGAATAGCCTTAGCCTTTTTTGCTGCTGCGTCACACAGCTATTCAGGAATGATAAAATGTTAAAATCTCCCTGCTGAGAGGAGGAGCTGTTTGAAAATGGAACAGACTCCACTGGAAGGTGGTGAGCTCTCCTTTGCTGGATGATTCTAAACAGAGGTTGAGAAGCTGTCTGTCGGGGATTTTCTGTAGATGTAGAATCATAGAATCATAGAGTTGGAAGAGACCACAAGGGCCATCGAGTCCAACCCCCTGCCAAGCAGGAAACACCATCAGAGCACTCCTGACATATGGTTGTCAAGCCTCTGCTTAAAGACCTCCAAAGAAGGAGACTCCACCACACTCCTTGGCAGCAAATTCCACTGTCAAACAGCTCTTACTGTCAGGAAGTTCTTCCTAATGTTTAGGTGGAATCTTCTTTCTTGTAGTTTGGATCCATTGCTCCGTGTCCGCTTCTCTGGAGCAGCAGAAAACAACCTTTCTTCCTCCTCTAGAGAGAGGGAGAGAGCCAGTGTGGTGTAGTGGTTAAGAACGGTAGTCTCGTAATCTGGGGAACCGGGTTCGTGTCTCCGCTCCTCCACATGCAGCTGCTGGGTGACCTTGGGCCAGTCACACTTCTTTGAAGTCTCTCAGCCTCACTCATCTCACAGAGTGTTTGTTGTGGGGGAGGAAGGGAAAGGAGAATGTTGGCCACTTTGAGACTCCTTAAAGGGAGTGAAAGGCGGGATATCAAATCCAAACTCTTCTTCTTCTTCTTCTTCTCTATGTGACATCCTTTTATATATTTGAACATGGCTATCATATCACCCCTTAGCCTCCTCTTCTCCAGGCTAAACATGCCCAGCTCCCTTAGCCGTTCCTCATAAGGCATCGTTTCCAGGCCTTTGACCATTTTGGTTGCCCTCCAAACATGTGAGGAAGATGTGACTCCTGCATTGTAGGGGGTTGGACTGGATGACACTGGGGGTCCCTTCCAACGCTACCATCCCACGATTACTGTCATTTCTAAATATTAAACTGCTTTATCTCTGCACAATTGTCATCAGAAGGTCTGACGCCAATGCGTTCTAACGTGGGAAGCATCACAGAGAATGTGAGGAAGTTATATGTTGAAAGAAATTTTTATGAAAATGATGTACTGGTGGTACAGTTATACCTCAGCTTACAGACGCTTCAGGTTGCATCTTTTCGGGTTGCAGACCGCCGAAACCCAGAAGTACCGGAACGGGTTACTTCCGGGTTTCGGTGGTCGCGCATGCGCAGAAGCGCTAAATCGCACTTTGCGCATGCGCAGAAGAGCCGAATTGCAACCTGCGTGTGCACAGACGCTGGTTGCAAACACTGTGGGTTGTGAACGTGCATCCTGCACGGATCATGTTCGCAACCCGAGTGTCCACTGTATTTAACTCCTAGCAAATTAGCAAAAATGTATAAAACATGCTCAAATGTATGCTGGAAATGTAAGGAAAAAGAAGGCACCTTTTATCATATGTGGTGGAACTATAAGGTAGTAATTTTGGGAAATGATATATAATGAGTTGGAAAAAAAGTTTAAAACAACCTTTGTTAAGAAGCCTGAAGCCTTCCTTTTAGGAATTCTAGGTGCCGAAATCCCAAGGGAGCAGAAAAGACTATTTATGTATGCGACCACGGCTGTGCAGATGTTATTGGCCCAGAGATGGAAAGGAGATAAAGTCGCTACCAGAGAAGAATGGCAGATGAAGTTGATGGATTATGCTGAAATGGCTAAAATGACTGGAGGAATCAGAAATAAGGAAGGAAGACCAAAATTTTAATAAGGAATGGGGAAAATTTATAACTTACCTTAAAGACCATTGTAAACAGTTAAAATCGTTAGTAGGGTTGGAATAGCACTTGTCGTTTAAGAGTGAATTCTGGACACAGTGGAGATGTAAAAGATTTGCACCATCATAAAAGATGCAGGAGGAAATGATTAACAATAGGACCTGGATGGAAGTCCAGGAGATTCATCGGAAATTTGTTTTTTTTTAATGTTGGGTATATCTCTGTAAAAATTCAATTTGAAAACCCAAATAAATAAATTTCTTTTTTTAAAAAGAGACAATGTGAGAAATTGACACCCCTCCCAGCTCCCACCCAGAGATGACAATCTCAGCTTTTATCTTTGGACAAGTTGTCCTCCCTCCCTGCAACACTTTCCCCTGAGCGGTAAAACTCTTGATTTATCAGCCTTGGGTTCCAAGGCAGACAGGAAACCGGCTTCCTCTTCTAGTGAGCAGTCAGGAACCAGCGTGGAAAGCTGCCAAGGCAATTAAACCATCTGGTGCCAGAGAAAAAGAAGGAAAAACGGAATAATTTAAAGCTCTCTCACACACTCCCGTGTGACCCACAGCTTGACTCTTTTACCTGAGTTCACGGCTGGCTGAATATTAATAGAATCATGGAGTTGGAAGGGACCACGGTGGCCATCTAGTCTGACCCCCTGAAATGTTGGGCTAACCATCAGGTGCTCTCCCAAGACTCCAGCCGCTCAACGCAGCTATCCTGGTTTGGTCCTATGCCCAGAATAACTTGAGTCCAGAAACCTCTCTTCAACTCAGAAGTGAAAAGGTGGTTTAAGTGGGGATTCTAAAACTCCACTTGCAAAAATACCAGGGTGATGGGTGGTATTTAAGAAGGCAGCCCAGTCATAGACGCTCAGAACCAAGTCTCAGGCTGTGAGATTCCTGCATTGCGAGGAATCCAACACTACAGATGAGTTTACTCCCAAAGTAAGTGTGGACAGAGTTTCGTCTACACAGCACAGTTCTATACAGGATTACCCAGAATCAAAACCCTCAATGCGTTCAATGCGCTTACGGAGACTCACAGCCAGATCCTACGCAGCGCCGTCTCCAAAAAGTTCCAAGTTCCACCGAGCTCATCCTTGCTCAGAGGAGACCCGCTGGAATAGACAGGCCGGGAAGCAAGCCGTGTCTGTCGTCGAACCCGCTGTGCGCACGGCAAACTCGGTGGCTTTACTCCCAAGTCAACCCACAGAGCGCAACAGCTTTAAGGCTGGGAAATCACGCTTTGTCCAGCGGGAGCAAGATCCATTGGAGACAGTGGGATGGGCTTCCGAGTAGACCAGGACTGGCTGACCCGGGGCCAGGATCCCAGGACCCGATGCGCCCAGAAGACCCATCCGCGCCGGAGTTGCGCAAATGCGCCTTTCCCCCTTCCGCATTCCGCCTTACCTGCCGCCTCGGGCTCAGCGCATCGCAGCGTCGCGCAGCTGCTCCGGGAGCCACCCGGGACGAAAGACGCGCAGGAGGCAGCGGCTGGGCTGCGAGAACATCTGGCCAATTAACAATGGAGGGCGGAGACTGCCTGACTTTTTGGAGAAAGGTGGAGGCTTTCAGCCTAAGACACTGGCTCTCTTCACCCCTCCCTCTGGGCCACACTTTCAGAATAAAAATTGGCTCTCACCGCACCGAGTTAATTTTTTTATGGATACATTGGAAAACAAACAGAAATAACTCCTTGCACTGCTTGATTTAAAACATGGAACACTCCTTCTTTATGTGATCATGGGATACCCAGAAAAATTAAAACAATGCAGGAATCATTCCCAAAATATAATTTTCCTTGCATGTGTACCTTAAGTATGTATGCCAACTCAATGAGAGGTGTCTGCTTGCTTTTGCGGGGTAATCTCATTTGGAGACTGAATCTGATTTGAGACAAGCAAACTCTCATCTCCTCCCCAAGACAAAGGAGCCTTTATCTTTTCCTATCTTGATAGTATGTTATGTTACACCATACTGAAATGTTTACGGTAAATCAGTGATGGCCAAACTTGGCCCTCCAGCTGTTTTGGGACTACAGCTCCCACCATCCCTAGCTAACAGGACCAGAGGTCAGGGATGATGGGAATTCAGGGCTGGATTTAGATGAAGATAGGCCCTAGGCCAGGGATGCGGGTGGCTCTGTAGGTTAAACCACAGAGCCTAGGACTTGGTGATCAGAAGGTTGGCGGTTCGAATCCCCGCGACAAGGTGAGCTCCCGTTGCTCGGTCCCTGCTCCTGCCAACCTAGCAGTTCAAAAGCACATCAAAGTGCAAGTAGATAAATAGGTACAGCTCCGGCGGTAAGGTAAACGGCATTTCCGTGTGCTGCCCTGGTTCACCAGAAGCGGCTTAGTCATGCTGGCCACATGACCCGGAAGCTGTACGCCGGCTCCCTCGGCCAGTAAAGCGAGATGAGTGCCGCAACCCCAGAGTCAGTCACGTTTACCTTCCCGCCGGAGCTGTACCTATTTATCTACTTGCACTTTTTTGGGGTGCTTTCAAACCGCTAGGTTGGCAGGAGCTGGGACTGAGCAACGGGAGCTCACCCCATCACAAGGATTCGAACCGCCAATCTCCTGATCGGCAAGCCCAAGAGGCTCAGTGCTTTAGACTGCAGCGCCACCCACGTCCAAACTGTATAGGAAGGAAGCAGGAAATAGCTGATGGTTCCCACCCCAAAGGCTGCTTCAGGTCTGGGGGAATCATAAAAAGGTAAAGGGACCCCTGACCATTAGGTCCAGTCGTGGCTGACTCTGGGGTTGCGGCGCTCATCTCGCTTTACTGGCCGAGGGAGCCGGCGTACAGCTTCCGGGTCATGTGGCCAGCAGGACTAAGCCGCTTCTGGCGAACCAGAGCAGCGCACGGAAACCCCGTTTACCTTCCCAATGGAGCAGTACCTATTTATCTACTTGCACTTTGACGTGCTTTTGAACTGCTAGGTTGGCAGGAGCTGGGACCGAGCAACGGGAGCTCACCCCATCGCAGGGATTCGAACCAGCGACCTTCTGATTTGCAAGCCCTAGGCTCTGTGGTTTAACCCACAGCGCCACCTGCGTCCCTGGGTAAATCATACACCCAAGCAAACAATGTTTTTCAGGTATGCATTGCTGAGATGATATTTCCGCTTCCTGAATGGGTACAGTTGCTTTTTTATGGATGTTCTCAGCAGGTACCTGTTAGTATTATTATTGTTATGGCTCCGTGTGTGGCTGTGCTGCCCTAAAACCAATGCTTTAAATATCTGGATGTGGATCTGACCTCTCCACATCTGGTTCTCCAAGGTTTCAGAAAGGGGTCTTCGCCAGGCCCACCTAAAGGTTCCTGATGGTGAATCTGGGACTGGAGCTATGAACTTTCCCCATCTCTTCTATGTTGCTTTGCGTCTTCATCCAGGCTCTGAAAGCTTTTGCGTTTTATGTGCAACGCTGGGAAAGGCACTGCCTTTGGGGCACAGAAAACGTGATTATCTCACCAGCCCCGCCACAACACCCCTTTGACATTTCAGACAGAGAGGGAAATAACCGAGTTGGTTCGCCGCAAAGAACAGCCCTTGTCTTTCAGAAGCAGGAAGTTCTGCCAGGGGAACATAGGAACGGCAGGAGGAAGCATCCGTTTTTAGAACCATCTGAGAGCAGGACACCACACATTATCAAAGGGCCTTTCATGCACATATGTATTGAAAGGGCTGCGATTTTGGGAAAACAATCCTCCTATTCAATCCAATCTCCCCACCCCCTGCTCCCCATTTTATGATCAACAGCCTTCAACTTTCCATTCCGTTCCTCCCCTTTTTTTCTTCCCAAAATTTTTATTGATTTTCCACATTTATCACAAAAAAGACATAACACAACACACAAGAAAGAAAAACACTACAATACACAAAGCTAAATACAAACAAAATTTGTATATTTAAATGCCTAATTCTCATTACACTGACAACTGACTTCCTCCAATCCCCTCTAACTGAATTTCATTATATCACCTGTGTAACAGTTCTCCAAATTCATATTTCTAATAATATTAACTCCTTTCATTTACTAACCTCTTCTCCTTTATTAATATTCTAATCCTTAATATTTACTACCACATATTCTTATTCTACTCCTAAGCCTATTTATTACCTCCAATAAATTTCTCTTTATCTTATATCACAATATTTAGCTAAATATTATTTCAATTTCTTCCAGTCCTCTTGTATCTCTTCTTTCTGGTCGCGGATTCTTCCAGTCAGGTCGGCTAGCTCCAAAAAGTCCAACGTCTTCATCTGCCATTCTTCTATTGTCGGCATTCTGTTCCCCTTTTGACCATCTACTGACCAGGAGAGCCAGCTATGGGGGCGGAAGGGGCTTCAGACCCCTCAATATTTCTAGGCAGGGGATGAGTCCCCCCAATATTGAGGGACCCCCCCCATACCCCACCCCTCTGGTGAACACCAGCCCATCATGGGGATGAGGTGGGGAGGAAGGCATGGCAATTTTCACCCTCCACTTTCCACACCATGATCTGGGAAGGCGCTCTGGCGATCCTCAAAGACATTCCCACGTCCCTGCAAGCCTGGCTGGATTTGGGGGTGGGGAGTGGGAAGTCATGTGTGTGACGTCATGCACATGCAACAGCTCCTCCCCCCTCATGCTGGACCCAGCTCTGCACGTCTGCTACTGACTACCCACCAGTATAGATCTTTTAACATGTTATTATGAGTCTGTGGGTGCTTTGTTGTTTAGTCGTTTAGTCGTGTCTGCCTCTTCGTGACCCCCTGGACCAGAGCACGCCAGGCACTCCTATCTTCCACTGCCTCCCACGGTTTGGTCAAACTCATGCTGGTCGCTTCGAGAACAGTGTCCCACCATCTCGTCCTCTGTCGTCCCCTTCTCCTTGTGCCCTCCATCTTTCCCAACATCAGGGCCTTTTCCAGGGAGTCTTCTCTTCTCAGGAGGTGGCCAAAGTCTTGGAGCCTCAGCTTTGGATCTGTCCTTCCAGGAAAGGAAAACGTTGACAGCTATGGTTAAAGCCTCAAGGAGAAGGAAAACGGGTGACCAGAACTGTTTCAAAGGGTGTTGTTTTTTAAGGAAACCTGGCAGAAGTCCAGAGTTTCAACCACAAACTGAATCTGAACTGGCCATTTAAGTGTTTTAAGCTGCAAGGAGGAGGAAAACTGACCTCTTTAACTGTTCTAATGTGAAAAAAGAAGGAAACCTGGTGGAAGTAAGGGCTTTCTGCTGCAAAACAAAATAAAATTGGCCACTTGACTGATTTAAACTACAAAGAAGAGAACAACTGGCGACTCAAAAGTATTTTAAAGGAGGTGGGGGTGGGAGAAGAAAACCTGGTGAGAGTCCAGACTTTCAGCCACAAAATAAATAATAATAATAATTTATTATTTATACCCCGCCTATTGGACGGGGTTTCCCCAGCCACTCTGGGCGGCTTCGAAAAAAGTATTAAAATACCGTAATGCATCAAACATTAAAAGCTTCCCTAAACAGGGCTGCCTTCAGATGTCTTCTAGAAGTCTGGTAGTTGTTCTTCTCTTTGATATCTGGTGGGAGGGCGTTCCACAGGGTGGGCGCCACCACTGAGAAGGCCCTCTGCCTGGTTCCCTGTAACTTAGCTTCTCAGAACTGGCCTCGTAAACCAAAGGTTTTCAATCTTTTGAGTCCATGGCTCCCTTGACCAACTACTTTGGCACCCCTGTGGGGCTCAGGAGCCCAATTATGTCAGCCACTGACTGCAGAGCCAGTAGCCCCTCACCCCTTTTTGAACACCTCACTTGTGGAGTGCTCCCTCAACCTCCTCTCCCCCCTCTCTTTGGGGGTCTTCAAGGCAGCCCCTGGTCTCTGAGCCTAATACACAGGGTCCGGCTATTTCCTGGTTTTAACACTCCAAGCATTGATTAAAGTCTCACACCTATTAGACCCAGGAATTTAGGGTGTCTAGCACCCACAGGTCCGTATAGTTAAAGCCATGGTTTTCCCAGCAGTGATGTATGGAAGTGAGAGCTGGACCATCAAGAAGGCTGATCGCCAAAGAATGGATGCTTTTGAATTCTGGTGCTGGAGGAGACTCTTGAGAGTCCCATGGACTGCAAGAAGATCCAACCTCTCCATTCGGAAGGAAATCAGCCCTGAGTGCTCACTGGAAGGACAGATCCTGAAGCTGAGGCTCCAAGACTTTGGCCACCTCAGGAGAAGAGAAGACTCCCTGGAAAAGACCCTGATGCTGGGAAAGATGGAGGGCGCAAAAAGAAGGGGATGATAACGGACGAGATGGTTGGACTGTTCTCGAAGCTACTAATGTGAGTTTGACCAAACTGCGGGAGGCAGTGGAAGACAGGAGTGCCTGGCGTGCTCTGGTCCGTGGGGTCACGAAGAGTCGGACACGACTAAACAACAACAACATTTATACATTTTATATTTTTTAAATGATATTTATTCCAAGTTTAAAATTACAAAAGGAGAAAAAAAACAATACAAAATACAAAGAAAAATTTAACAAAGCAAAAAGTAACAAGAAAAAAGTAAACAATAAAATAGTAAAAGGAAAACAGAACGAAAAATATAAAAATGCATTGGGTTAAAATAGAACAAAAACAGATTAAACCTTTACATAACCTTTTCCCTTTACTTATTTCCATGACCTCCTCTCACCTCCCAATTTTGTATTCTAATTCAAATCGTATTTCCAGCAAATCCTTCTAACCTTATTTTCATTTACGTATTTTAATTTAAAATAATATAGTTAAACATCATCTGTTTCATCAATTTTATCAGCTCATTTTTGCTTAATCCTTTATATCATATCTACCAAAACGGCCTAATTTTCTTTCTCCAACCTCTTTCTAACAGTCCACATTTATACATTTTATATACTGTATGAATTAATCTACAATAAATTAAATGCAATAATCTACGATAAATTAAATGCAACATTTATAAAACAGAGAGGGACCTAAGCTGCATTTTAAATATATATTTTATAAATGTTACTTCGATGCCACCAAGTTGCAGAATGCCCTACACACGTGCGCCCTCTAAAGGAATACTCCATTGCCCCACGTGCCTTCAGCTCCGCGCATGCGCTCTGAGGAGTTCCATAAATCACCGTGGTAAGAGCGAAGCCGCGCTCTCATTTCCCAGCGTGCCTTGCTGTGCCCTCCCCTGTCGGTCGTTGCGCGGGGGCTGGGTACTTCAAGCCCCAGCATGCCATGCGCTAGAGAAACCCCCGCTGAGGAAGTTCGCATAGGGAACTCCACTTCCCGGCGTGCCTTGCGCGCCAGCCTCTCTCCCTCTCCGTTATTCATGACAGAAAGAGCCGGGGAAAGAGACCTCTGACTTGCCGTCTGAGGGAAAAGCACCATGGAAACGCACAGAGAAAACAACACAGATCGGGAGATCACTGAGGGACGGTCCCGGTGGCCATTTCCCGGCGTGCCTTGCGCGCGCGGTCGGTTGGGATAAGAAGCCCACCGTTTCCCAGCATGCCTTGCGGTTTGGGCGAAAGAGCTTAGTTCACCCACAGGGAGCCTTGACTCCGTTTCCCAGCGTGCCTTGCGGTTCTGGCCTTAGGACAGCCGAGTTAACTGTGAGAAGGAGGCGGCGGCCTCCATTTCCCAGCGTGCCTTGCGGCCCTAGCCTATTGAAAGCCGAGTCGACTGTCAGGGAAGGAGGCAGGCCCTCGCTTCTTTGAACTCATTTCCCAGCGGTCCTGGCCTGAATTAACCCCATGAGGGAACGCAGGGAGCCCCGGCGCCTTAACTCCTATTTCCCGGCGCTCCTTGCGGCGGCGGCGGCCTCAAATTCCCAGCGTGCCTTGCGGTTCCAGCCTAGGACAGCCGAGTTTACTGTGAGAAGGAGCGGCGGCCTCCATTTCCCAGCGTGCCTTGCGGTTCCGGCCTAGGACAGCCGAGTTAACTGTGAGGCGGCGGCGGCGGCCTTCATTCCCCAGCGTGCCTTGCGGCCCCAGCCTATTAAAAGCCGAGTAAAAACTATCAGGCGCCTTAACTGCTATTTCCCGGCGCTCCTTGCGGCTGCGGCGGCCTCAAATTCCCAGCGTGCCTTGCGGTTCCGGCCTAGGACAGCCGAGTTAACTGTGAGGCGGCGGCGGCGGCGGCCTTCATTCCCCAGCGTGCCTTGCGGCCCTAGCCTATTAAAAGCCGAGTAAAAACTATCAGGCGCCTTAACTGCTATTTCCCGGCGCTCCTTGCGGCTGCGGCGGCCTCAAATTCCCAGCGTGCCTTGCGGTTTCGGCCTAGGACAGCCGAGTTAACTGTGAGGCGGCGGCGGCCTTCATTCCCCAGCGTGCCTTGCGGCCCTAGCCTATTAAAAGCCGAGTAAAAACGTATCAGGCGCCTTCACTGCTATTTCCCGGCGCTCCTTGCGGCTGCGGCGGACTCCATTTCCCAGCGTGCCTCGCGCGCGCGCTGTTTCTGAGGCGATGTGCTGAGGCGAAGAAGCGCCTCCTCCTCCTCCTTCTTCTTCTTCTCCTTCCTTCTCGCCTCACGGTCGCTCTCGCCGCCGCCGTCATGCTGGAGGAGGCCGGCGAGGAGGTGCTGGGCTCGGTGCTGCTGAAGGCCTCGTGCCTGCCGCTCAGCTTCCTGCTGGTGGTGCCGGCCGTCCTGCTGCTGCTGCTGGGCCCGCCTCCGGCCTCGGCCGCCCACGAGTTCACCGTCTACCGCATGCAGCAGTACGAGCTCGGGGGGCAGCCCTACGGTCAGTGAGCCAAAGGGGTTCAGGCGGGGTTCGGGTGGCGGCGGCGCTAACAGGGAAGGCCCGGGAGACGACGACGCTCTCCCCACCCCCCTCCGCCTCTCATGAGGCGCTTAAATAACACCCGACACCCCCCCTCAAATATCCACGCTACACAGGTACAGAGTTTCCAAGGAACTGTAGTTTTCTCCTCACACTCACAGAACTACAGTTCCCAGGATCCTTTGGGGGGGAATCCACGTGCTGACAGCCCCCTTAACGTCAGTGGTTCCTCATTAGCTAAGATTCCCCCCACCCCCTGTTTTCCATAAAGCCAAGCCATGCCCCCCCTTACTTTTGAACATTTTGATTATTCTTATTTATACTCCGCCCCTACTTTTGAACATTTTCATTATTCTTATTCTTATTTATACCCTGCCCATCTGGCTGAGTTTCCCCAGCCACTCTGGTTGGCTCCCAATCAAGTGTTAAAAACAGTACAGCATTAAATATTAAAAACTTCCCTAAACAGGGCTGCCTTCAGATGCCTTTTAAAAGTCTGGTAGTTGTTTATTCCCTTGACATCTGGCGGGAGGGCGTTCCACAGGGCGGGCGCCACTACCGAGAAGGCCCTCTGTCTGGTTCCCAGTAACCTCACTTCTCGCAATGAGGGAACCGCCAGATATCTCTGTGGTAGTTTTTGCTATGTGCCACGGGCCCCCTTGGGTGGGTTTTGCAGGACCCCCCCCCCAAAGTGGGAACCACTGCCCCAACATATTATAATTATTATTTAGTGGGAACCACTGCCCAAAATATTATTTATTATTATTATTAGTGGGAACCACTGTCCAACATATCATTATTATTTATCCTCCACCTTTTCTGCTGACAGGGACTCGAAAGGTAGAAGCAAGAGCTACTCAAAACCATGGGGCGGGGGAGAGCAATAATTAAAATACAATTTTTCCGTTGCAAGCTGCCCTGGGAATAAAGGATTGTAATAAATTTAAACTTTTTAAAACTTTACGCATACATAGTGTTAGATTAAGTATGTTAATGTAAAAATAGGAGATTGTGGTATTTAGTGTCTGCACTGTTTCTGTGGAGGTGCATGAAATGTATACACTGCTTGATGGTAAAAAAAAATATCTCTCAGCGGTTTGCAAAAAGATAAAACAATAAAATCAAGAGGAGGATCACAGTTGTACTTCAAAACATAAAAAAGTTAAAATGCTAAAGCAGATTTAAATTACCTCAACTGTCTAAGCATGTGGGTAGGCTTGTCTAAGCAGGAATGTTTTTTAGCAGGCGCTCCAATGTGTACAGTGAAGGCACCTGCTTGTTCTCAATCGGCAGGGAGTTCCAAAGTGTAGGTGCTGCCTCAGTAAACAATCTCATTCTTACAAGCGTGGAATGGGCGTTATGTGGCAGCTGTAGCGGATCCAACTCCATTGATGGAATCAGTCATGTCATGTGGGTACGCAGGGTAAGACAATCTTGTAGGTAAACTGGTTCTTAGCTGCTTTATATGTTAATCGTAACCCCTTGAACTTGGCCTGGTAGCAAATTGGCAATGAGTGCAGATCTCTGAGCGCAAGTGTTACATGCTGGCAAGGCCTCGCTGCTGTCAGCAACCGTGTTGCAGCATTCTGATTGCTGCTTCTATGGCTCACAGCCTGTGGTTTGTCGGGTAAGAGCTATCCAACAAAGCTCTGTTCAGATGATACGCTAAGCTGAAACTAAACCATGGCTTAGCGGTAGAATGACCAGGGAGGGGCAGTGCAGGTGGTCTGACTTAGTATAAGACAGCTCCCTACATTTGTGTATTGTATTTAAATAATGTAGGTGGATCAGTTTTAACAGTGTGTGTGTAGCAATATACAATGATGAAACCGTGCAGTGTGTTCTGATTTCCTGATAAGGGAGTTCTCCTGCTTAAAGGTTTCTAGCCAGCCGTACTCTCCTGCAGCAGAACTCTGCCACCAGCCCTCTTTTTCCTCTTCCAACTGACAAGTCAACATTTATTTTTGTTTTGTAAAATTCGTGTACTGCTTGATTGCAACCCCCCCCCAACCAACCCTCAAAGCAGTTTACAAAAAGGGTAAAAGAATAAAATTAAGAAGAAATTGCAACCATACTTTCAAAACATGCAAACAGTTATATTACCAAAACAGATTAAAATTACCTCCACTTAGAATTGCAGAGTTGGACTAGTCCAACCCCCTGTAATGCAGGCATCTTTGCCCAACATGGGGCTTGAACACACAACCCTGAGATGAAGAGTTTCATACTTTACCAGTTGATCTATCCCTGGGTGCCTCCCTTAGTTTTCCTTCTTCTAAAGACCTTTTGTGTTTCGGCAAAACTTGTTCTCCACAGCATGCAAACACCTCCCTCTTGTTTTTCTGTGGCTACATTTTGGTTGCAGTCCTCTCAAGTCACCACCCAAATTCTCTGTGCTGTGTAGCGAGTCGAAAGATGTAATTAATATTTATAAAACTGAAATTTATTAGGAACAGGAATTGGCCTTATACAAGAGCTGTCCAGCGTTGCAGGCCAGAGTCATTCTCAGCCCTGCCTGGATATGCAAGGTGGTGTAAGAATATAGCATTTATTTTTGCAAGCTTTGTAATAAAGAATATAATACTAATCCTGTAAAGTCTCCCATATGTAAATATAGAGATTTTTGTATGTATGCATGCATGTAATGCTAAATTGTACCACTCCGCAGTTGAAACTTGCAGTTTAAAAGAAGCTGCACCCCAATTCTGTGCAAGCCTATTCAGAAGCAAAGCCTGCTCTGTTGAATGTAACTGGCACAGAGATAAGCAAGAACAGGATTTCAGCCGTAGATGATTAGTCACCTGAGTTCTAAATGATTAATTGACTAAGGCTGCAATCCAAAACCACTCTTGCGAAAGAGTAAGGCCTCATTGAACTAAGTGGGCTTGCTTCTGTGCAATCAAGCCTAGGGTTGTGTTGAAAATTTGGGTGTGAAGAAATCCTTCTGAAGGAAGGGCAAGTATTTTTCCTTGCTCTTGGGTGACGCATGCATATGTTGTAGCAGGTGCTGCCGTCAAATAGGCATTCTGTCCTGTGTGTGAGAGGCAGACAAGACGACATGCCTTTTCTAAGCATGTCTGCTTTTTTATTTTTTTTGGTAAGCATGAAAACAAGAAATACCTTTAAATATAGGAAAGCAGCAGTCTGCTCAGCTAATTGGGCGGTGCAGGGAACACACAAGTGTGGCCTTTAGATGCTGTTGAGCTGCAACTCACATCATCCCAGATTCTTTGTTCATGCTGGTTGGGGCTGATTGGAATTGTAGTGCTAAGATTTATGGAATCGTCTCTGCCGCACTTCCACTTCATAGGGCTGTGTACAGGTAGGTGAGCACACTATGTGCATGAGAGCTAGAATAATAATAATAGTAATATATATTGCTTGGTATGGGAGCAGAGTAAGATCAGCTGTCCTGTTAACTTGCCCCGCCCACTCCAAATTTCCATCCTGTGGCTTTATAGACATCTTTGGGCACAGTAGGGCAGCAGTTAAGAGGTCTCCCCACTGTGCTTCTCTTTATAAGTTCAGCTCCTGCCCGATTGGCCAGGAGAAACTAGAGCCTCCCTTTGAACTCCTCACTATTAAAGACACACTTGCCCTGCAAGAGGCAGCAATTGGTATTTTTGCGCCCACTTTTACAAGCTAAGCAGCTGCTCTAGTTAAAACGTATTTCCACGCAGCAGGTGTAGCCTCCAGGCTCATGTGTTATTTCCCCTCTCCAGCTCTTCCAGTCATTCACTTCTCACAGTGCGTGACCGACTCCTTACTGGGGCTGCTGTAAATCAAGACAGGTTCCTAGCCATCTTGGTTGCTTTATTTAGCTAAGACCACCAGTCTTGGAAGCAAGTGCCCGGTTTCATGCAGCTGCTCTGTGAGGATCTGCAAGGGAGGGAGAGACTTTGGAGAGGGATGATGACAGGCAGGGTTTTAACACGCATGGGTGTAGAAAGCTGTTTCATATTGAGTCGTGCTACCAGTCCATTTATCTCAGTGGTATCTGGCCTATGGCTTAGAACAGGGCTCTGGACAGAGGTGTGTCCCTTTTAATGGCAGGTGTCAGGATTCAACCTGGGATCTTATGCATGAAAAAGCACGTGTTTTATCACTGGCTGACACCCCCTTCCTGTTTCTAGGGGAGGATTGTCAAGGAGACAGCTGGAGATTTTTGGGTTGGGTTTTTTTTTTTACAATTACCGTATTTTTCGCTCTATAAGACGCACCAGACCACAAGACGCACCTAGTTTTTGGAGGAGGAAAACAAGAAAAAAATCTGAATCTCAGACGCCAGAACAGCAAGAGGGATTGCTGCGCAGTGAAAGCAACAATCCCTCTTGCTGTTCTGGCTTCTGGGATAGCTGCGCAGCCTGCATTCGCTCCATAAGACGCACACACATCTCCCCTTACTTTTTAGGAGGGAAAAAGTGAGTCTTATAGAGCAAAAAATACGGTATATTGTCAAACTGCTGTGCAAATAAGTTACATTAGGATTAAAAGGGTTCACTGTGATGGCACTAGGGAACTATCTGTACATTTCCCTAACCACTCAAAACAGATACACTGAGTGGCAACGAGCAGACACCAAAAATGAGCTATAATCTGGGGGAAATTTTGGAGGGAAGATTTCAACGACAGCTGCAGAGCCCTCAGTGGTACCTAGATATTTTGCCTTGTTTCTCATTCTTGAAAACATGTCTCACAAAGTTAGCATCCTACACATATTTTTGTACTACACAGCTTGGATTAAGTAACTGGTGAGCTGTAACGGAATCGTCCACTACTCTTCCAATCTAAAGACAATATTCCTGCTCCCTACAGGTGAAAGGTGGACACCTATTTGCTTCCCCCTACCCCCAAACAAAAAGAGTGCTGCTGAATCAGGCCAGGGACTCCTCTAGTCAAGCATTCTCTTCTCCCGTTTGTCAGTCAAATGTCAGGCGCTTAACTGCTTGTGAAACCTAGCAACTAGCTTTCAAAGGCATATGCTGCCTCTTAATTCTGAAAGTAATACAGTGGTACTTCAGGTTAAGTACTTAGTTCATTCCGGAGGTCCGTTCTTAACCTGAAACTGTTCTTAACCTGAAGCACCATTTTAGCTAATGGGGCCTCCTGCCACCACGCCGCCGGAGCATGATTTCTGTTCTCATCCTGAAGCAAAGTTCTTAACCCGATGTACTATTTCTGGGTTAGCGGAGTCTGTAACTTGAAGCGTATGTAACCTGAAGCGTATGTAACCCGAGGTACCACTGTATATGGCCATCAAGTAACTATTGATAGATTTATCCTGCATGAATTTTATGATCTCCTTTTTAAAGCCATCTAAGTTGGTAGCCATTGTGGTTTGTGAATTCCATAGCTGTTTCTTCTTCTTTGGCAATCCCTCGTAGCCGAGTAAGATTGTCTTCTATGAGCACGGTCTTAACAGTGAATCCGTAAGTGACTGGAGGCCAATTCTGGATCCACACACCCTTCCAAAGTGGGGACATAGGTTTCTGGGTGGGACTTGGTCATGGCGAGGGTTTGCAAAACGTGCCTTCCTCTTAGCACATTTCTCCCTTTTGTCCTGATTTTGAGCGTCTTCAAAGACCATGACACCTTTGGTAAAGGCTGCTTTGGAGGGCTTGCAGGCCAGTGTTTCCCAGTTGTCGGTGTTTATACTACATTTTTTTTTAGATTTGCATTGAGAGAGTCTTTAAACCTCTTTTGTTGACGACCAGCATTACACTTTCCATTTTTAAGTTTGGAATAGAGTAGTTGCTTTGGAAGACGTTAATCAGGCATCTGAACAACATAACCAGTCCAACAAAGTTGATGTTGAAGAATCATTGCTTCCACACTGGTGATCTTTGCTTCTTCTAGTACACTGGCATTAGTTCGCCTGTCTTCCCAAGTGATCTGTAAAATTGAATGGAATTTTACCATTGGTGAAATGTTTCAAGGAGTTGGAGATGTTGTTTATAAGTGGTCTATATTTCACAAGCGTACAGTAAGTTTGGTAGCCACAGTTTATGCCCTGTGTGACAAAGGTTTTCCTTTTGTCGGTCCTGAACCTTCCATGCTTCAGCTTCATTGCATGCCCCCAAGTTATCGTATTCAGAATCTATTTCCTCCACACAACGCATAACCTCTTATCATGTTCTCCGCCCACTTAGCTGCCTTTTTTTCTAAGCTAATGAGTCCCAGATGTTGTAACCTTTCCTCATGGGAGAGTTGCTCCAGTCCCTTGATCATTTTGGTTCCCCTTTTCTGGATCTCTTCCAGCTCTGTAGTAACCTTTCCAAGGTGAGGCAACCAGAACTGTGCAGCAGTATCGCAAGTGTGGTCTCGCTGTAGATTTGTATAATGGCATTATCGTAGTAGTCGTTGTATTTCCAGTCCCTTTCCTAATGATCCCTAACATGGAATTCACCTTTTTCACAGCTGCCGCACACTGGGTCGACATTTTCATCGAGCTATCCACCATGGCCCCAAGATGTCTTTCCTGGTCAGTCACCACCAGGTCAGACCCTGTTAGCGTCTATGTGAAGTTAGGAATTTTTGCCCCAATGTGCGTCATTTTACACTTGCTTACACTGAATTGCATTTGCCATTTTACTGCCTTTCTGCATGGTTTGGAGAGAACTTTTTGAAACTGCTGCTGCTACTATAACTTTTTGTTTTTACCACCCTGTGTGATTTGGTGTAATAGACCCAAAAGCGAAACATTAAAATAAGCAAGTATGCCAATTGCAATAAAGAAAGGCAGTGCAGTTATTAAAGTAGTTTAAAATAAAACCGTACAGATAAAATTGCTTTGACATCAAAATGCACCCCAGTCACAGCGGGTGGAGAAGCTGTGCATTAAATTGTAGCTCTACACTAGAGTGTGGCTCACATGCTGTCGCGGCTCACTTCCTTTCCAAATCGTGTCACACGGTGAGTTTGGGAGTTGACAGTTCATGGCGTGAGCCCCCACAACAAAGGCATGTGGCATTCCCACTGCGTGGCTTCTACTAAGCTTTTTCAACTCTGCTCTCTTGGCAAGATCTACACCTGCCAACGTTGGCAAAGCATCTTCAGAACTGATCACTGAACGCTCCTGATGGTACCAGCCCTTCATAGTCAATACTACACAACCTGAGAATTGACCTTAAAGGGTTGGGGAGGTGTTGTTATTGATTTATTTAAAGACCTTTTTTTTAAATCCCATTCTCCAGCCAGTGAAGATTCCCAGAGCAGCTTAGTAATCACTCCACTCCCCTAAAAAGGCACAGTCTCTGCCCACAAACTTAAAATTCCAAAAAAGACATGCGAGAAAAGGAACAGATTAGGAGGGAGGAGGAAACAGGCAATTAAGCATTCACATTCTCTTTTTAGGACATGGGGAGGCCTCATATCTGTGGATCTAAAGTACCTTCATGGCTACGTACTAGGCCCCTTTCTCTGCTTTTGACAGGCACTCGGAATGCCGTGCTAAATACAGAGGCTCGCACAGTGGAGGCGGATGTCTTGAGCCGCCGCTGCGTGATGATGCGGCTGATGGACTTCTCCTACGAACAGTACCAGAAGGCGCTTCGCCAGTCGGCCGGTGCCGTGGTGATCATCCTGCCACAGAACATGTATTCGGTGCCTCAGGATGTCATCCGGGTAAGCATCCCTTTGAGGCCCCTGCCTTATGTTCATAATTGTGCTTCAGCGTGCTGAAACTGCCTCCCCTGCTTAATTCCAGAAATCCTTATGCCACCTGTAATCAAGCCGATATTATGGCTTCTACCTGGACCCCGAGATCATCCTCTGAGGACCTTCTTTGTGTGCCTCCTCCAAGTGAGGTCCGGAGGGTGAGCAGAGTCCTCCTCTGCAAGTCACTGAGTCTTTTATCTGCTCCTCCTCAGCAATTCATGGAGATTGAGCCAGAAATGCTGGCGATGGAAACCATTGTGCCGGTCTACTTTGCTGAGGAAGATGATGATCTCCTCTCGATCTACGAGCAAACGCAGGCGGCTTCTGCGTCGCAAGGCTCAGCTTCAGCTGCTGAAGGTAGGCCTCTTTCAAAAAAATAACTGGGATTAGCTTCAGGGGTTGCCTCCCTTTAAGACTATCTTCCAAGGGCCTTTTCAGAGGTGGCACCTCATATTTGGAACAGCAACTCCAGATAGATCCAACAGGCTTTGCTACTGGTATAAGAGAGGGATCATAAAAAAAAGCTTGGCAGGTGTTGGGAAAGATCCAGCTCTAGAATACTATACCCCCTTATCTGGGATTAAACACCATGGGACTCAGTGGGTTTTGTTTTTTAGTAGACAGGCATAGGACTACATGGTTACATTATGAAGAAGCCTGAGGCAATGGGTTGTTTCCAACTAAGTTTTACTCAGAACAGACCCATTGAAATTCATAATAATTATTAATAATAATTTTATTATTTATACCCCGCCCATCTGGCTGCGTTTCCCAGACACTCTGGGCGGCTCCCAACAGAATATAAAAAACACAATCAAACATTAAAAACTTCCCCAACAGGGCTGCCTTCAGATGTCTTCTAAAAGTCAGATAGTTGTTTATTTCCTTGACATCTGGTGGGAGGGCGTTCCACAGGGCGGGTGCGACTACTGAGAAGACCCTCTGCCTGGTTCCCTGTAACCTCACAGTGAGGGAACTGCCAGAAGGCCCTCGGAGCTGGACCTCAGTGTCTGGGCTGAATGATGGGGGTGGAGACGCTCCTTCAGGTCTACAGGGCAGAGTCCGTTTAGGGCTTTAAAGGTCAGCACTAACACTTTGAATTGTGATCAGAAATGTATACATGAACCCAATTCCTGTTATATTTTGAAAACTTATGTTAAATATAAAGAGGCAAACCTTGACTGTGGATAGAAAAGGCTGTCCAGAATATATAAACCATGCCGGCTCAAATCCATGTGTGTCTTCTATACTCCCCGCAATTTGCAAGGTTTCTGATACTGTTGTGAATGAAGGCAAAGTGTAGCTGTGTACTCTTACCTTTATTCACCTGTCTTCTTCCTAGTACTTTTACACACAGCAACTGCCAACGGCTTCCAGATGGTGACCAGTGGGGCTCAGAGCAAAGCAGTCAGTGACTGGCTCATCACCAGTGTGGAGGTGAGTTCGGGAGCACTTCCTGGCATACTGACTTTTCAAGGTTGGATTACCATAATGCACTGTGCGGGGCTTCTTTTGCGCTTGACCCAGAAACTGTAGTTAGGGCAGAGTGCTGCAGCGCAGTTGCTGACAGGAGTGAGAGACCCTATCAGCTTGTAACACCTCTGCTCAGAGGGCTGAACCGCCCTGTGATCTTTCGTTGAAGGTCAGTGTACAAATTTAATAAACCAGCAAGCAAGCCAACCAAAACCAAGTCTGCACTGGTTGCCATATTCCTGCCAGGCCAACTTCAAGGTGTTACTGTCAGTTTGCATTTCTTGGTGCAGAAGGTAATTGATCTAAAGTGTAGAGATCTTGTCTATACTAATTGATTCAAGAGGGATCTGGAAGCTTCTCTGTGTGATACAAACTGAAGTTTCTAGCTAACAAGCAGGCTTCTGTTCTGCCTAGAAACAAGCAAAAGGTTCCTGATGTTCGGTTTATACCTTCAGAGAAGCTGAACAGCTGGTTTAAACTGGTCCTGTTATCTCTTTCACCCAAGGTCATGCTGAGTTTCACATTCTGTCTTTCTTTCCTTCTGGTGTGGTGTTCTGTATATAGTATGCTTAAGTGCTTAGTTATAGTCAGTTTTATCAGTTATTGTAAATTTAGGTTAAGTCTGCTGCAACTGGATTTCTTATGGACAGGGCCAGTCCTGAATGCATTGGTTTTGTGACCATTATTCTCATTTGCCTTCAGTAGCAGTAAAGCTCTGCTGGATGGAATGTTAATTGCCTCTGGTCTATTTTGTTTGGGAATCCTACAACGTGCTAAGTTTATTTTGCTCTGCTAACTGTATGTACGTTGGAATCTGCTCTGGATCAATATGAGCAGAATTCTTAACATTTACTTTTGGTACACATAGTAACTGCCTGGGCCCAGTTTACCTCCACGTTTGCCTTAACCATTTATGTGCCCACTCAACTGCGTCGACCTGCAGGGCTGGCACTGTTACAGGTGCCGCAGTAAGTGCTCATTCTGCCCTTGTAAGAAATCATTAATTTAGTATGGTGGCACCTGCCCTTTGGAACTCCTTGCCCATTGACCTCAGTTGGGCACCTTTGCTGTACGCTTTTATGTGTCTGCTTAAAACATTCTTTTTCTTTTTAGGCAAGTCTGTCCAGATACACAAACGTTGACGTGCTTTAATCTTTTTGCTGTTGATTTTAATTATTTTTGATTTTTTTTTTTTACTTTTAAAAATTGATAATCTTTAATATTTCTTGTAAGCTGCTTAGAGGTTGGTTTTTTAAAAAAATAAAACACCACGGTGAAAATGGTGCGTGCTTTCTGTTAAATAAAATGGGCACAAATGTAACTTTGCAAACTCAGGAAGAGCTGGGGCATGTTTGCTAGGGCCAAGGAGGCACTCGTTTTGGGCTACCAAGCCAAGAGTACAGGTTCCCAGAGTCTAGTCTTAACTACTTTTCACAAGCCTGACTCTTAACCCTGCTTTTAAAAAAATCATTTTACTAAAATTATTGTTCAATCAGTGTGCATCATGCTTCTGGCGATTAGAAGCAGACAGTCCTCTTTCTGGAGGAAAAGTCTCTTTCTGGAGGAGTTTACAGTCTAAATTTTGACATAGGGGTGATAAGGAAATGCAGTGGAAGTGGATGCAGTAAATAAGGCAGAGAAAGAATATCCAATCCTTGCATGTTATTACTGGTGTGTTTGTTTCCGCCTAGCATTCTTAGAGAATTAATAAGATTCATTGTTTGCCATTTGTCTTACGTATTTTATTGTACACTGCCATGATATTATTATGAGGCTCCTCCCCCCGAAAAACTCTTCCGAATTATTAATAAAATCAATACATCTGCATGGGCCTGGTTACAGGCTGGCAGGTTGCGACAGGGCACAAAGTGGTATAGGCAGCGGTGCCAAAGGCTTTGCAGAAAAGGTGTGAGGAGAGATTTGAAAGGAGGAGGGAGGCAGTTCGGAGTTTAAGAGATGATACGTGAGTCTTTGGGTGGAGCTGGAGACCTTTGGACAGTCGAGGCTTGTGGAGCTCCAGGAGTAAAAGTCATGAGCAATAGGCATAGGTGAGAAGGGCTGGGAAGGAACAAAAAACCCAAAACCAAACCAAGGAGCCTACGCTGGATAAGGGAGCAGACGAGAAGTCGGTGTAGGGATTTTGAAAGTGTTCAGAAATGATTTACAGCAGAGATTCTGAAGGTGTTTAGAAAGTGATTTACAATAGCAATAATACTCTAAGAGCTGTTTGACAATGGAACAGACTCCCTTGGAAGGTGATGGACTTCACTGGAGGTTTTTAAGCAGAGCTTGGATGGCCACCTGTCAAGGATGCTTTAGCTGAGATTCCTAAAATTGCAGGGGGTTGGACTAGATGACCCTCAGGATACCTTCCAACTCTACAATTCCCTAGATTTCATGAGGAGGCAGAGGTGATGTGTGGTGTCTTGCACTGACACAGCGGCAGAAATGGCCTTGATGTAATGATTCCTCCCCTGCTCCCCTTTCTAGGGTCGGCTGACTGGTCTGGGAGGAGAGGACTTGCCTACTATTGTAGTAGTCGCTCATTACGACTCTTTTGGAGTGGCACCGGTAAGTTTCTGTCGGCTGTTGCCCCATGCTTGCTTAGGCCTTTCTGTATAACGCAGCATGGCTCACTTATGCAAGCCGCCTACGTTGTTATAGAGAGCCAGTGTGGTGTCGTGGTTAAGAGCGGTAGTCTCGTAATCTGGGGAACCGGGTTCGCGTCTCCGCTCCTCCACATGCAGCTGCTGGGTGACCTTGGGCCAGTCACACTTCCTTGAAGTCTCTCAGCCCCACTCACCTCACAAAGTGTTGTGGGGGAGGAAGGGAAAGGAGAATGTTAGCCGCTTTGAGACTCCTGAAGGGGAGTGAAAGGCGGGATATCAAATCCAAACTCTTCTTCTTCTTATACACTAACAGTTCCTTTAAATTTGGGCAGACCTTATGCATGAACTGACTATAGAATGATCTGATCCACTGGGTCTTCTGCTTTGTTTGTTGAACTTTATGAGTTACTTCTGTTGAAATTTACAATTTGCTACTATGAATTGTATACCTTATTTATCTAAGAACACAGCCGGTTAAGTCTCATGTGTTTATTGAGGAGGGAGCTCACAAGCAGGGCTGGAAGGCAAGCTGCCCTCCCACCTTGACTGTCCTCAGCACCCGGCTGGCCTTCCCTTTTGTGGATCACAGCTGTTCTATTTTTAAAAACAAGGTTCAGATGTCGGTGGCTGTTGCGCCATTCAGTGGCAAAAAAATCCCAGCTTCCTGCTGGCTGCCACGTGTGGCAATGACTTGGCTTGCTCTGCAAGGATCTGGCTTGCTTCCCGTCCCCCCTTTGCTGGTGTGTCCCCAAACCCAAAGTTGCCCTTAATATTGGATATTCTTTCCCCCCCCCCCAGTGGCTCTCCCATGGCGCCGACTCCAACGGCAGTGGAGTCGCCATGCTCCTGGAACTGGCCAGGCTGTTCTCTCGCCTCTACACGTACAAACGGACACACGCCGGGTAAGTCGAATTTCTCTTCTGGGAGGCCTTTTGCCCAAAGCGGGGGTGCAATGGCCAGAATGTAAGCTTGACCCTTCTCTTTGCCCCCCAGGTATAATCTGCTGTTCTTTGCGTCTGGAGGTGGCAAGTTTAACTATCAAGGGACCAAGCGGTGGCTGGAAGACAACCTGGATCACACAGGTGCTGTGGGCTTATTGTTATATTCCCCATAAACCTGGAGGTTCCACGGCCAGGTGGAGGACCTGGCTCATGAGTTGGCCAGGAGGGGAGAGGATGCATCAGGAGGATGACTGGGAAGCTATGGGCCTAACTTTCTCACTTTTAGAAATGGGAGTGTGTAGCTCTCATAGAATCATAGAATCACAGAATCATAGAGTTGGAAGAGACCACAAGGGCCATCGCGTCCAACCCCCTGCCAAGCAGGAAACACCATCAGAGCACTCCTGACATATGGTTGTCAAGCCTCTGCTTAAAGACCTCCAAAGAAGGAGACTCCACCACACTCCTTGGCAGCAAATTCCACTGCCGAACAGCTCTTACTGTCAGGAAGTTCTTCCTAATGTTTAGGTGGAATCTTCTTTCTTGTAGTTTGGATCCATTGCTCCGTGTCCGCTTCTCTGGAGCAGCAGAAAACAACTTTTTTCCCTCCTCTATCTGACATCCTTTTCTATATTTGAACATGGCTATTATATCACCCCTTAACCTCCTCTTCTCCAGGCTAAACATGCCCAGCTCCCTTAGCCGTTCCTCATAAGGCATCGTTTCCAGGCCTTTGACCATTTTGGTTGCCCTCCTCTGGACACGTTCCAGTTTGTCAGTGTCCTTCTTGAACTGTGGTGCCCAGAACTGGACACAGTACTCCAGGTGAGGTCTGACCAGAGCAGAATACAGTGGCACTATTACTTCCCTTGATCTAGATGCTATACTCCTCTCAATAAATAGCTTGCGACTATCCCTGGTCTTAGCTGACAATCAGTGGTTTTTCATGTTGCATTAAGAGCATGCAAAGGGTGTCTCTTCCACCTCCTTCCCCGCCTTGTAACTCTTTGTAGGATGATGGCCGTTTCATGTCCCTGAATGCCCCTTATTTCAGATTCCAGTTTGCTGCAGGACAACGTGGCCTTCGTACTCTGTCTGGACACTCTGGGGAGAGGGAACAGTCTCCACCTACACGTCTCGAAGCCTCCAAAAGAGGGGACCCTTCAACATGCTTTTCTGAAGGAGCTGGAGCTGGTAAACAAAGGGGGTCAGGCTGGCTTGTGTTGGGCAAGATGGGAGGGCAGCAGCAGTTGAACACTCAGTGTGCCTTCCTGGCAGAGCATCCCACTGTGCTCCGGCTAATGCGGATGCCTCTTCCCCCTTTTCTGGAGGAAATAAGGCAGCTGTCCTTACTACAGAATTACTGTTTCTGGGGGACACAGGTGTGGAGGACTCCCCAGTCCTGTAGGGGTAACTGCCCACCTAAAGGACCAGGTGCACAGCCTGGGAGTCATGGAGGCACAGGTCAGTTCTGTGTCCAGGGCAGCTGTCTACCAGCTGCATTGGGTACACCGGCTGAGACCCTACCTGCCTGTGCCCTGTCTCGCCAGAGTGGTCCATGTTCTGGTTATCTCCCACTTGGACTACTGCAGTGCACGCTACCTTTGAAGGTGACTTGGAAACTACAGGGTTTCAGGCAGGGGACAGTTGCCATCCCTACCTGAAGATGCGGAGGACTGAACCTGAAAGCTGAATGTGAAGCGGGTGCTCTGCCGCTGAGGCACGGTCCTTTCCTTTAAAAATTGAAGTAAGATTCTAGTCCTCATGTGTAGGGATATCGCGGAGTGGGCAGTGGGGTCCGGAGGGAGCACACTCCCCACCAGCAGGCAGCCACAGTCTGCCTGCACGCGTGACCCTGGGGTGCATAGAATACTCCCCCCCCCGACAAGCCACAGCTGTCTGAACATCGTTCCCTCTGTCTGACCTTTTGTGGTCTCAGCAGTCTGCTGTGTCCTGTCTGTAACCTTTGTCCCTGAGACCTTTTGTCTCCTTCGTCATACACTGTGCAAGGGGAAAATGACGCGGTGGAAACAGGTGCCAAAATAACTTTGTACCACCCCACGATCTCGGGACCGAAGATGTGTAAAGGTCATAGCCCAAAATGTATCTGCCTGGTTTGCATATTTGTCTCAATAAAAGGAGGCTCCACAGGGCAAGCCAGCAGCTTGCATGCAGCCCACCTGTGCGCAGCTCACCTGATGACCAACCCCCAGTCTTGTGCCTTCACTTCACTCATGACTGTTTTAAAACAGTCCATTGGTCCATCTAGCTCAGCATCATCCATGCTGACTGGCAGTGTCTCTCCAGGGTGTCAGGCAGGGAGTCTCTCCCGGTCCTGTCTGGAGATGAAAAGCAGACCCTCTCTCACTAAGCCCTGTTTAGGGAAGTTTTTAATGACTGGTGTTTTAATGTATTTTTAATCTTTGTTGGAAGCCGCCCAGAGTGGCTGGGAAAACCCAGCCAGATGGGTGGGGTATAAATAAATTACTACTACTACTACTACTACTATTCCCCTTTTGGGAATAGATTGGGGTTGCGTAGCATGGCAAAGGCGCAGACCCTGTTTTAAGAAAAGCAGGGTTGCGAGGGAGTTGCTAACTGTGCCCCGGAGGCGAGTTGCTTGGCGCCTCCTCACCCCTTTCTTTCTGGTGACTTGTCTCCCAGGTGATTGCCAGCCAGTTCCCAGAGGTGAGGTTCTCCATGGTGCACAAGAAAATCAACCTCGCAGAAGACATGCTGGCCTGGGAGCATGAGCGCTTTGCCATCCGACGCCTCCCAGCCTTCACCGTCTCCCACCTCGAGAGCCACCGAGACGGCCTGCGCAAGAGCATCATGGACGTGAGGTCAGCCGCTGGGTGAGGAGGCTGCAATAAGGGCTGGCAGGGGATGGCGGTAGCTTTCAGATGCTGGTCTGCTTGCACGTATGAGCTGAGGATCATTATCAGAAAACGAACCTTGAACTCATTAGGAAACATGAAGCTGCCTCTCACTGAGTCAAACTCACCATTGCCCACACTGGCTGGCAGTAGCTCTCCAGGGGTTCAGACTGGAGCCCTTTCCCAGCAAGGATGTGGGTGGCACTGTGATCTAAACTGCTGAGCCTCTTGGGCTTGCCAGTCAGAAGGTCGGCTGTTCTAATCCCCGTAACGGAGTGAGCTCCCGTTGCTCAGTCCCAGCTCCTGCCAACCTAGCAGTTCAAAATCACACCAGTGCAAGTAAATAAATAGGTACCACTGCGGTGGGAAGGTAAACAGCGTTTCCATGCGCTCTGGTTTCTGTCACAGGGTCCCGTTGCGCCAGAAGCAGTTTAGTCCTGCTTGCCACATGACCCGGAAAGCTGTCTGTGGACAAACTCCGGCTCCCTCTGCCTGAAAGCGAGATGAGCGCCGCAACCCCATAGTCACCTTTGACTGGGCTTAACCGTCCAGGGGTCCTTTACCTTTTTCCTTTTTCCCCCAGCCCTAACTGGAGATTCAGGGTTTGAACCTGGATCCTTCTCCTGGCACAGCAGGTGCTCTGTCATTCAGCTTACAGCAATTGTGTAGAGCATAAACTTGGAGGGCTGCCACTTGGCTCAGGAGCTGAACATGTGAGATTACATTTAGCAGTGGAGACTTAATATTACCTGTTGGCAGACAAAAGTTATGCAGGGGGAAGTGTAGCCATTTTTCCTTTCTTAAACCACGTAAGCTGTTGCCACGTCTTCTAAACACGAATTCCACGAGTTCTGGCTGGGAGGCAGGGAGCCTGCTTGTCTGAATGCTCTCTGATCTAGCAGGGCAGGCTTAGGCTCTTCTATCGTTTCTCTTTCTGTCTCTGTCTCCCTCCCCGCCTCACTGCAACGTAACAGTGGGTGGGTGTGGAGGCATTTTGTACGAAAAGCTTTGTATGTTTCTCTGGAACCGGAATTCCTTGCGCAAGTCCAGTAGCATGCCCTCCGTTGTGTGTGAAGAGTGTGCCAGTGGTGACTTCCAGTTTGGCCCTCGGTCTTGGTATGAAGTAGGGGTGGGGAAGCCATGCTGGCCCTCTGGATGTTGTTGGGACTCAACCCACTTTCAGCACCAGCACCCAACAGGGATGATGGGATGTTGTAGTCCGGCAACACCTGCAGGGTAGTGGTTCAGAGCGATAGACTCGTAATCTTGGGAACCGGGTTCGCGTCTCCGCTCCTCCACCTGCAGCTGCTGGGTGACCTTGGGCCAGTCACACTTCCTTGAGGTCTCTCAGCCCCACTCACCTCACAGAGTGTTTGTTGTGGGGGAGGAAGGGAAAGGAGAATGTTAGCCGCTTTGAGACTCCTTCGGGTAGTGATAAAGCGGGATATCAAATCCAAACTCTTCTTCTTCTTGTTAACGCCAGTTTGGGGTGGCAAACGCCCTGCATGTAATTATCCATTCTTACTGGTGTCCTAGCTTTCCTACTGTGCATAGTTAACACATAGCACATAGTTAAACTGTGGAACTCTCTCCCACAGCAGGCAGGGAGGGCCACCAACTTGGACGGCTTTAAAAGAGAGTTAGACCGTGGTTGGAGGCAGTAATGCTTCTGAATAACAGTTGTTAGAAACGGCAGGAGGCAAGAATGCTCTTGTGTTTGGGTCCCGCTTGCAGATTTCCCGTTGGGGCACCCAGTTGGCCACTGCGAAAACAGGCTGCTGGACTAAATGGGCCATTTACCACATCCAGCAGGGCTATACTTGCATTCATATATATACAGTGGTACCTCGCAAGACAAAAAACTCGCAAGACGAAAGCGTTTTTCGTTTTTGAAGTTGCTTCGCAAGACGAATTTCCCTATGGGCTTGCTTCGCAAGACGAAAACGTCTTGCAAGTTTGTTTCCTTTTGGATTTTCAATGCATTCCTATGGGAAACTGTGCTTCGCAAGACAAAAAATTCGCAAGACAAAAAAACTCGCAGAACAAATTAATTTTGTCTTGCTAGGCACCACTGTACAGTGGTATCTCGGGTTACATACGCTTCAAGTTATAAACTCCGCTAACCCAGAAATAGTACCTCGGGTTAAGAACTTTGCTTCAGGATGAGAACAGAAATCGTGCTCCGGCGCCACAGCAGCAGGGGGCCCCATTAGCTAAAGTGGTACCTCAGGTTAAGAGCAGTTTCAGGTTAAGAACGGACCTCCAGAACAAATTAAGTACTTAACCCGAGGTACCACTGTATATATATAGAGAGAGAGAGAGAAAAAATTTTTTTAACAACCAGATTATCAATCAATATATAAAGGTAAAGGGACCCCTGACCATTAGGTCCAGTTGTGGCCGACTCTGGGGTTGCGGCGCTCATCTCGCTTTATTGGCCGAGGGAGCCGGCGTACAGCTTCCGGGTCATGTGGCCAGCAGGACTAAGCCGCTTCTGGCGAACCAGAGCAGCGCACGGAAATGCCATTTACCTTCCTGCCAGAGCGGTACCTATTTATCTACTTGCACTTTGACATGCTTTCGAACTGCTAGGTTGGCAGGAGCAGGGACCGAGCAACAGGAGCTCACCCTGTCGCGGGGATTCGAACCGCCAACCTTCTGATCGGCAAGCCCTAGGCTCTGTGGTTTAACCCACAGCGCCACCCGCGTCCCTCAATCAATATATAGCATTCTTAATGTGGAGGAGCATTTTTTTAAAGTGCAGCATGCGCACCCTTCCCAGCCACCTGGTTATCTGAAATGGTTCCTTGCCGAAAGGGGAAAGGGTTGGAAAGGGAGGAGGAAAACAAGCACAGCCAGCCATCAGTTCTTGAAAGTTACCACTGCAGTTGGGAGTATCTCCCCCAGAATTCTACCCCAAGGCTTCATCATCTCCAGACTGGCTTGCTGTCAAGGTGGGGGGTGGGATAGCCAGCTGTATGAACTGCGTCGTATGGGCCTTGCTCCCTTTTTTGAGGGAAGACATCGGTTTGCATGCTCCCTTCCACGTTTATGAGGACCATGGGCTGGTTGTCCCTTTTTAAAGACCTCGGGCCCGAGTGGGACTGCTGGCGGAAGACTGCACAAATGAGAAACTTGGTAGGCAGTCGTTCAAATGCCTGCTCTCCCTCCCTCCCAAGAAAATATGTTCTTGACACCGCTGTTGCCTTTCCCCTTTGCAGGGCACGGGTCGACCCCAAAATTCTAACCCGCAACACCCGCATTGTTGTGGAGGCTTTGACGCGGGTTATCTACAACCTAACAGAAAAGGTGAGGGATTTTCTCTTACATCTGCTCTCCCCCAGGCAGTTTTCGCCAGCCACAGCGGAGGAAGAGGTTCAGCGCGGCCCCATCACATTTCCTCATTTGACTCTCCCCCTCCCAGAACTGTTAGCAGCCGTTCCACCGATTGCAGCCGAGGGGCCGATAGGGCAGCATCAACGGTCAGCTGTAGGCTGCCACTTGACCTGGCTGGAAAGAAGGGGCAACGGGGCCATTCTGAAAGACCAGCTCCATTTGGCTCCTTTCCTCCCCTAAACCATCCCTGGTCTTTGTTGTGATTATCAGATACACTAACATCGCACTCAAGTGCTGAGTCACGAGGAGCATGTTGCCAAAACAAGGCTCTTGAGAAACAAGGAGGGAATATTAACATGCTCCATGGGGAGCAAAAGAAATTTTATGCTTGCGGGGAGGGGGGAGCCCTAATGAGGGACCAGAAAAACCCAAGACAGCACTACATGGATTAAGTGTGCTCAGCAGCCACTGAACTGACCATTGAGGGCTGCAGGGTTGTTCAGAAAGGCTATTCTGGAAGAAGCCATGCCTGCCTGACTTGAAACCCAGGGTCAGGAGTGCCCCACATTATCTTGCACTTATAGCATGAGCAGTGATGTGTGCTTTCCCAGAAAATTTTGAACTGGGTGATTTGCACTGGAATTTTTTGTTCTGTTTTCCCAGGGAGTGGTCTAATTTAGCACGCTTGTTTGACTTGTATTTAGCGATCAAGGCCAAAAACCTTGAAGCTGCCAAGTTTGCCTAACATTTTTGCGGTTGGTAGGGACGCGGGTGGCACTGTGGGTTACACCACAGAGCCTAGGACTTGCCGATCAGAAGGTCGGCGGTTCGAATCCCCGCGACGGGGTGAGCTCCCATTGCTCAGTCCCTGCTCCTGCTAACCTAGCAGTTCGAAAGCACGTCAAAGTGCAAGTAGATAAATAGGTACCAATCCGGCGGGAAGGTAAACGGCGTTTCCGTGCACTGCTCTGGTTCGCCAGAAGCGGCTTAGTCATGCTGGCCACATGACCCGGAAGCTGCACGCCGGCTCCCTCGGCCTATAGAGCATGATGAGTGCCACAACCCCAGAGTCGGTCACGACTGGACCTAATGGTCAGGGGTCACTTTACCTTTACCTTTATTTGCGGTTGGTATTCATTCATTGCTGCTAACAAAATTAGGAAACGGGGAGCATCTCGCTCCCACATCACATAACTTTAAGAATTGGTGCCTGAGCGTGCTTGTTTTTCTCTTCCCTCCCCATCCTTCTCCCCTTTCGGGTTGTGTCTCTTGCATTGAAAGCCCGTGAGCAGGGGCTGCCTTCAAAAAACAAAAATATAGCAGGATGCCTAAAATTCCCAATGTGCTTTATAGATGAAAACTTTCCACTGTATCTGTTCCTCTAGGGAGTACCTGTTGACCTCCAGATCTTCACAGAACAGATGGTAAGCATGCCTTGCTAGTGGGGTCTCTTCCCCACAGGGCAAGGGGAAGCCTGAGGGTGGTGGGGGTTTTAATCTGCAGGGCAGACCGACTGCCTCTCTCCCTTCCCCACCTCCTTGCCTCTGCAGCAGATCCAGCAGGAACAGATGGAGTCCGTGATGGACTGGCTCACCAGTCAGCCAAGGGCCGCTCAGCTGGTCGACAAAGACAGCACTTTCATCAACACTCTGGAATATTACATGAGCCGCTACCTGAAAGACGTGAAGCAGCATCATGTGAAGGCAGACAAGCGGTAAGAGCAGGGCTGCCCTTTGCTCTTTTCCCTGTTCTGCTCTGGTGCTCTTTTGTGCTGTTAACTGCCCTCAATATACACACACACACACCTTTTTTTGACGTGGTTAGAGACAGGGTGGCATAGAGAGGTAAAAAAGCATCTCCAGGAAAGACTCTGGGTGGTCCTGGTTCAGGGCCCAGCTGGTTTCTTAATTATTGATGGCATTTATACTCTGCTCTTTAGCCAGAAATGCTTTGAGAGTGGCTTACAAAAATCAGTATTCAGACACTCCCTTAGAAAAGCATGGCATGGACATGTAACAGGCTAAAAGAGTATTGGGAAATGACTTATAATGAATTGAAATAAATGTTTGAAATTACCAAGGGCATCTAGTCCAACCCCTGCAATGCAGGAGTCACAGCTAGTGAATTCCTGGCAGATGGCCGTCCAACCTGTTCTTAAAATCCTCCCATGAAGGAAAGGCCACCACCATCTTCTGAGCTTTTCTGTTCCACTGTCCAACAGCTCTTAACCCTCGGAAAGTTATTCTTAATATTGAGCTGGAATCTCCTTTCATTACAGTGGTGCCCCGCAAGACGAATGCCTCGCAAGATGAAAAACTCGCTAGACGAAAGGGTTTTCCGTTTTTTGAGTCGTTCCGCAAGACGAATTTCCCTATGGGCTTGCTTCGCAAGACGAAACATCTTGCGAGTTTGTTTCCTTTTTCTTAAAGCCGCTAAGCTGCTAAGCCGTTAATAGCCGCTAAGCCGTTAATAGCCGCTAAGCCGCTAATAGCCGTGCTTCGCAAGACGAAGAGACTCGCGGAACGGATTAATTTCGTCTTGCGAGGCACCGCTGTATGTTTGAATCCACTGGTTCAGGTTCTCCCCTCTGGAGTAGCAGGAAACAAAGCTTGCTCTCTCACAAGGTGTGTGACTGAACCCACATCTGTGCATCTAGCACTCAACAGGTATTCCTACACAAATTACCAAGAGGTGTAGGAGCGTTTGGGTAAAAGAGTACAGTGGTACCTCGGGTTACAGACACTTCAGGTTACAGACTCTGCTAACCCAGAAATAGTACCTCGGTTTAAGAACTTTGCTTCAGGATGAGAACAGAAATTGTGCAACGGCGGCGCAGCGGCAGAGGGAGGCCCCATTAGCTAAAGTGGTACCTCAGGTTAAGAACAGTTTCAGGTTAAGAACGGACCTCCGGAACAAATTAAGTTCTTAACCCAAGGTATCACTGTATTGGGAAATGATCCATGATGAATTGAAAAAAAAAGGTTTTAAAATACTTCCCCCCCCAAAACCAGAGTCCTTTCTGTTGAGAATAACTCAGACTGAAATTCCCAGGTGTCAAAAATGGTTACCGTATTTTTCTGTGTGTCAGACGTTGCTTTAAAAAAATAGGCAAAAATTGAGTGTTGTCTTATACACGGACAGTGAATGCAGAGGGGGGACGTGCGCTTATTGGCAGCAGCAAGCAGGAGATTGGCAGCGGCAATTGGGTGGGTGATTGGTGGCTGCGGCAAGGCCTGCTGGCGATTGGCTGTGGCTGCTGCAATTGGGCAGGTGATTGATGGCTGTGGTGAGGCAGGCGATTGGCGGCTTGGGCAGGTGGGCTGTTGCTGGCGGTGAGCGGGCAGACGAGGTGTGCGATCAGCAGTGGTGCGCAGACGGATGAGCGATTGGTGGAAGTCACCTCCCCCCCCCCAACAAAGCTAAACAGCTTAATTTCTTAATTTTTGGTTAAAAAAATAGGGGTCATCTTATACACGAAAAAATACGGTATTTATGTATGCTACTACTGCAGCTCGTGTTTTGTTAGCCCCCAAAGGGAAGACGAGCAAGGTCCCAACCAAAGAAGATTGGCAACTTAAGTGGACAGACTATGCACAACTTGCAGACTTAATATGTAGAATAAGAGAACAAGAAGAACATACATTTAAAGAAGATTGGAAAACATTTATTGAATATATGGAAAATAATTGTACAGCTGCAAACGCTGGCAGCATTAAGATACATTCAACAGTAGAAATCGGTTTTGATGGATGTAATAATGGAAAACCGATCGGTATAGTTTTTGTAAAATATGCAGGAATTTATGATATGCAAAATGAACCATGGAAAGAGAAGGGAAGTCATTGATATCTTAAGCATGGAAAATGTTTATCTGAAATTGTAAAACAGAAAATTTAATAAAAATCATATTTAAAAGGCATGGCACACAAGGAGAAAGGAAAAGAAGGGAGGAGGAAAGAACAGTCTGAAGCCCGAGTTATTAAAGTTCCACTTCTTCTACCACGGTTAAGAGCAGCAGCTCCCCACCGATGTCTGTGGCAGTTCTGGATCTCCTGCCCCTGATAACGAGCTCTTTCCCCCACACGCCTGGAAGCATTCGTCCTCCACAGACGAGACCCAGGGGCTAAGCAGGTGACCGTACCCAGTCTGGGACGCCACAGCAGATTCTGTCGCACTGTATGAGTCTTGAGGGCCGTTGGAATCCTTGCAGCAGGAGGGTGGGAGCATGGTGGGGCTGGTTGCCTGGTCCTCCCTGGGAGCGCTTTTCCTCTCAGGTCAGATCCAGCAGAGCTGGCAATGGGGAGCAAGGCAGCTCCAGCCACACAGCTCTTCCCTCAGGCAACTTAGTTAGATTATTAGGATTTAGGATGAGCTAGATCAGACTCTGTACATAAGGCGCCCCCGTGTATTTCTACAGCTTACTGTGTTGTGTTGTGACTTTCAAAGGCACAACTGTTTTAAAAACATGAACAAGTTAATTCGGCGCCCCTCTTTTTCTAAACCCCATGCAGGGACCCCGAGTTTGTTTTCTACGACCAGTTGAAGCAAGTAATGAATGCATATAGGTAAGTGCAAGCAACCTTGTCTTGTATTTCTTTGCCCTGAGATCAGAGGCCCCCTCAAAGGCCTGTGTTCTAGGGCTTGGCCTGTGTGGGGTGGGGAGGAAGAACTCTTAATATCAACCCCACAGAAAGAATTGGGAAATGTTCTGTGCAAATTCCTCTTGGGCTCTTGCCCAGGAATGTGGTCAGCCTTTTCTCCCACCTTGTGGTGCTGGCATTGTCCTGCTTTGAATACACAGGCTCTGAGGATCTACCAGCCAAGGAGGAAGCTTCAAGAGATTCCTCCTTCCTGCCCAGCCATTATGCTGCTCTCTCTTACACACTCTCACTCTCCAACCTATCCAACCTATCAAGGCAGCCTTCTCAAACTTGGGACTCGCCAGATGTTATGGCCTGCGATGGCATCATCCCCAGCCAGCAGGTTGCAGAAGGGGTTAAATAGGGGTTAAATCCAGCAGACGGGGCTGGGTGCCCCCTGCCACGCACCATCTGTTTCCCACCCAACAGAGGGGTCAGAAGCAAGCCTTCTCAGACTGGTGGTGTACCTGACCATGAGCACATTTCGTAGGAGAACATGTGGGGAGGGGCAGACGCTCCAAATTGGACACTCTTCTTTCCAGAGGGAGAAGAGGGGAGGGCACCCTGGGAGAGGAGCTGGGCCTTTCTGAGTAGCACCCACCTGAACATGAGCAGCTCTGGCGGAGTAGAAAACATTCCCCTCTTCAAAGGGTGACTTTGTATTCCTGTTACTCATTCACTTTGTAATCCACCGATTTCTGTGGAAGTAGTGCAGGAGGGCATGAAGTGTGCGCTTTAAGGGACTCCGTAATGTGCGCACGTCTAAACTTGGCTTGTTTTCCAGGGTCAAACCTGCCATCTTTGATCTCCTCCTGGCTCTCTGCATTGCCGCCTATCTCGGGGTAGCCTATGTTGCTGTCCAGGTGAGTGTGCAACAGACCGTGGTGGCCTCTCTCAAGCAAATTTCAGGAGGAAATCAAGGCAGCTACTTTCTCTTTTCCCCAGGGCTTGTTTGAGTTGGGGCAAAGTCTATTCAGAAGCTTCTTTTGCCACATTTTTGAGTTTTGCCTCCACCTCTTAATAGGTGCTGGCTTCCATGCCTTTTCATGATGGAGGCTATCTGTTAGCAGTTCATTAAGCCAGATTAATGTGCACAGAGTCCTTTTTAACCTTTCCAATCCTCACGTTTGCAAGGAAACTTGAAAACTTGCAGACGGAAAGGAAAACTATTCAAGGGCTACATTTTTTGTCCATCCCGTTATTTTCATTTCATTTCATTTCATGAAATGTTCAAGAAGGACACTGACAAACTGGAATGTGTCCAGAGGAGGGCAACCAAAATGGTCAAAGGCCTGGAAACGATGCCTTATGAAGAACGGCTAAGGGAGCTGGGCATGTTTAGCCTGGAGAAGAGGAGGTTAAGGGGTGATATGATAGCCATGTTCAAATATATAAAAGGATGTCACATAGAGGAGGGAGAAAGGTTGTTTTCTGCTGCTCCAGAGAAGCGGACACGGAGCAATGGATCCAAACTACAAGAAAGAAGATTCCACCTAAACATTAGGAAGAACTTCCTGACAGTAAGAGCTGTTTGACAGTGGAATTTGCTGCCAAGGAGTGTGGTGGAGTCTCCTTCTTTGGAGGTCTTTAAGCAGAGGCTTGACAACCATATGTCAGGAGTTCTCTGATGGTGTTTCCTGCTTGGCTGGGGGTTGGACTCGATGGCCCTTGTGGTCTCTTCCAACTCAATGATTCTATGATTCATGCTCAGAACAAATTTTGAGTTGTGTGCACAGTGTAAATAGGAGTGAGACTTAACCGAGGAGAATTTTAAACTCTGAACAGATGATTCTCCCCTGACTCTTCTATATCAAATGGCTTTTTAAAAACTCCCCTCCATTTTCGATTTGCCGGGCATTGTTTTGCTTTGGGGTGGGGTGCCAGAGAAAGAAAAAACAAGTGTAGATTCCCATTGGCCTTATGGAACCACTTTCACAGTGCTCCAGATCCTGGCATACAAATCAGGTTTTTGAGACAATGGGGGTGATCCACCCGAAGCCGCCTCCCTAACTTGATATGGGTGGGTGGGCTGGCCAAGGGTGGGGAATTGAGCTATAGCAAAGAAAGCCTTGCACCTCCCATGGGACATTTCATGGCGGTGCAACAGACACGCCCCTCTTTTAAGGTACCGCTGTTGCAGATGTGGCTGCAGCCTGCCGGATTCGAAAACACTTCTCCCACCCCTTCTGCCCGTTTCAGCATTCATCTTGAAGATACAGAGCCACCCACTCACTGTCTGTTTCTCTCTCTCTCTCTCTGCTTGTGTGCCCCCCTTCCCTGCCCCCCCCAGCACTTCAGTCTGCTTTTCAGGTTGGTGCAGAGACTGTCCCTGAAATCCAAGCAACAGTGAAATGGTTCCAGAGGCACCGCCGTTGGAAATGAGCCCGTCCGGACCAGCGCCGCGTTGGATGCTACTGCTGCTCGTTCCCTCGTTCCGTTTCGCGACACTGGAGCAGGAGGCAGAAGCCGAGACGGAAAACGCCCTTCCCACTCCCTTGCGTTTTGCGGGTCTGCCGTTGCTCTCCCCTCCCGCTCCCCCACCCCCTTCCTCGGGACAGAGCCCCAGGCGTTCTCACACACACACACACACACACACACACACACACTGCTTCCAGACTGAACAATGGGTGTCTTCTTCTTTTTTTGTCTTCTCTTTCCTTCCTCCCGCCTTCCCTCGGAAATCTTCCTCTGAGCAAAAAGACATTTCCATAAGTGCAAAGCTGCTGTACGAGAAGCAGGCAACATATGTGCCATAGGTTTTAAGCTTTGGGGGTGGAAGCCTTGGGCTGGTGGGGTGGGTGGGGGCCCGCCTGTCAGATGGAGAACTTGAAGGGGCTGCTTTGGGGGGGTCAGTTTGTGTTTTGTTTTGTTTTTTAAAAAAAGATGTGCACATGTAAATTAAAAGAGAACTACTGCGAAGTTTCCTCCTGAGCTTTCTTGGCTCTGATATCACAGCTTTCTGACATCTAGGGCGTTGTTTGTTAAGTGGGGTTTGCCACATGGATGTGGCAGCTGGGTGGGTGGGGAGTAAGGGTGGTTAATACCTAGTTTTGGTGGGGAGGGTGATGAGAACGTGGGTGCTGAGAAGGGGAAGCTCTTTGGTAGAGCGGCCATAGCTGTAATGTTCAATATTTAGTCAGCTCTGCCTCTTCTTCCTTCTCTGGGCACCTCCAGGAAGAGTTACTCAGTGAGTTTTCATGAGTTTGTGGCCGATCCCTACTGCAAGGCTTGGGAGCTCTCATCAGCGGCAGCTAGCAGGGCTTCTGGGGAAGGCTGTCCTAGTCCACTGGCTGTCCTAGCCCACCTGGTTCAGACCCGAGACCCATCTCTGACTCACAATCTGCAACATAGGTAAAGGTGAAGGGACTCTGGGGTTGCGGCGCTCATCTCGCTCTATTGGCTGAGGGAGCCGGCGTACAGCTTCCGGGTCGTGTGGCCAGCATGACTAAGCCACTTCTGGCAAACCAGAGCAGCGCACGGAAACGCCGTTTACCTTCCCGCCGGATTGGTACCTATTTATCTACTTGCACTTTGACGTGCTTTCGAACTGCTAGGTTGGCAGGAGCAGGGACCGAGCAACGGGAGCTCACCCCGTTGCGGGGATTCGAACCGCCGACCTTCTGATCGGCAAGTCCTGGGCTCTGTGGTTTAACCCACAGCGCCACCCATGGCCCTGCAACATAGAATCTGCAACGTAGAATTGGAAGGGATCCTGAGGGTCATCCAGTCCAACCCCCTGTGATGCAGGAATATGCAGTTTTCCCAAACGGGGATCAAACCTGCAGCCATGGCATTATCAGCAGCACGCTCTAACGAAATCCAGGCTGAGGCCCACTTTTCCACATGCTCACTTTTGACTTAATAGCTGTTGCTTCTTTGGCAATCACTCATAGCCAAATGGCGTTTATTGACCTGACCAAGGCCTTTGACACTGTAAATCGTACTGCCCTGTCGACTGTCCTCCTGAAAATCGGACAAATTTGTGAACATCCTTCGGCTCCTCCGCAGTAATACGACGGCAACAATTGCGGGTAACAAGGGCTTTCAAAGTGAATCATTCATGGTGGGATCAGGCGTTAACACATCCCTGTTTATCGCCCCGACTTAACAGCACCAATAAGGCACATTACTAATCTTAGGGTGGCAGGGCACAGTGTTGCCTTAGCTTTAGGTAAAGGGTAAAGGGACCCCTGACCATTAGGTCCAGCTGTGACCGACTCTGGGGTTGCGGCGCTCATCTTGCTTTATTGGCCAAGGGAGCCGGTGTACAGCTTCCGGGTCATGTGGCCAGCATGACTAAGCCGCTTCTGGTGAACCAGAGCAGCGCACAGAAACGCCATTTACCTTCCTGCTGGAGCGGTACCTATTGATCTACTTGCACTTTGAGGTGCTTTCGAACTGCCAGGTTGGCAGGAGCAGGGACCGAGCAACAGGAGCTCACCCTGTCGCGGGGATTCAAACCGCTGACCTTCTAATCGGCAAGTCCTAGGCTCTGTGGTTTAACCCACAGCACCACCCGCGTCCCTTGCCTTAGCTTTACTAATGGAAAAACAGCGAGGAACTTCCCCCTGACTCAACCCTGTTTTGAGTTTGGAGTGAGGATGGTGTCCCTGCTCCTCCTCACTCATTTCCTGCAGCCAGTCCTTTGCCGTTGCCGCCAGGGGCCCCCAGAGGCTGCCAAGATGGCAGCCACTGGGCCACCCAGGTACAGAGTTCTGCATTTTAATCCCCAGCATGTTTCCATTCTGAGAGAAGTCTAGAAAGCCATAGAAGCAGACTAGAAAGTGAACACGCATTTTCCTCACCATAATTGATGTCCATGGGAGCCCCAGTGTAAAAACAACAAAACATAGCAAAGAATACAAAATAAGCTATAGTGGGAAAGCCCAGTTCCGTCGGGGGCTTTGTTCAAAGAGGCAAGTTCCTGTCATTTCTGTGAAAACTCCCTTGAAAGATAGCTTATTTCTAACTTGGGAGACAGTTCAGAAGGCTTGGTGTTCTTTTTGCATCAAATCCATAAAATTGCATTTCCCCCACTCCAGAAGTGCACATAGAAATTTGCCTTCCGTGTCTCCTGTGTTCACGCAACATTCATAAATGGCCAGCCATATTTAATACTTAGGAAAGCTTGCACCAACATTCCTATAATAAAGTGAACAGGTCTGTAGAAGGTTGCCAGCCTATTGCAAATCCCCTTCCCATTAGCAAATTGGATGTAGAACAGTGTATATAAACTTCTGCCCTTTAAGTAAGGGGTTTATTTTGCATCAAATTTTGTTAATGGACAGGAAAGTATTTTAAATGGTGGGCTGGGTGTGTTTTTTGTTTCCTTTTTTGAGTCACTAAAACAAGCAAGACAGCAAAGCTTTCCTGGTGTCCAGAATTACCCTTGTGTTGATGTTCAGTGGTGTGTAGTGGAAGGGGAATAATTTATAAATTGTACATGTCGCTCGACTGTAAAAAGAATAAGATTTTTTAAAAAAGAGTTGCAAGGGACACCAAAGGGTCATTTAGTCCAACCTCCTGCAATGCCGGAGTCCTGCTCACAGCCATCAAACCACCAGCCTTCTGGTTAACAGCTGGATGCACTGACCCATTGCTCCATTTTGGGTTGACTATGCCTTGAGCTCAGTGGCAGCAGGACACATGCTTGGCATGCAGAAGGTCCCAGGTTCTGTCCTCAGTGTTTCCAGGCAGGGCTTAAGGACTGCCCCATACCTGAAACCTTTGGAGACCTGTTACCTGTCAGTGGAGAGGTAACCTTGAGCCAGACAGATCAAAGGCCTGCCTCAGGGTAAATTGATCAAAATGATGAGGACTAGACGCTTGCGTTTTTTTTAAGAGGAGGGCCATGCCTGCTTGGCATACGGAAAGTGCCAGTTTCAGTCTCCTATAAAGGTAAAGGGACCCCTGACAATTAGGTCCAGTCGTGACCGACTCGGGGGTTGCGGTGCTTATCTCGCTTTACTGGCCGAGGGAGCTGGTGTACAGCTTCCTGGTCATGTGGCCAGCATGACTAAGCCGTTTCTGGCGAAGCAAAGCAGCACACGGAAACGCCGTTTACCTTCCTGCCAGAGCGGTACCTATTTATCTACTTGCACTTTGACGTGCTTTCGAACTGCTAGGTTGGCAGGAGCAGGGACCGAGCAACGGGAGCTCACCCCGTCATGGGGATTCGAACCGCCGACCTTCTGATCAGCAAGCCCTAGGCTCTGTGGTTTAGACCACCGCGCCACCTGCGACCCATTCAGTCTCCTATAGTCAATGGCATTTGAGGAGGGGTCGTCACTCCCCGAAGTCCAGATGCAAGGGAGGGCAGGATTCCTATCCCCCTTCAACAGATGTGCAGAGTGGTCTGGAGACAGTTCCAGCCAAACTGCATCTTGCCATGAAGGTTTTCTTCTTGTTGGTGTTTAGTCGTGTCCGACTCTTCATGACCCCCTGGACCAGAGTACGCCAAGCACTCCTGTCTTCCACTGCCTCCCGCAGTTGGGTCAAACTCATGCTGGTAGCTTTGAGGACAGTGTCCAACCATCTCGTCCTCTGTCGTCCCCTTCTCCTTGTGCCCTCCATCTTTCCCAACACCAGGGTCTTTTCCAGGGAGGTGGCCAAAGAACTGGAGCCTCAGCTTCAGGATCTGTCCTTCCAGTGAGCACTCAGGGCTAATTTCCTTCAGAATGGAGAGGTTTGATCTTCTTGCAGTCCATGGGACTCTCAAGAGTCTCCTCCAGCACCAGAATTCAAAAGCATCCATTCTTTGGCGATCAGCCTTCTTTATGGTCCAGCTCTCACTTCCATACATCACTACTGGGAAAACCATAGCTTTAACTATACGGACCTTTGTTGGCAAGGTGATGTCTCTGCTTTTCTTCTTGCAAAGCTCTTAATGGCTGAGGGACATTGGGAGCTGCTTTCAGTTTTCCCGGTAGTAATGTATGGCAGTGAGAGCTGGACCATAAAGAAAGCTGATCGCCGAAGAACTGATGCTTTTGAATTCTGGTGCTGGAGGAGACTCTTGAGAGTCCCATGGACTGCAAGATCAAACACATCCATTCTGAAGGAAATTAGCCCTGAGTGCTCACTGGAAGGACAGATCCTGAAGCTGAGGCTCCAATACTTTGGCCGCCTCATGAGAAGAGAAGACTCCCTGGAAAAGACCCTGATGTTGGGAAAGATGGAGGGCACAAGGAGAAGGGGACGACAGAGGACAAGATGGTGGGACAGTGTTCTCGAAGCTACGAACATGAGTCTGACCAAACTGCGGGAGGCAGTGGACGACAGGAGTGCCTGGCGTGCTCTGGTCCAGGGGGTCACGAAGAGTCGGACATGACTAAACAACAACAACAAACCCATCCACAGTAGGCGACTGACCAGTTCCTCGGACACTGGGGCAACTCGCCTTCAGTGCCTCCCTCTTGCCAGGATGGGGTCAAGCCTAGGAGCCAACTCCTAGGGCTGAGGTTCCTTTGCCCCCCCCAATAAAATATTTAAGGGGGCTTTACCCCCCATTAATTAGCATTGCCATTCAAATGGTGTGCATGCACTGCATCTTGTGATCCATTATGTGTGTGGGGGGGACTTACCTCCCCCCTCCATATTTTATTAAAGTAGGCAGGCACCCCTGGATTCAAGCTTTGGCACGATGGCGTTTCTCTTCTCCAGGGGAAAGTTTCTGGTAGATCTTCGACAAGGCTGGTGATATAAATTAAAAATTAAAAAATTGTCCAGTAGCACCTTAGAGACCAACTACGTTTGTTCTGTGTATACCCGGAACAAACTTAGTTGGTCTCTAAGGTGCTACTGGATAATATTTTTATTTTTAAATTCGACTGCGTCAGACCAAGACGGCTACCTACCTGAATCTAGATTCTAGAAGGCTGGTGATGCGAAACCTGGGAGGAGAGGTATAAAATTGTGTGGCCACGAGGTGGCGCCAGGGCACAGGGTTTGACTCACCCCCCAACTGTGCTAACATCCAAGGCCTCGCGATGATTCTAGTCCACAATCTATCTTTCTTTCTTTCTTTCTTTCTTTCTTTCTTTCTTTCTTTCTTTCTTTCTTCGCAACCTGACTAAATGTAGAAATAGGAGCAGGTTCAAAACTTTGAGAAAAGGAACAAAAGGTTATCTTACACAGCTGACGGAAGGAAATTCTTAGTTTCACCCTTGGTGAACAATTAACCAATATATTTTTTTTCTCTCTCTCTCCTACCCAGGGATTTCCCTGTCTACTGAACAGTGGTTCAACTTGAAGGCAGTCATTCTTACAAATCGACGCAGCTACCCAGAAATTCTAAGAGACAAGCTACTTTGAAAAATCACTTTGAGATTTGCTGTGGTAGTGTGGGTGTGAGAGAGGGATGACACAAAACGTGGTTGTGGTTAGCGAATAAATATAACCGCTCCTGAGATTGTGTGCGTGTGTGTGTGCATGTGCTTGCGGTTCTTTGGAAACAAATCCCAGAAAATAATCACCCTGGGAGGATTTAACAAATGCAAAGAGGCGTTTTGCTAAAAATAAATGTGACTAGTAACCAATAAATGGCTGTTATTGACTTCACAATCCCCACTTCAGAGAACTGGTGGCCCATCGAGATTTTGCTAGACTCCAGCTCCCGTCAGCCCCTGTCAGCCTGGCTGGTGGTCAGGGATGATGGGAGCGGTAGTCTAACAACATTTGGATGGCAACGCAGCGCCTTGACCCTTTATGTGCGTCTAAAAGTATTTATAACAGAACCTCCGAGGGTAAAGGCAGTCAGTTTTGGCAGCTGATGGGGGAGCAAAAAAGCGTGGCGGGGTGTGTATGTGTGTGGATCTGTCTACTTTAAGGAACAGGTTCCTGGCTAAATTGCATCCTTTGTTTAATTCAACAAAGCGGTTCTTCAAATTCACCAAACACCTTGTTGCATCCTTTTTTGCCCTCCCCGGTTCGTTGGTTTAATAATATTTGACTTTGCATCCCTGCCTAGTTTGGGACATAACCCCCCCGTCCTCCTCCCCCCCGTGCCACACTTCCAAGCTCCCAATCCCGCTCCCAGTAGCACCCCGCTTTCACGCTCCCCGAAACCCCCCGTGCACTTCCCCGGAACGGCCAGGCGGTGTCGCTGCCCAGCAGCTGCTTTTTGTGGTCCTGATGCTGCGCTCGGCAGCATCCTTTCCCCCCTCCAGTGGCATCTTGCGCGCCGCCGCCGCCGCCTCCTTCCTTCTCGCAGCATCCTCCACTGCGCAGCCCGCGCTGGGGGCTCTGGGGATGGCCAGACTGCCGGCGAGCGAGCCCAGGCGGAAGGCGCAATCCCAGCAACCGCCCCGCGCCTCCCCCATGAGCAGCGGCGGCGGCAGCGGCAGCGGCAGCGGCATCTCTGAGCCCGAGGGCATGAAGGACCTAGATGCTATCAAGCTCTTTGTGGGGCAGATCCCCCGGAACCTCGAGGAGAAGGACCTCAAGCCCCTCTTCGAGCAATTCGGGCAGATCTACGAGCTGACGGTGCTGAAGGACCGGTACACTGGCATGCACAAAGGTGCGCCCTTGTGTTTTTAATCCATCCTTTTCTCTCTCTCCTTCTGCTTCCTTCTGTTCTCCGCTCGCCTTTCCTCTTCGCTCCTCTCCCTCGCGCATCCTACTCCCCCCCCGCCTAATCCATCCTCCTCAACCTTTTCTTCCCTTTCTACCAATCTATCCATCCCCCCCCCAACTACATTCTCCATCCTGTCATTTTAATCCATCCGATCACTTTCTCCCATCCTGCATGCAATATTTTCCTCCCTCCCTTAAAATAATAATCTTCATTCTATCTGGGCGGGCGGGTGAAGCGGGGGCGGGAAGCGTCTTGCTCATCGTCTCACCCTTAGCTCTCCACATCAAGCCTGTTTCTCTCTCCCCTCCCCCCTATTTTTTTTGCTGCTGCTCTATAAACCCCTTATATAGTTGTGTTTTATTCCATCTGCTCTTTAATGCCGCCACCCCCCTACAGGCTCTCTCTTTCTCATTCTGCTCCATTAACCCCCTCCGTGCCTTTCACCATCGCTCGCCCACCCCCCCCAATTTCCCTCCCCTTAACCCATCACCAGATCAGCCTCCAAGAACATCTCACTCTGTTCCCAGGCCCACCGCTACCCCGAGCTTCAAGGCTGGTGCTGCCATTCTCTCACCTTGCCTTGCCTGGACACCTGTGTGTCCCACCTCCTTGCAGGTTAAACTGGGGGGGGGGGAGGTGCTCATTCAGGGGCCTTGGAGCCTATACGGCTTCCCTCCCCCCATCTCCTCTTCATTGCCTCCTGGTCTCTCCAGACCCCATTCCCAGACACCTCCCCATTTCTCTTCCCACACCCTCCATCCAAACCTCATCCACCACCAGCACCACCACCCCGTCCTAAAAATATATATCCAATTTTCATATCATTTATGGTGTGTTTTTACCCTGCAGGGACCTTCCCCCAACTCCACCCCCCTCTTTCCTCTACACCCTTTTTGTTTTCTGGAAAAAAGGCTTTTGACAGGAACACTGGGGTGTGGGGCACGACTATATCTATCTATCTATCTATCTATCTATCTATCTGTATGCATGCTATGCTAACCAAAATGGCTCTTGACCGCTATCTCTGAGGCTAGACCCTAAAAGCTGCCTGCAATTGCTCCTCAGTGTTTAAACTTCCAGACGAAAGGTCTTGGATGCTTTTAACATTTCATGGGACATTGGCAGATGCAAACCCATAGTGTGTGTGAGAGAGGGGAGGGCTGTGTGTGTGTGTTTGTGTGTTATAGTGTGTGTTATATGTGCTTGAAAACAATTCCCCCCCCTGCAAAAAAGGCATTTAGATGGGGCTACGTGTGGACAGCACAGTCAGTGGCGAATCCTGGCCTGTTGCTGCCTCGCGATGTACGGAAACGGCAATGTTTTGTTGCAGATAGTTGAAGGCCTGTGGGCCTAAGCTGGCCCTTATCTCAGGTGGACCCGCCAAGCACGGTTGGAATCATCCCTGACCCTTGACTATCCCATGGGGAGGCTGGGGGGGGGGTCGGAGACCAGCGGCAACCTCTGCAAAGCGGCAGGTTCCCCGCCCCAAACTTTCCAGGGGTGAGACTGAATCGCCTTGTTGGTTTGTGTGATTCTTTCAAGAGGCACGTGGCCTTGTGCCTGCACCTGCCTGTGGCTGATTTTTGCATGACACGCTTTGCGGAGGGCTTAAGTCGGACTGGAAGGGCTTCCGGAAACCACAGGAAAGGACTGAGGTCTTGTGGTCAAATCTTGTGGGTTTTGCACTGGCCATTGTGAGAACAGGATACTAGTCTTGAGAGCCTCAAGGTCCATAAACAGCAACACCCTAGTGGTCCCGGGCCCTAAGGAAGTTAGATTAGCCTCAAACAGAGCCAGGGCCTTTTCAACACTGGCTCCGGACTGGTGGAACGCTTTGTCTCATGAGTCCAGGGCCCTGCAGGATCTGATTTCTTTCCACAGGGCTGTAAGACAAAGTTGTTCCGCCTGGCCTTTGGCTTGGAGCCAATTTAATTCCCTCCCCCTCTTTTTTCTTTTCCTTTCTCCTCCTGCGATGAGGCTACATTTCAATATTTTAATGTTTCAATATTTTAATTTTGATTTTAGTTGTTTTTATTATTGCTTGTTAGCCACCCTGAGCCCGGCCTTGGCTGGGGAGGGCGGGGTATAAATAAAAATTATTATTATTAGTCTAGGTGGGGGCATTGACCTGATCCAGCAGGGCCTTCTTCTGTTCTTATGTGGGCCCATCCATCTTAGCACTATCTACAAAGACTGGCAGGATGCGGGTGGCGCTGTGGGTTAAACCACAGAGCCTAGGACTTGCCGATCGGAAGGTCGGCGGTTCGAATCCCCGCGACGGGGTGAGCTCCCATTGTTCGGTCACAGATCCTGCCAACCTAGCAGTTCGAAAGCACTTAAAAGTGCAAGTAGATAAATAGGTACCACTCCAGCGGGAAGGTAAACGGCGTTTCCGTGCGCTGCTCTGGTTCACCAGAAGCAGCTTAGTCATGCTGGCCACATGACCCGGAAGCTGTACGCCGGCTCCCTCGGCCAATAAAGCGAGATAAGGGCCACAACCCCAGAGTCGGTCACAACTGGACCTAACAGTCAGGGTCCCTTTACAATGACTGGCAGAAGCTCTCCAGGGTGCCTGGGCAGGGGTCTTATTTCAGCCCTACCTGGAGACACTTGGGATCGAAACTGGGACCTTTTACATGCAAAAAACCTGGCGGTTCTTCCCCTAATAATAATGTAAGCTTCCAGTCCTTATGATGCAGCAGAAACCCTCAAAACAGTGGGAGCTGCTTTGTACTGCTGATTGGTCCATCTAGCTTGGCCAGCAGCATCTCTGTGGAGTTTCAAAGGGAGCCCTGCCTGGTGATGTTGAGAGTTGGACCTGAAAAGCAAACAGGTGCCTTGCCAATGAACTGAACCCCCTTCTCCTTCCCTCCTGGGAGGAAACACGGAATTATTTAGCTGGCATTGTATGTGGAGGGACGATTGGAACATGCCGTTTGGTGGAAGGAGAACGTCTCCTGTTCTCTGTTGGCCACGAGAATGTCTAATGGGCTCAAGAGTCAGGAGGATAGATTTTGGTTGTGTGTTTGGAAGGAATGACTCAATGGCGGCTTTGGCTGGCCATGGGAAGGAACGACTTTGGCAGGAGGAGTTTGATGATGGAGCTGGTGACCCAGTGGGTGGTCTCTCGCTCATGAAGAGGTCTTCAGGTGGGGGGCTAGACAGCCACTGGTTGGGGGTTCTCAACATTATTACGATGGTCCCTTGGTTCTCAAACTTAATCCGTTCCGGAAGTCTGTTCCAAAACCAAAGCATTCCAAAACCGAGGCACACTTTCCCATAGAAAGTAATGCAAAACAGATTAATCCGTTCCAGACTTTTAAAAACAACCCCTAAAACAGCAATTTGACATGAATTTTACTACTGAACGAGACCATTGATCCATAAAATGTAAGCAATAATCAATGTACTGTACTGTAAAATAAATAAGACAGTATTGTAGATGATATATATAAAAAAATTCTTACCTGCACTGATGTTAGTCATTGTTTGGATGGGGGGCTTTTATCCATTTCCGCAGTCACACAATCAATCAATCAATCAATCAATCAATTAAGTCAGTAGCTGAACTGGGTTCCACACAGTCACAAAAACAAATAAACTGAAAAGCCTCAAAACAAAAATGCAGAATAAATAGCAAAAACAAAAGCACCAAACTTAATCCATTCTGGAAGTCTGTTTGACTTCCAAAATGTTCGAAAACCAAGGTGCAGCTTCTGATTGGCGCAGGAGCCTCGAAAACAATAGCCGACGGCCGTATTGGATGTTCAGCTTCCGAAAAACACTCGAAAACTGGAACACTTACTTCTGGGTTTTCGATGTTTGAGAACCAAGGCACCACTGGATGATGATGATGATGATGTCTCAAGCTGCGTGGGGAACACAATTGTTTGATTCTGCGACCTCACTGGGAGCCCTGAGAGGATTCTACTGAAGAAGAAACATAGAGTCTTCTTCATCCAGGGACAAACCTTCTATGAAACTAAAGAAGTTCAGTAATGATACAGTGGGCCAAAGATTTTGGATATAACATTCAATTTGAAGATTGGGAAAAATTATGGAAGGAAAGTTTAAAATTTACTGCATGCATGGGGTTGAAGGAAAATGTAAGGAAAATGTTTTACAGATGGTATATCACTCCGGTAAAATTGGCAAAAATGTATAAAACATGTAATAAGTGTTGGAAATGTAAAGAAAAAAGACTGTAAACTTTTCCAGTATGCACTTACGGCAGCAAGAATTCTATTGGCTCAGAAATGGAAACAAGAGGAAATACCGACGATTCAAGAATGGAGAATGAAATTGACTGACTATGTGGAACTGGACAAACTGACGGGGAAAATAAGATATGCCCGAAACCAAAAGTTCATCGAGGATTGGGGGAAATTTGCAGATTATCTGAAAAATATATGTGAGGTGCAAGCAACGCTAGTGAGGTTTCAAGAAGCACTGTAAAATTTTAAGAGGTATTGCTGAAAGTAAATAGAAAAGGAAGGGAAGACAAATGGCAATGCAATTAAAGGAATGCGTACTGAAGGGTAAAAATGGATGATTACCAGAGAAGTTGAAGGAAGTCCAAAATTTGTATTTTGTTAAAATCAGGTAAAATTTGGATAAAATTGTATGATTATATTGAAAACTAATAAACATTTATTAAAAAAAAAAGAAACTAAAGAAGCTTAAGCTTGAGGGCCGCACACTGCTTTAAAAAAATTGCTTTTAAAAAATGCATCATGCACATATATGACATTTCCCTAAATTACACCCCCATAGAAGCATGGAAGGGACCACAAGGGTCATCTAGTCCAACTTTCAGCAATGCAGGAATATTTTGCTCAAACCCTTGAGTTCTCCTTCTCTACCAACTGATCAAACCTCGAAAACTACAAGGCAGAGGGAGTTTTTATTGTCTCCAGTGGTTTTGGCATGTGAGATAATCCAGTACAACAATTTTAATCAAAATCTGAGATGTGGTAGCTAATTATTATTTTTTAAATAAAAAAGTGGCAATGTGTTGTGGAGCAAACCCACCAAAGAGGATAACAGTAGTCACCCAGACCTTGTTGCTGGTTGCACAGGGTTTCCCATGATCGTTCAAGCTTCAGGGTAACCCCAAAATGTAGGTCTGCCACTATCTCCATCCCCTATGTCAGGGATGGGGAACCTTTGACCCGCCCCCAATGTTGATGGTCTATAACTCTCCATCTTACTGGACGTTGGCCAAGCTGGCTGCTGGGAGTTGGGCTCCCAAAACATCCAGAGCTCTGCAGGAACCCCATCTCTCTGCTTTCTCAGGATCCGATGAATTTGTGGAAGACAAGGTCATTGATGGCTTTGCTGTGGCTCCACGGTTGGAGGCAGCGATGCTGTGGAAGGCCAGTTGCTGGACGCAGCAAGAGGGGAGAGTTAATGTTGTGGTCAGGTCCTCCTTGCGGGGGCACCTGGTTGGCCACTGTGAGAACGAGATGGGCCACTTGTCTGATCCAAAAGGCTCTTTTTATGGGCTTAGGCTCTACATTCTATAGAGTCGATTGCATTCTGCGTAAACTGGTAATTGTATTAAAATGCACACTTCTTCTTCTTTGGCGATCCCTCATAGCCGAGTAAGATTGTCTTCCATGAACACGGTCTTAACAGTGAATCCATAAGTGACTGTGGAGGCCAATTCTGGATCCACACATCCTTCCACAGTGGGAACATAGGTTTCCGGACAGGAGTTGATCCCTGCGAGGGTTTGCCAAACGTGCCTTCCTCTTAGCACGTTTCTCCCTTTCATCCTGAGTTCTAATGTCTTCAAAGCCCATGATACCTTTGGTAAAGGCTGTTCTCCAACTGGAGTGCTTGCAGGCCAATGTTTGCCACTTGTCGATGTTTATACTACAGTGGTACCTCGGGTTACATACGCTTCAGGTTACATACACTTCAGGTTACACACTCCGATAACCCAGAAATAGTGCTTCAGGTTAAGAACTTTGCTTCAGGATAAGAACTGAAATCGGGCTCCGGCGTTGCGGCAGCAGCAGGAGGCCCCATTAGCTAAAGTGGTGCTTCGGGTTAAGAACAGTTTCAGGTTAAGAATGGACCTCCCGAACGAATTAAGTACTTAACCTGAGGTACCACTGTACATTTTTTAAGATTTGCCTTGAGAGAGTCTTTGAACCTCTTTTGTTGACCACCAGCATTACGCTTTCCATGTTTAAGTTCGGAATGGAGTAGTTGCTTTGGCAGACGATAGTCAGGCATCCGAACAACATGGCCAGTCCAACGAAGTTGATGTTGAAGAATCATTGCTTCAACACTTGTGATCTTTGCTTCTTCTAGTACATTGGCATTAGTTCACCTGTCTTCCAAAGTGATATGTAAAAAAGCACACACATTCCCTACAATGTCTTCACCAGCCTTACCCACCTGTATTTCAAAACAGGCATTGCTTGAAAAGACTAGCGAGCAGAGACAAGTAATCCAGGTTTTAAAATTGCAAATGAGGGCTGAAAAGGTGATTGACCCTTGTTCAGAGGCAGTCTTGATCACATCTTCCAGGTGTTTGCTGCTCTCCGGTTTCCAAGAGCCACAAGCAGCTGGCCAGGGATGATGGGAACGGAATGTGGCAACATCTGGAGAGTCTCTTGCAAAGCAACCCTGTGGAGTATACCGTATTTTTTGCACCATAACACTCACTTTTTTCCTCCTAGAAAGTAAGGGGAAATGTCTGTGTGTGTTATGGAGCGAATGCCTGCGGGTGGCGGGGGGATCTGCTGCAGTCGTGAGCAGAGGATCCATGGTTCCCCTTCCTTCCCTCCTCCGTGGTTACAAAGCATGGATCCACATGGATCCTCAGGATTTTTGCATTGGGCTACTCAAAACTCACTGTCAGATCACATGTCTGTGGCCACAGCATGAACCACAAAAATCATATATCCACTATTTCGTTTAGAATATTTTTTTTCTTGCTTTCCTCCTCTAAAAACGACGTGCGTGTTATGGTCTGGTGCGTGTTATAGAGCGAAAAATACGGTATGTCTTGGTGGTTTCTGAGAAATGGCATGTGTCCCTCTCTGTGTGTGAGAGAGAGATAAAGAGGAGTTATCCATGCGCACAGCAGCGTCAGAGAATCTCGCCTTATAGGCATTTAATCCACATAATCCATCCAGAACTATATGCATTAAAAAAAACCAAAAAAAACCCATTCGTAGGGTGTTTTTGCAAAGCGACTTAAGCAAAGAGCGTGAGCGTCTCCCCAAAAGAGCTTTCAGTCTGTGCTGTGCCGGAGGGATGGCTACAGGGACGGAAGCAGAGACGACGATGGTCATAGGATCACAGAAGTGTAGAGCTGGGTGGCTTTATCTAAAATACTTAATAGAAATGCCTCCGGTTTTTTAGTAAAAGTTATCCCCATCATCTTTTTTAATTCATCGTATATTTCCCCCCCCCCAATCTTAATCTTTCCACACGTCCACCACATGTGGATCATGTCACCATTATTTCCTCCACATCTCCAACAAGCATTCGCCAAATTTTTATACATTCTTGATAATTTGGAAGGAGGTACCACCTGTGAGCCATTTTCATCATGTTCTCTCTTCTATTTTTTTTTTTAATGATATTTATTAAAGTTTCAGAAAGAAAGAATCACACCCACACAAAAGAAAAATTCAAAAAGAAAAAGAAAAATACACAATGCAAAATACAGGAAAAAAAAGAAAAAACAGTTAAAAACAATTCCATCTTTCATCACTACTTTTAGATTTACTTGTTTCCCGGACCTCCTCATACCTCCCTCTTTTGTATTCCAATTCAGTTTGTTAGTCCAGCAATTCCTTTATCCCAATCCTTAATCTTAATATAATATAACATTAAATTTTTACCTATTAAAAACCAATTTTTCCATTCTTTTAACCATTTTAATCCTAATCCTTAATCTTGATATATTTATAACTTTAAAGCCTGTACAGCTAGAAGCCACTTAATTTCAATCCAACATCACTCTAACATTCATAAATTTTGCAATATTTCTGTAAATAATCTTTGAATTTCTTCCAATCTTCTTCCACCGACTCTTCTCCCTGGTCACGGTCATCATGTTCTCCCTGGTCATCATGTTCTCTCTTCTATTATAGCTGGCTGTAAATTTCAAATTTACCTTCCATAAGTTTTCCCAATCTTTTAGCATAATTGGACGGCCCACATGGACCTCCTCATCCATTACTTTGTAGTCTAAAAGACGTCTATACATTTTTGTGATTATTTTAGTTTTACTATTCAGTAATGCTCTTTCAAATCTTGAAGGCTTCTTTTCAAAACCTATCTGCTTATCCTGTCTGAACATTTCAATCACCTGGAAGTCATCTAGCCAACCCGCTGCAACAAGGATATAATTTTATTTCCTGCCTCCACCCTAAGGTCCCAGCAATTAAAGCACAAAATCGAAAACAGCCTAAAACAATTTACAATCCGAGCTTAGCCTCCAAGGGGGTCTGTAGGGAAGGAGGCGGTCTCCTTGGGTATTTGTGGCCTGAGTCGTCCAGGGCTTTAAATACTACTGTGAGAACTTTGAATTGGGCCCAAAAATGAACTGGCATTTCTCCTCCCCCCCCCCAATTTTTAAATTAACCCCCCCAATTTTTTTAAACAAACAAACAAACATCCTAATTGTAATTAAACCAATCTTGGTAACATTGTTAAGTGACTTCCTCAAATCCCCCTGGTTGAATTTTATTATATATCATTTTTTTTTTATTTTTTTCAAATAATATTTATTCTTTTCAGTAGATAAACATAGTAAAGAAAGAAAAGATTAACAATAATAAAGACAAACAAAAAAGAAAAGAAAAAGAGAAAAAAGAAAAAAGATACATATTACCACTTAATTAATTAAAATTAAGTACCATCCATCTTCATAAACATAGTATTTGACTCTGGTTTCTCTTCAGATCGTATAAATCTTTCGCCTCATTATATATCATTTTAACAGTTTTCCAAAATCTATCTTCTCAAAGAAAAATTATCTCGATCACTTAACATCTTTCATTCCTTCTATTCTGGCTTTAAACATCTTAATTCCTATCCTTAACATATTTAAATCCTAGGCCAATCTCGTATGAACTGAATCTCGTATGAAATGAACTGGCATTTCTCTTGGCACACTTCCGGGTCGGAGGAGCACTGGAAATAGCTTGTGCGCATGTGCACGGGCCTCCTCCGACCCGGATGTGCACCGGAAATAACACTTGCGCATGCGCAAATAACGCTTGTGCATGCGCACAAGCTATTTCCGGTGCTCCTCCGACCCGGAAGTGGGCAGCCGTGCAGCGCAGCACCAGTAAGAGCGGGTGGCGGGGGTTGCTGAGGGCCGGATAAATGAGTCCCTCGGGCCTTATCCGGCCCACGGGTATCCATTTGGGGACCCCTGCCCTAAGGACTTCCTGCTTAGACTACTGCAGTGCTCTGCGTGGGGCTGCCCTTGAAGGCTGTCTCCAGTGCACAGTTGGAGTCAGCCATGCTTCTGAATAAGTCTCCAGAAACCACAGGAGGAGAGAGTAGCTCTTGTGCTCGGATACGTGGGGATCCAGGGCACAGTCCTTCAATGGCTGCGCTCGTTTCTCTCTGGTCGGGGACAGAGGGTGGCACTTGGGGGAGAACTGTCATCGCGCCACTCCCTAGTATGTGGAGTGCCTCAGGGTGCGATACTCTCCCCGATGCTTTTCAACATCTTTATGCGCCCCCTCGCCCAGCTTGTCCAGAGTTTTGGGCTGGGCTGCCATCAGTATGCTGATGACACCCAACTCTATCTGTTGATGGATGGCCATCCTGACTCGGCCCCAGACACACTGATCAGATGTTTGGAAGCTGTGGCTGGATGGTTACGTGGGAGCCGGTTGAAGTTAAATCCTTCGAAGACAGAGGTCCTCTGGCTGGGACGGGACGATATGGGATTGAGGGGGGGCAACTCCCATCTCTTGCGGAGGCCCAATTAGTGCCAGCACCGTCCGTTAAGAGTTTGGGTGTAATCTTCGACACCTCCCTTTCCATGGAGGCGCAGATTGCAGCTACAACAAAGGCAGCATTTTTTCGTCTCCACCAAGCTAAGCAGTTGTCTCCTTATCTCTCTCGCCCTGACCTAGCCACTGTGATCCATGCGACGGTCACCTCCAGACTGGATTATTGTAACTCGCTCTACGTGGGGCTGCCCTTGAGACTGACCCAGAAACTCCAGCGGGTGCAGAATGCCGCAGCGAGACTCCTTACGGGGTCCTCGCTGCGAGATCACATTCACCCGGTGCTATACCAGCTGCACTGGCTCCCAGTGGAGTGCAGGATTAAGTTTAAGGTGCTGGTTTTAACCTTTAAAGCCCCATACGGTCTAGGACCCTCGTACCTACAGGACCGCCTCTCCTGGTATGTCCCACGGAGGACCTTACGGTCTTCAAACAAAAACATCTTGGAGGTCCCGGGCCACAGGGAGGTTAGGCTGGCCTCGACCAGACTCAGGGCCTTTTCAGCTGTGGCCCCGATCTGGTGGAACGCTCTGTCACAAGAGACTAGGGCCCTGCGGGACTTGACATCTTTCCGCAGGGACTGCAAGACAGAGCTGTTCCACCAGGCCTTTGGCCAAGGCACAGTCTGACTCCCTCCTTCTGCAATCCTCATAGCACTCTAGCCCAATGGTTGCCATTAATTTGATTCTGAATTGATTCTAGAATGAATTTTAATTAATTAACTGTGCGATTTTATGTACACTGCTATTCTTACCTGTTGTTAGCCGCTCTGAGCCCTGTTTTGGCTAGGGAGGGCGGGATACAAATAAAATTATTATTATTATAATTATTATTATCTGGATTCCTAGGTTCTTAGGGGTATTTGAGAACAGGATACTGGGCCTTTGCAGAACGTAGTTGGTGAGAAGGGCAGCCTCGTGGGAGACCATGCCTTGTGTTACCATATTTTTCGCTCCATAAGACGCACCTGACCGTAAGAAGCACCTAGTTTTTAGAGGAGGAAAACAAGAAAAAGAATATTCTGAACAAAACAGTGGATGTATGATTTTTGTGGTTCATGCTGTGACCACAGACATGTGATTTGATGGTGAGTTTGGGGTAGCCCAGTGCAAAAATCCTGAGGATCCATGTGGATCCATGCTTTGTAACCACGTATTTGCGCCATTGCAGCCCCAGGAAACAGTGGGTGCGTGGTTTTTTTGGTTCAGGCTGTAGCCATGGACATGCTATGTGATCTGATGGTGAATTTCAACACTCCCTTCCCTCTTGTTTGCCTTAGTGTCTTTTCCTTAGCTGGAGCAGTTTTTTGCTCCTCCTTTTCTTCTAATTTCTCTCCTCATTGATTTAGTCTCCTCTCCTTGCAGGTTTGCTGTCTTTACCTCCCCCCTCCCAGGCAGCCTCCTTTATGGCCAGCGTCCCTTATCTCGCTTCCGATCGCTTGCTGATCAGCGGTTTTGTTTCAACACCCTCTTCTCTCTTTCATTTTAAAAACAAAAGCATGATCTGCTTTCTGCCCCTGGGCAATTCGGCTCCAGGGACCACACATTTGCTCCATAAGACACACAGACATTTCCCCTTACTTTTTAGGAAGAAAAAAGTGCGCCTTATTGAGTGAAAAATACAGTATCTGCCAGTTCAAGGCATTCGTACCAGTGTATGAAGCTCTAAATGGCTTGGGACCCAAATATTTTCCCTGTATCAACCGCCTCAGGCCCCCTGATAGGCAGGGATGATGAGATCCAGTTGGCTGCTGCCCAATTGGCATTGACCCATGACAGGGCTTTTTTTGGTGGTTTTTTCTCATTTGGGGAATGCCCTCCCTCGTGAGGTGTGCCACCCTCCCTCGCTATTGGCTTTCAGGAGGAATTTAAGAACATTCCTGTTTAGGGAAGTTTTTAATGTGTGACATTTTAATGTATTTTTTATCTTTGTTGGAAGCCACCCAGAGTGGCTGGGGAAGCCCAACCAGATGGGCGGGGTACAAATAAATTATTATTATTATTATTATTATTATTAATTATTCAGGAGAGAGGAAAGGTACAGTCCTGGCCTAATCCTGCCACTATCCCTAACTAGGGATGGAAGAATATGTTCGTTTCGACTCTCTCCATTTCTTCTCTTCATTTTGCAGCAATTTGAGATTTAAAAGATTTTATTTTTAAAGAATCCTCATGAAAATTCATCAGCATCCTAGAGCAGATTTCTCCTAACAAACACATTTTTAATATGCCGTTTTGACCAGTGCATCCATTTCCGGCAAGTGGTTTATCTTTGACAGAACACATTTTTGATTTTTTAACAATCAAAACGACAAACGTCGCTTTTCCAAAATAGGAGCTATAAAACACTAAAACTGGAATTTCCTCAACGTCAGCATGCAGAGTAACTGATTTGAGTGTTAAGCCAACATTACATACAAAATCATAAATGCAAATAATATATACTAAATCACAAGACAAATAAAAAAAATGAATTTGGATTGTTAGCTTCACTGACATCTCCATGTTCAGGCACATTTCCCCATAACAGATGCATTATTATTTATTATTATTATTATTGAAGAATGGAGAAGGAAATTGACCGAATATGCAGAATTGGACAAATTGACTGGGAAGATTCGATACCAGAAAGACCAAAAGTTTATCAAGGACTGGGGGAAATTTACAGAATATCTGAAAAATATATGTGATGTACAGACAACGCTTGTTGGTTTTGAAGAGACTCTGTGAAATAGTAAGAAATACTGCAAAAAAGAGAGTAAGAGGAAAAGGAGTGGGGAAAGGCAATATTATGTTTAGAAAGGCGTCAATAAATAGAAATTTTTCGAAAGATTGACAGAGAAACTGAGGGAAGTCAAAAATTGAAGCATGAGTGTAAAACAATTTGTTGACTGTATAAAACTTGTTTGGAAAATGAATAAAAATTATTTTTTAAAAAATATTATTATTATTATTATTATTATTATTATTATTATTATTATTATTATTATTTTCTAAATGCTACATGGCTGGAAAACAGTGTTGCCAAATTTTGGAGAAATGCAGCTTTCAAAGGAAGAGTTCGCAGACCGTTTTGGATAATGCAAACCGGATTGATTCAAGCGCTTACTGGATTTATTTGTTTGTTGCGTCTCCAAACCACCTTTTCCTCCAAGGAGCTCAAAGTGGTGCCCACAATACTGCCCCCCCTCTCCATTCCATCCTCAAACCAACCCTGCAAGGTCAGTTAAGGCTGAGGGCAGTTGTCCAGGGAGCTTCGTGGCTGAGCGGGGATTCGAACCCAGACCTTCATCCTATGCTCTTAACTGTTCCGCCGCACTGGCTCATCCCTCTTCCTGACCCAGCCGGGGCTGAGGAGAGCCGGGGTCCTGGCGGCACAAACTACGGACCTCCCAATCTGTCCTGTGGAGACGCTTGAAAAGGGGCCAGTATCTCAGCCGTGGGCTGCCTGCCCGGGCCTGGAGTTGGTTCTGCTGAGGACATGGCGCCACGCTACGTGGTGGGTTGAACGTGGCTCAGTTCCGCATTGGGGGGAGTTGGGGCAAGGAGAAGTATGAGTAATTTCCCCTCTAGTGAAATCCTCTGCGCGGTTCGTGGCTTTTTCCTCGTTGCTGCTTCACTTTCTCTCCCGCCCTCTCTTGACTTTGGAGCATTTAAAAATGTCAGGGAGGGCTAAGTGCAGTACAGTGGTATCTCGGGTTAAGAACTTAATTGGTTCCGGAGGTCCGTTCCGAACCTGAAACTGTTCTTAACCTGAAGCACCACTTTAGCTAATGGGGCCTCCCGCTGCTGCCACGCGATTTCTGTTCTCATCCTGAAGCAAAGTTCTGAATCCGAGCTACTATTTCTGGGTTAGCGGAGTCTGTAACCTGAAGCGTCTGTAACCTGAAGCGTCTGTAACCCAAGGTACCACTGTCAAAGCAAAATCGTACCCAATCAAACAAGGTTCAGTAACGCAATCATCAAAATTATTAGAATACAGCGGTACCTCGGGTTAAGAACTTAATTGGTTCCGGAGGTCCGTTCCAAACCTGAAACTGTTCTTAACCTGAAGCACCGCTTTAGCTAATGGGGCCTCCCGCTGCTGCCACGCGATTTCTGTTCTCATCCTAAAGCAAAGTTCTGAATCCGAGGTCCTATTTCTCGGTTAGCGGAGTCTGTAACCTGAAGCGTCTGTTACTTGAAGCGTCTGTAACCTGAGCTACCACTGTACAGGTTAGGGCAGAGACCCAGAGGCTCCAGCTAAAAAATGTAGGCTTTTTATTTTTTATAGCATTGGGAACAATCTCAGAGGGGATCCGGTCCATCTCCCTGCTGCATGTGGGATCTGCGACTGTGTCCCTGAACCGAGGGCCAGTCAGCCTCCCCCTGCAAAGGAGAGTGGGTCCAGCCTGCCCAAACAAACTTGGCTTAACGCTCAGCTGAAATCTGCTAAACTTATGTGCCTTTTTGGACGTTGTTCCATCACCCCTGGCCATTGGCTGATGGGGACTGGAGGCCAGCAACATCTGGGAGGCCAAAGATTCCCCACGCTTTTGGAGTTCAGCCAAGCCGTTTTCTTTGAACACAACAACCGCCCTTGCGAGGTAGGCCTGCGGATGATGCCCGCCACTGCCGTGCGCTGTTTGACCTCGGCAAAAGTCCGTTCAATCTCACGACGGCCCTCTGGGGCAAGGTAGGGCTGAGAGAGAGAGAACTGTCCCGAGCCAACTTCTTGGATGAGCGGGGATTCGAATCTGTGTCCCACCAGCTCTAGCCTGATGCTCTTAACCAATGTGACCCCCTAGGTGTTGCTGGATGTCCACCGTCCTTGCTGCCAGGCATGGAAGACCCCAATTGCAACTGGAGAGTTGTCTCTGCTCTCATCATCATCATCATCATTTTTATTCGACCGTCAGTCAGAAAAAAGTACATTTTGTCAATACACAGTTAGAAACATCCAGGAAGATTTTAAAACTTAGCCAACACTAAAATGGGCTAAACAGATAGCCCCATATCAATACAGTCAATTATAGTCTTGCGACGCTTAAAAGCTAAGAAGAGAAATTTGGCCACCAAGGAAGGTATAGCTCTAGTGGCGTTATTCAGCAAGTGTAAAACCTGGTTTTCTCCGGGTAGGAAGCTGAATTGACATAGGAGTGGGTCTATAAAATGTTGTCTAAGCTCTACATAGGAAGGGCAAGTCAAGAGAATGTGTTCGGTGGACTCAACCACCCCCATGGCACAATGACAAGTTCTCTGGGCGTATGGTACTCCCCTGTACCTTCCCCACAATATCGCAGAGTCAAGGACATTTAATCTAGCCGCTGTAAGAAGTCTACGGTATTCCACATAGTGGATTTCTGCAAGGTAGGGGGCTGGTATGGTCCGATAAATCTGGTCCCCTAGGAACATCCCTGGTTTTACCTGGGCTATGTCCTCTTGTCTGGCAATGTCACTCAGTCTCCAGGAGATCACAGCTCTAGCTTGATTGTACGTCATGGACTCAAAGTAAAGGAGAGGTAATCCTCAGGATTGGACCTCATTAATGACCTCCCTTTCCCACGATGATTGGAAATCGTCCCTCAATATCAAGGGGGCAATGCCCACTGGTTTAAAACAAAGCTTGAGCCATAGCCAGAGCTTCGTCTTCAAGGCCACATACCGTAGAGCTTGCCAGCCGACCTCTAATCTCATAACCGCACCCGCTACCGAGGGGGGAATCCTAAGGATGGCTCTAAGGAATCGCGTTTGGATAGAATCCAGTTTCAAAAAATCCCTACGGGAGCCTAAAGAGATGCCCACCAAAAGAAGGGGGAGGACTTTCATCTGAAAGAGTCTCAAAGCTGTCTTGATTGATTGAGCCTGATTCTTAGCATATCTCTTAGCATGTCTCTGCTCTGAGTCCTGTGCTCGCAGGCTCTCCTGGGCTCCCGAGCTGGGATTTAGCTGGCGAGTCTTGCTTCGCAGGGTTGTTGTAGTTGTAATAAACGGAAATCTGCCCTTCTTCCCTTATGGGGGACACAAGAGCCCTTATTTATTTATTTTTATATAAAATATTTATTAGGATTTTACAATAAACATAGGTTTAAAAGAATTTAAAAAAATTAAACCGAAGATTACACATAAACAGGAAAAGAAAAAAGGTAACAAGAATAATACCAAAAAAACACACAAGGACCGAAAAGAGAAAAGGGAAAATACAAAATACAAAAAAACAGATGGGTAAAAAAGAAAAAGAGAGAAGGAGAAAAAAAAGAATTTAAAAAAGAAAAAATCCATTTTTCAATATCTTTAGGCTCATTTACTTATTTCCTTGACCTCCTCACACCTCCCCTTTTTGTATTCCCGTTTACAAAATCCTTTCAGCAAATCCTTACCCTCTTTCATTTATCTTTACTCTATATCTTAACCTATTATAACTATATATTTTCATCATATAACAATCTATATTTGCATATTCTTATTAACCTTATTACCAAAACCACTTATTTCCATTCCAACATCATTTTAACATTCATTAATTTTACAGTATTTCTGCAAATAGTCTTTAAATTTCTTCCAATCTTCTTCCACCGACTCTTCTCCCTGGTCACGGATTCTGCCAGTCATTTCCGCCAATTCCATATAGTCCATCACCTTCATCTGCCACTCTTCCAGGGTGGGTAAATCTTGTGTGTTCCAATACTTTGCAATAAGTATTCTTGCTGCTGTTGTTGCATATATAAAGAAAGTTCTATCCTTCTTTGGCACCAATTGTCCGACTATGCCCAGGAGAAAGGCCTCTGGTTTCTTCAAGAAAGTGTATTTAAATACCATTTTTAATTCATTATAAATCATCTCCCAGAAAGCCTTAATCCTTGGGCACGTCCACCAAAGGTGAAAGAATGTACCTTCAGTTTCTTTACATTTCCAACATTTATTGTCGGGCAAGTGATAGATTTTTGCAAGCTTGACTGGGGTCATGTACCACCTGTATATCATTTTCATAATATTCTCTCTTAAAGCATTACATGCCGTGAATTTCATACCTGTGGTCCACAACTGTTCCCAGTCAGCAAACATAATGTTATGTCCAACGTCCTGTGCCCATTTAATCATAGCAGATTTCACCGTCTCGTCCTGAGTGTTCCATTTTAACAGCAAGTTATACATTCTTGAAAGTATCTTTGTTTTAGGATCTAACAGTTCTGTTTCCAACTTTGATTTTTCCACCTGGAAGCCATTTTTTTAATCTAAATTATAAGCCTCTCTTATTTGATAATAATGAAGCCAGTCTCACACCACAAGAGCCCTTATAAAGTCCTTTGCAGGTTCTCCATCGGTCAGAGAAAATAACAGAGGCCAACCAGAGAATATTGAGAAGCAAAGCAGCTCCTAAGCCTGATCTTTATTGAACTGTTGCAACAGGGTGCTCCTCTCACCCGCAGGAGAAGGAGGAGGACCCAGAACCGAGGTGTGCCTTCCCTTATATAGACATTTTAAATTCCCTGCCCTGGAGTCCAAGACCATCCCCAGACACTTCATACCTACACCACACGTCACAGAAAGGGCGGTCTACAACAGAAATCTGAGTGCGTTGTTTACCTCCTGTCTAGCGGGTTACCTGTTAATGCTTACTTGATTGGATACCCTGGGGAGCCTGGCTAGTCTTTTGTAATGACAAATACTTCGTTCCTGAGCCAGGTCACAGCTCACCCTAGTCATACACAGACATACCCTTAAGACAGGATTTGTGAGCAAAAAGACAACAGGGAGGCTCCCCACCTCCTCCCTCCTTGCAGAGAAAACATTTGGTCAGCTTGGAAGTGAAAATGGTTTCAGGGCAGTCCTCCTGTTCTGCTCCAGACCTGTGGTCCACACATCTATGTATGCGCTTGGTTGGTACATTTGTGAACATTTATTATATTTATAAGACCTTAAATTTTTTATTTCATAGTACAGGCTTCCTTGGGTGGTGCTGTGGGTTAAACCACAGAGCCTAGGGCTTGCTGATTGGAAGGTCGGCGGTTCAAATCCCCGCAATGGGGTGAGCTCCCGTTGCTTGGTCCCAGCTGCTGCCCACCAAGCAGTTCAAAAGCACGTCAAAGTGCAAGTAGATAAATAGGTACCACTCCGGCGGGAAGGTAGACGGCGTTTCCGTGCGCTGCTCTGGTTCGCCAGAAGCGGCTTAGTCATGCTGGCCACATGACCCGGAAGCTGTACGCTGGCTCCCTCGGCCAGTAAAGTGAGATGAGCGCCGTAACCCCAGAATCTTTCACGACTGGACCTAATGGTCAGGGGTCTTTTTACCTTTACAAGCTTCCTCAGCCTTGGCCCTCCATATGTTTTTGACCTACAACTCCCATGATCCCTAGCAAGCAGGACTAGGGGTCAGGGATGATGGGAATTGTAGTCTCAAAACATCTGGAGGGTCGAGGTTGAGGAAGCCTGTTGTTGTAGATGAGCCTTGATTTAAGCCCAAATGAGGTACGTAGAATACTGTGGATCCCTGCCCCTCTCCTTTTCTTTTTCCCTTGGGGTTGCTTGAAGCCTCTCCTCCTGCCTTGCCTGTTCCAGCTGGTGAGTGGGCAGCAGGCGCCCAGATGGTGCCAAGCACAGGGAACCGGGAGGGGGGAAAAACCTGTTTCACTCCTCGTGTCTGCAAACTGTCCTTGTTCAGGAAATGGTGAGGGTGCAAGGAGGGAGGAATGAGAAGTGTGGATGGAACGGGTGAGGTGGAGATCCTTTCCCCACCATTTTATTTTATCCCTGAGTCGGAGAGATCGGAAACGGACAGGGTGGCAATGGCTGCTTTCTCCCCCAAAAAAACTTCTTATGAGATGTGTTGCAAACCTCTTTGCAGGAGGTTTGTGCAGAATACGGTTCTCAGCGGCCACTAGGCGTGCTGGCTGTGGCCTCTTAGGTATACAGTGGTACCTCGGGTTACATACGCTTCAGGTTACAGACTCCGCTAACCCAGAAATAGTGCTTCAGGTTAAGAACTTTGCTTCAGGATGAGAACAGAAATTGTGCTTCAGCGGCGCGGAGGCAGCAGGAGGCCCCATAGGCTAAAGTGGTGCTTCAGGTTAAGAACAGTTTCAGGTTAAGAACGGACCTCTGGAACGAATTAAGTACTTAACCTGAGGTACCACTGTAAAAGGTAAAGGTAAAGGGACCCCTGACTGTTAGGTCCAGCAGTGACCGACTCTGGGGTTGCAACACTCATCTTGCTTGTGGCCCATGGGACTTAGGTTGCTGACCCCTGTCTTAAACAATAGCAAACACAGAAAATAAAGAGCCCACTTGTGATATATTGGTGGCTCACTGCTCATTTCTTCTATTTTCCAAAATATATTTTATCTTGAACAATTGCAAACGCAGTAATAAAGACAGCATAAAGGTAAAGGGACCCCTGACCATTATGTCCAGTTGTGGCCGACTCTGGGGTTGCGGCGATCATCTCGCTTTATTGGCCGAGGGAGCCGGCGTACAGCTTCCGGGTCATGTGGCCAGCATGACTAAGCCGCTTCTGGCGAACCAGAGCAGCGCACGGAAACGCCGTTTACCTTCCCGCCGGAGTGGTACCTATTTATCTGCTTGCACTTTGACGTGCTTTCGAACTGCGAGGTTGGCAGGAGCAGGGACCGAGCAACGGGAGCTCACCCCGTCGCGGGGATTCGAACCGCCGACCTTCTGATCGGCAAGTCCAAGAGGCTCTGTGGTTTAGACCACAGCACCACCCGCGTCCCTCTTACTCTTAGGTATAGTTGGTATAATTGACACTGAAATGTGTATTGGTGAAAAGGTTTTAACAAGGCCGTGTTAAAAGGAAAACCCTGGGAAAATCCACTGAACAGCAAGAGCAGCTGTCCCTGAACTTTAACTGGTTGTTGTTGTTCTCTAGCTAGCTAACAAGTGAGCGAGTGATGTTAAATTAGGGGATTAAGGTTCTCAATTGCGTATTGCCATTTTGGAAGGGAGCTGTTCTTAGTAAATGAAGCTCTCTGAGTAAATGGCCTAAGGCTGGGTGCAGGTTGTGGGGAGAGAGACAGACCTCTGCTTATGTCTGTTTGAATTTTTAAAAATATATTCGAAGATACTGAGCCTGCGCTGGACGGCTTAAGATACTGTATGAATATTTTTGGATGCATCGTTTGATGTTTCTGGTTTGTTTCGGAGAAAGCTCTGCAAGTAAAATGTTGAATAATATTATTTATTTATTTATTAACTTTATTCCAAAACTGAAAAAGAATTGCCATCATCAAATTCAAAACCCATATTCGTTTTGTAACATAGGCCTATTACATAGTTGACTTGATAAAAATATACCTAATTGCTATAGTCTTCCCTTTGCTATACAGTGGTACCTCAGGTTACATACGCTTCAGGTTACAGGCGCTTCAGGTTACAGAATCCGCTAACCCAGAAATATTACCTCGGGTTAAGAACTTTGCTTCAGGATGAGAACAGAAATTGCGCAGCGGCAGCAGGAGGCCCCATTGGCTAAAGTGGTGCTTCAGGTTAAGAACAGTTTCAGGTTAAGAACAGACCTCCAGAACGAATTAAGTACTTAACTTGAGGTACCACTGTATATAAATGCAACACAATTAGAAATATTATATTAGAATTTTTTATAAATTCCCCTATACCCCCCTCTCCCATGTGTGATCTCAATAATATTATTATTTTACTTCTTCCATCTTGTTGTGTTGTTTTAGTTTAATAATAATTCGATTGATTCTTTTATTATTTCCTTGCTTAAAGGTAAAGGGACTCCTGACCATTAGGTCCAGTCGTGGCCGACTCTGGGGTTGCGGCGCTCATCTCGCTTTATTGGCCGAGGGAGCCGGCATTCAGCTTCCGGGTCATGTGGCCAGCATGACTAAGCTGCTTCTGGCGAACCAGAGCAGTGCACGGAAACGCTGTTTACCTTCCCACCGGAGTGGTACCTATTTATCTACTTGCACTTTGATGTGCTTTCGGACTGTTAGGTTGGCAGGAGCAGGGACCGAGCAACGGGAGCTCACCCCATTGCGGGGATTCGAACCGCTGACCTTCCGATCGGCAAGCCCTAGGCTCTGTGGTTTAACCCACAGCGCCACCTGTGTCCGTGCACGTTTTACACATTATCTATTAATAATGTTGAATAATGTTTATTTATGGGCCTGGACAATGTTTTTCCCCCAAAGAGAGTCCTTTCTTATGCTTCCAGTCATTTCCAACGGTGCAATATTGATGTCTGCCGTCATTCTCTGCCAAAAGGAGCATGCTTTTGAACGCCAGTGGAGAGAGTTGATGTCATGCTCAGTTTGCGGGTTTCCCTTTGGGGCATGTGGCTGGCCACTGTGAGGGCAAAATGGGTTCCCTTTGGCCTGATCCATGTTCTTCCGGTGCTCTTAGGCTCGTGGACAGATCAGTGGCTACTGATCGCAATGACCATCTTCTCCCTCCCTCCCTCTCCCTCCCTACACACAATATATCTCTGTATCATCATTTGAGCCTATTCTGGCACTCATATCCCCCATTAGGTAAAATGGCGATCCGGGGTACTCAATTTGTAGGGAATAAAGGAAACTATGGAATTTACGCCATGTGCTCTCTATCTGTGTTTGCACTGTATATGGTGGGATATAAGCTAAAACAAGAATGATACTCTTGGATTCCAGATGCAAAGTGATCCCCAGTGCCAGCTGCTCGAAAACTGAGCGCTCAGAAACCTGCGACGCCAACTGAGTGGAAACCAGACGTACTAGGCCCCCCCCCCTCGGTCGTCCCCTTCCGAGCGGTTTAGCGGCCTTGATTTCATAGGCGTGGTAACCGTCGAGAACTATGTTGTCAGTTGCCAAAGTTTCCTGCAGCTGGATTCCTGCAGTTGGGTCTCTGGACCGTAATAAAGATTGTTGTTGTTGTATCACCCGTTCCACCCTTGGAACTACCTGCAACTGGATTGGAATTGGGCCTCACCATCTTGCACTTCTGACTAGTCTTGGCATCATAACCCTTCTGACTATCAGGAAGTCTCACACCTGGCTTTCTTGGGGCATGATCCCTAGCCTCGTTCCTCTCTAAGGAATCAGTGTCGACACACACGGCCTCTGGACGTGGTCCAGATTCCTTCTCCACGGAAACAGTGTCAACCCTTACAGCCTTTGGGCGTGGTTTCCCGTCCTTTGAGGACAAACCCTGTACCCCTTTCAAGACTCTGGGTTCCAAGACCTGTGTCGAGCCACTAGGTAAAGATAAAGGGACCCCTGACCATTAGGTCCAGTCGTGACCGACTCTGGGGTTGCGGTGCTCATCTCGCTTTACTGGCCGAGGGAGCCGGCGTACAGCTTCCAGGTCATGTGGCCAGCAGGACTAAGCCGCTTCTGGCGAACCAGAGCAGCGCACGGAAACGCCGTTTACCTTCCCGTCGGAGTGGTACCTATTTATCTACTTGCACTTTGACATGCTTTCGAACTGCTAGGTTGGCAGGAGCAGGGACCGAGCAACGGGAGCTCACCCCGTCGCGGGGATATGAACCGCCGACCTTCTGATCGGCAAGTCCTAGGCTCTGTGGTTTAACCCACAGCGCCACCTGCATCCCTAGAGACGCCTTATACTGCGTTTAAAACCAAAATCGCGTTTGGATAGAAACTGTTTCTCAGGCGGCTAGTCCTAGTCTTTATAACCCTGTACCTTCTTCCAGAAGGCAGAAGCTGAAAGAGATCATTTCCGGGGTGCGAACTATCCTGCATTTTTCAACTTCAATGGATTTTGTATGGGGACTGATTTGTAAGTCCAGGGACTGTCCCCGGGAAATGGGGACATCTGGTAACCTTAAGCGAGCACCTCAGCGGAACAAAGCAAGGTGTGTTCACCTGGGATTCCTTTGGCCTGTCTTGGCTCCACTCCACATTCAGGATCTGGCCCTCTCTTCCTCGTCCTTTTCTGTCTCTTGGGGGAAGGAGTGGCTGGATTCAGAAATATATTCTGTAGATTCCTGATCTCCGCACGTATTATTTCTCCCTTCCTCTCCGCTGAAGGCTAAAAATAATCACAAGAGCGAGATGATGTGTACGGATTTCGCCCCCCTCCCCTTGCCTGCTCCTCTCCCTGTGTGGTTGCAGATGCAAACTTACGATTAAAAACACACACCCGATCAACCAGCTTGTTTGACGCGCCATGGCTCTGGGGCCCTATTAATTAGAATTAAAAATTTAAACCACTGTGCCGTGGGCGTCTCCGTGGTACAAAGGTTAAATGGAGGGGCCGTGTGCAGTGAGTGCCGGCGAGCACAAGTGCTTCTGCTGTTGTTGGCGAGTTCCAGTCCTCGCTCGTGATGTTAGCTGTGGGCAGATAAGCACAGAGCCTCCTGGTGCAGTAGCAGTCTACCCCGGTTGCCAGTTGGAGGAGGCAAATGGCAAGGAAGGCCTTTCAAAAAGTGCCAGGAGAGACGGAATTCACATTTTACTGCTGCTTTTTCCTGTTCATTGTGGTTGATGCCCTTGCCTTTTGCAGAAGAGGTTGGCATCAATGTTCTAGCATTACGAAAGAGGAAGGAAACCATTTGTCTGCTTTTTCCATGCCCAGTTCACCTCTTACAGTACTTGCCTTTTCTCTAACTAAGAAGTCTCAAAAAACACAGCAACCTTTCTTCACAAGTCTGCTGCTCCACTCCCTTGATAATTTTGGTTGTCCATTTCTGACTCCACATTATCCTTTTCAAGGGGTGGCGACCAGAACTGTACACTGTTGAAGGAGTGTCTCTACCCCCATCGTTCCACCCGGACACTGAGTTCCAGCGCCGAGGGCCTTCTGGCGGTTCCCTGGCTGCGAGAAGCCAAGTTACAGGGAACCAGGCAGAGGGCCTTCTTGGTAGTGGCACCCGCCCTGTGGATCACCCTCCCACCAGATGTCAAAGAGAACAACAACTACCAGACTTTTAGACTACATCTGAAGGCAGCCCTGTTTAGGGAAGCTTTTAATGTTTGATGGATTACAGTATTTTAATATTTTGTTGGAGGCCGCCCAGAGTGGGCAGGGTATAAATAAATTATTATTATTATTATTTATTTTACATGGCATTCCAAACATGGTCGCACCACAGATCTGTATTATGATATTGGCAATTTTATTTTAAACCTCTTTCCTTTTTTTATTTATTTAACTTTATTTGGCAGACAACATTAAATTACACATCATCCCACATCACACCATAATATACTACAGAATACAACAACACACAACTATACACAACTATACAGTATATACATCACCAATCATTACTTTTATCTATTACTACTTTACAGAACAGGGAAAAAAGAAGAAGAAAAGAAAGAAAATTAACAGAAAATAAAGTTGACTTTCGATTCAACCCATTGTACTATCACTTATTTTGATTGTTTTACACACAGCATCATACTGTTATTTTGTTTTCCTAATTCTTATCCAAAGTACACGATTATTTATCACATTCGTCTTACAAGAATCAGTCAAAGGTCTGCCAGGAGATTTTTGTCGTCACAGTAATTTTTCAAGTAATCTTTAAATATTTCCCATTCTTTATGTACCTTCTGCGTCGGATATCCTCTGATTCTCCCTGTCATCATGGCCAACTGTAAATATTCTATCGTTTGCACCTGCCATTCAATTATTGTAGGAGTCTTTTCGCTTTTCCAGTTCCTTGCTACCATATTTTAAACCCCTTTCCGAATGATCGCTAGCCTGGAACTTGCCTTTTAAATTTTTTTACAGCTGCTGCTTTGCCTTCCCACAGCTCACCTTGTGTTCTTAAACCACTTAATCTCCCCACTTGGCCCTGTACTTCTCCCACAGGAAATGTGACAAGGTGACAGGATTGCTGTGTGTGCTCTTGCTAAAAAATGTGCATGAAATTGGTGTGTGTGTGTGTGTGTGTGTGTGTGTGTGTATTTGAGTGGGGCAGAGAAGGGAGTGAGACCCTTTAATGTAACAGCGCATGAAGTACATTTGGTGCATTCATGCGTATAAGCGTGCATTCTGCACATACATGTTCACGCGTTTGATACCAGTGCACGCCCTCTCCGTTTCAGGTTGCGCCTTCCTTACGTACTGCGCCCGAGATTCGGCCATCAAAGCTCAGACAGCGCTACATGAACAGAAGACGCTCCCTGGGGTAAGTCTTGGCTCTTTGGAGTCGCTGTGGGTGTGCTCCAGAGACTCCTCAACGGAGGTGTATTTTGCTCAGAGAAGCGCAGTTTCGCACCTTGCCTTGAAGTGAGAAAGCAAATGTCAGTCTGTGCCTTCCAATAAGTGTGTGAATGCTTAAAGGGGCCAGGGGGGAATGTAGGAATGGATTTAGGCACTGGGAGAGGATATATTATTCTGTTATCATCCTTCCTTGCACATGTGAGCGAGATCAGCAGAATACCATCCTTTGCAGCTTAGACAAGGTTAATTGAACCTTCTAGAAGCAATAATCCAAGATTTTCCCTGGTATTTCCCCCTTTCTCCCAATTAAAAAGAACAACCTCTCTCTCTCTCTCTCTCTCTCTCTCTCTCTCTCTCTCTCTCACACACACACACACATGCACTGTTCTGTGAAGAGGTAAAAGTAGTATTTACCGTATTTTTTGCTCTATAAGACTCACTTTTTCCCTCCTAAAAAGTAAGGGGAAATGTGTGTGCGTCTTATGGAGCGAATGCAGGCTGCGCAGCTATCCCAGAAGCCAGAACAGCAAGAGGGATTGCTGCTTTCACTGCACAGCGATCCCTCTTGTTCTTCTGGCTTCTGAGATTCAGAATTTTTTTCCCTTGTTTTCCTCCTCCAAAAACTAGGTGCGTCTTATAGTCTGGTGCGTCTTATGGAGCGAAAAGTACGGCACTTACATAACCGAGGCCTTGAAGTAGCAGCAGTCCTAGGTGCTAAATGAAGGCAGGTTTAAAAGTAAAGGTAAAGGGACCCCTGACCATTAGGTCCAGTCGTGGCCGACTCTGGGGTTGCAGCGCTCATCTCGCTTTACTGGCCGAGGGAGCCGGCGTACAGCTTCCGGGTCATGTGGCCAGCATGACTAAGCCGCTTCTGGCAAACCAGAGCAGCGTACAGAAACGCCGTTTACCTTCCCGCCAGAGCAGTACCTATTCATCTACTTGACTTTGATGTGCTTTCAAACTGCTAGGCTAGCAGGAGCAGGGACCGAACAACGGGAGCTCACCCCGTCACTGGGTGCATTTTAGTTCAAATTTCTCCTAATAAACACTAATAGGAGAGATTTCAAGATGGCTGCCGAATGCTTGAAGCAGGGTTTTGAGCTCTAAGGCCAACTCTAAAGCAAGTTTCTGCTCTAAGGCATTTGTTTTTATCTTCTATTTTACTTCTTAACTCCTTTTAGTGCTTCGTTTTGTTGTTTTAATTTATTGTTTTATCTCATTGTTTTATTGTTCTAATTCGGAAGCGGCGTCTCTTCCTCTCGAGGCTGGACGAGGTAAGACGCATTTGCCGGAGTTCATTTCGAATCCTCCCTAAAATTTGTGCTGCGGCTCCCAGCCTTTCAAGTTTTTGATGAAGATTGTATCAGGTTGTTGGAGCCCATGCCAGGAGTTCACATTGCTAAGAACTGTAAAGCCCGCATCGTAAATCAGCTTTAATGAGCAGATAATTGCAGTCTCCGGCAGCCTTGGAAGCAGCCTTCGACTTACTGGTTTTCTGCTAGCTCACATCCAGCTGTATTTTTACTTCTACTACCTTTTATTATCTTTTAAGCACTGCTATTTTAAAAGACTCATAATGATGGGCCAAGGCAAACGCCTAAGGGATTGTGACGAGACTCTGCCCTCCCCAAGAGCCAAACAATTAAAAATCGATCCCCGTGTCTGACAAACGGAGTGACCCCATTGAACCTGCTATAGGGTGAAAACTCAGAACCGTTTCTACCCTCTAATGTCTCCAGAAACAACGTCAACACCAGAGGAATTATTTTTCCCCCAGACTAAAACTGTGGACGGCAAGCTTGGAGGAAGAGGGAGTGTCCCATTGAGGGTGGTGCAGGACGCTGGAACTGAGGACTGCGCAAGACAAGAACAACATGAACATCTCCATCTTGTGGTCAGAACCCTTAATTGCATATTCAAGAAGATTGATGTGCTAGCCTCCCAGCTATGTAACCTCGAACAGAAAATGGATAACTTCTGGTCAAAGTTCAAACCAACTGTAGATAGGGGGAATTGAAGTGCCAGAGGTCCTTGCCTTCTACTAAAAAAGAAGTGTGATCCCTAAATATAAACCAAATCCTGCACTGAAACATCAAGCATTGTCCCTGCAACCTAAGAAAATCTGCCTAAACATCGGGGCAGGGTCACCAAGGTGGCTTACTCTGAGTGGGGTTAAAAGCACCTAAGCAATCTCCTAAACATAGAAATCTCACAATGTGATCTCATTGCAGTATTACCTTTGAACCAGCACCTCGGGCAACAGAAAGTGATGCTTGCGTTTTACTCTCCAAGGATCCCTTCAGCTATCATCAGGCAGAAACCACTCTTGGCAAGGTACGATATCATCCCAACAAGAGTTTTTATGGATAGCATGATCCACCCCCTCCTACTTGCTGGTCACGGTACGGAGTGGACTCTGTCGGAGAGGTCGGGAGTACCTCGGGACATCGAGCCTCCTCTTCTGGAGGATATCCATCCGCACCGAAACTGGACTCACCCTACGTCCCCACGAGCTCTAAAGAAACCCACTGGCGCAAGTAATTCTCTGACCCCGCCGGAGGAAAGAGAGCTTTTAGCCACTTTTGGCGACCTTCCACCGAGAGAACAACAAGAAATAATTGATAGACTAGAAGTACTTAATCATCAGCTCATACACGTCCAGAAGAACGGAAAAGTCCTGCCCACTCTTCAGGATAACTCCGCCAGCTTTTCGGAGTCGTGGTTTAAGGGAGCAGGAAGTCTTCCATACCTTAGTCCAGCTCCTAAACCCATGCCTCCCCCACTCGTGGGCAAAACCCACCGATGCTTGGTAGAACCAGGTTTTGCCCCTCAAGCTGGCCCCTCATCCCAACTCTTGATAAATTTTGACTCGCCCTCCAAGAGTCCCCCGCTGAGGAGTGTAACCCAGAGTTCCTTCCACCAAAACAACTCCTTACCATCTAATCCATCAATGCCGGAACTGGAGTCCTCATACTCCCTGAGCAGCATAGACCCGACATACAGCCGGTACCAGTACGCCGAACATCCCCTGTACCTTTGCCAGCATTAGGTCAGGGGAGTGTCCCACCTACATCAAAAATGGCCCGGATTTGATTGAAGACCCGACCGGACATATAAACCAAATGGTTTCATCGGCGATCTTTAGACCTTGCGATGGGGCAGTCCCAGCAAATCCTATGGAGTTTCCCACTGAAGTGTCCGCTCTTGGGTTAGCCAGTGGGAGACCCGTTTTGTCGCCCCAGTCAGAATACCTCACTACCAACTTCAAGACTAGGTACCTTCAGCAGGTGCCTGCTATGCAAAGTAAAATAACTGACTTTTTGTGGGGTCTGCCTTCCCTCCAAAGGACTCCCATCCCTCCCCGAAATGACAACGAACTGGTTACAACAGGAACTCCCCCCTATCAGTCCTCAGTTGGAACATTGCGGGCTGGAGGGGGAAAAAACTTGACCCAGAATTCTTGGAGTATATTAACCTGTTTCATATCATCTTGTTCCAAGAATCGTGGGAAGTAGAGAGAATTGATCTAAATGGCTTTGAGCTTCTAGAACTCCCTGCCTGCCCCTCCCTGAAAGGAGGCCGCCCTAAAGGGGGCCTAATAATAGGCATCTCCCTCAACTTACATTCTAAATTTACTCTAGTACAGGCCTTGCCTCCTTACGCTCTTACCGGGCTGATTGCGGGGGAAAGATCTCACTTCTAGTTACAAATGTTTACTTGCCACCCGGGGGTTCTTCCTCTGAACTGGGCTCTAAATGGGGCTCGCTAGAAGAGCATTTGCTCTCATGCTATGTCAAGTTTCCTAACACCCCGGCCATAATAGGTGGCGATTTTAATGCCCGCACAGCAGCAAATTGGGACTCGCTGACCAAAGCCAAATGGTGGGTTACCCCAAACCTTGATAATTATGATCTGGAACATATCATGAGGAGAACTTCTAAAGACCAACGAGTTAATGAGGCTGGAGTATTCCTCTACCAAATGGCCATCCGTTTAAATCTGGTCCCCCTAAATGGCACATGCCTCCCTGATATTCCAGGGGATTTCACTCACCTGAGTGTTAAATCAAACAGCGTCCTCGATTACCTGCTGGTCTCCAGTGATCTACTTAAGTGTATTTCCTCCTTTAAGATCGAGAATGTACAATCTAGTGATCATCTTCCCCTTGTAGCCAAGCTTTCCCTGAATTGGCAGTTGGAGACCTATAGACATGCGACCCAGATGGTAACCAACGTATCTCTTCAAGTAAGAGGAATCAAATGGTCGGAGACCCAGGCTCAAAGGTATCAGGAATTCTTTCAAAAGAAATCCTCGGGCCCCATCCCTACATAGGCTCTGCCTCAGATGAGCATAGCATAGTGTTGAAACGCTTCCACCATCATACGACGGACCTTACGTCCTTCTTCAGGTTACCACCCAAAATATTAAATCGAAACGAGTATACTTACGGTGCCCCCTGGTATAACTCTCAGTGCAAACAAGCAAGACAGCGCCTTCGTGCTATATATAATGTATATAAGACCTCCGATGCATCTACTCTGCCAGCTAGTTATGCACAAGCCAAGCAAGTTTATAAACGCACGCAGAAAATTGCCAAACGTGAGTGGCAACATAATCGCTGGCAGGCCTTGATTACTGCTTCAAAATCACATAGATCCAGGGAATTCTGGTCTCTGATTAACAGAAGGGTGAGGAAATACCCAAGGGCAGTCATCCCTGCACCGACATGGGAATTGTTCCTGAAGAAATGTTTCTCACAGGCAGATGCTCCCTCCGACCATCTGATGCATCTGTTCTCCCACCTACCTATTTGGCCTCCCACCGATCCTGACGAAATAGCCAAGCTAATAGCCCAGCTGAAATTGGGCAAAGCCCCAGGGCCCGACCTGATCCCTGCTGAAGCCATCAAACTACACCCAAAATGGTGGGCTGGCATCTTGGCCAAAACCTTCGACGCAATCAACGCTTCTGGTATCATCCCCAAAATATGGAAGGAGGCCATTATAGTACCAATTCATAAAAAGGGTTCTCCAATGGAGCCGGAAAATTACCGTAACATCAGCCTCCTTTCGATCATAGGGAAAATTTATGCCAGCTTTTTGCTGACGAAACTATCGCGATGGGTAGATGAGACTAACCAGATTGGCCACGAACAAGCAGGGTTCAGAATTAAACGCTCTACAACTGATCATGCGATAGTTCTTTACCATCTGGCACGGAAGTACTCCTCCCTCCCCGGGGCTATCTGTGTGCTGCCTTCTTAGATCTTAAGGCAGCCTTCGACAGCGTTCCTAGAAATATTCTTTGGGAGAAACTTGCGAAACAGGGCATCGATAGAAGGCTCTTATGGCTTATAAGTCAGCTCCACGAAGGTACCCTTGCCAGAGTGAGACTTACTCCTGCGGGCGACCTCACAAATTCGATACCAATAAACAAGGGAGTGCGCCAAGGATGTATATTGGCCCCCTGCCTATTCAATCTATTCATCAGCGACATGCGAGCACCCCTAGTCAACTCATCTCCAAGTACACATGCGCCTAGACTAGCGGATTACCGCTGTCCACTCCTTTTATATGCGGACGACGCGGTAATTCTATCTTATACACGTGTTGGACTAACCAGAGCTCTGAAGATCTTTGCCACGTATTGTCAACTCAACCAATTAACCATCAATCATGCTAAATCTAAGATTCTGATTTTCGCCAGAAGTCGGAGATTATACGAATGGAAGCTTGGTGGAGCAAAAATAGAGCAAGTCCTAAAATTTCAATACCTAGGAGTTATTTTTCAATACAATTTGGGGTGGAAAGCACATATTCAACACCTACTTAATAAGGCCAAAACTCTGTCATATGCGCTCCTCCGATTTTTCTTTTCGGATGGAGCTTTGCATGTTCCCTCGGCCCTAAAGGTGTTCAAGGCAAAAGTGGTTCCCGTGCTTGCTTATGCTGCCCCGCTCTGGGTCGTGATGACAGACCTTGCTCCTCTTGAGACTTTGCAAAACCAATTCCTACGTCGGCTCCTAATGCTCCCCTGTGCGTAAGCAACGCAGCCATGCGTTTAGAATTGAGGATCGCATCCTTAGAAACCTGCCTGTGGAAGCAAGTCTTCAATTATTGGTTATCATTGTGGCATAGATTACCAGACCATTACCTTGCCCAATGCTTATGGCGAGATGAATTCCCCAGCCTTTGGACCAGTAGAATTCATGCCAAACTCCTGAGCTATGGAATCTCTCCCTTAGATTCCCTAAAACTAGATCAAATCACTGCTCAAAGACTGATCCGCCAAAGACTGGATGACATCGATTTACAGCAAAATTATATGCTGGGGGGAGGTGTTTGTTCGCCCCAGAACATTGGTATCACTTTAACTTATTGCGTTCCATCATACCTCTCCTCCCTTTCGACTGTTGCCCATAGGCTGGCCTTCACCAAAGCGAGGTTTAATGTTTTTCCCTCCAATGTCCTGAGACATAGATTCTCAAAGGGCCAAACCTCCGCCATGTGCGAATGTGATAAGGAGATGCCGGAGTCGCTTCAGCACATTATGTTCACTTGCCCCTTATTTAAGGTGCCACGGGCAAACTTGTTGGGATCAATCATACAGAAATTAGAGGGTACTCCACCAAAATTCCACCTTGCCCAAATCTTGCAGGATAAGGATGCCCATACGACCCTGAAAGTGGCTAGGTTCCTGGTCGCTGTCCTTACCCAAAAGCGTCGCCAAGGAGCACCACAAGCTAATTAAGGCGTAGTATGCCATTCCATCTTATAGTAGCTTATTGTTATAGTATTGTTTTAGCGGCTGTTTTTTTCCCATGTGCACAGGCTGTTATTTATGTCTTGTTTTTATCTGTATGGGCCTACGGCCGTAATAAATTATTATTATTATTATTATTATACCCCGTCACTGGGGATTCGAACAGCCGACCTTCTGATCTGCAAGTCCTAGGCTCTGTGGTTTAACCCACAGTGCCACCCGCATCCCCAACTATCTAAGTTTCTAAACTGCGAAATCGAAGTTCGATATGGTGTCTGAGCTGCAAAGCTCGGGCATGCACATGTGTGCTCAGCTTGGAGGCATGATGAAGAAAGAGAGAGATACCTAGGCTGGAAGGAATTATGTGGTGTTATAGCTTCTGGCCAAGGCAGACAAAGGAAGTGACGTCACAGAGTTCTCTGAAGCAAATTTTACAGGAAAGCTCTGTGAGCCTCAGCCCCTTTATATGTCCCTCTGGCAAAGCATGAATTGTTGGTTTGGCTTCAATAAACAGATCTGTGCCCACACCCCGATGCTATTGGACTCAACTAGGAGTCTGCCAGCACTGAGCTGAAATCTCCAGTTTCTTGCTTAATTTCCAACCAGTGACATATTTGCTCGAACACATATGAGGAAGAAAATCCAGTTTAGTTCACATCAGAACAGACACCTTCATAGTTTGCAAACCTATGCAAACCGATATGCTTCCAAATTTACAGTTACAGTGGTGCCTCGGGTTAAGAACTTAATTCGTTCCGGAGGTCCATACTTAACCTGAAACTGTTCTTAACCTGAAGCACCATTTTAGCTAATGGGGCCTCCTGCTGCCACCACGCCGCCGGAGCACGAGTTCTGTTCTCATCCTGAAGCAAAGTTCTTAACCTGAAGCGATATTTCTCGGTTAGCGGAGTCTGTAATCTGAAGCGTATGTAACCTGTACAGGTACCACTGTATCTGAATTCTGCGACAAAGCGCTCCAAGCGAAATAATTGCATCGAAACTGCTTTAAGGGGGAAAGAGGGTATTTAAAAAATGCATACATTGTTGAAAATAACCTACAAAAAATACACAATATTAGAAGAAATTTCGTGCAAAGAAATGTGTGCATTAGGAGAAACACTTGACAAGTTTCCGTGAGGATTTGTTTTTTAAAATGTACAGTTGTACCTTGGATCCCGAACGCCTTGGTACTAGGACATTTTGGCTCCAAAACGCTGCAAACCCGGACATGAGTGTTCCGGTTTGCAAACGTTGTTTGGAACCTGAACGTCTGGCACGGCTTCTGAT